TGAAACGACCGCGGGAAGAGGAAGCGTTTGGCGAAGCGGCAGTTTGCGCAAGCAAACGGGCGCGGATTCGGTAGTGCAACATATACAGCACCTTTTTCAGAGTAAAGTCAAATTACAAAGTTGCGCAAAGTATAACATACATAAACTTAATTAAACATAAGAACAGATAAGACGTTTAGAGCCTTGTCGGTGACATGGACGCCGCTGTTGGCTTGGAACAGCTATTTGCTGTGCATAGGGACGTGCCCGCGTTAGCCGTGTTGCAACAGCTCAGGATGGATTTCAGCCAGCAACAGCCTCAAGAGCTGCTGCACAACCACCGGGAATGTCTTCAGTTGGGCACGTGTAGTTTTGGTCGGCGGGGTCGCATTGCGCACAGAAACCAAGGTGCAGCGTCTCTGTAACATCGCCAACATATCCGGTACGCGGTGGCAGGCTTGCCGAGCACGAAATGAAGGGGGGGTCGCATCTCACCATTCAACTAAGCATGCATATAGCGTGCGAGTTTACCCCTATCAGGATGTTTGTTTGCATATCCCTCCAAGCGAGAGGGCTTGGACCTATGCTGATGTTCGTTCCAAGACGTGAACTGAGGACTGATGCTACGTAAATTCGCCCGTGCGCCAAACGCCCTGTAACTCGCTTACGCTAATCTCACATTCCAATATGCCACTGCACTTTCCTCTCCAGCCTGGCCACATTCTCTTCCTCGCAAACGTACTTGGGCACCTTACAATCCAACACCATACGTGCTTTGGAAACGCGGGCAGCTGCTTCACCAGTGTTCGGGCCGAAACGGAAACCTGCCGAAACGGAAACCTGCCGAAACTAGTTTCCGTGATTCCGGCGAAGAGGTCCTGGTTCTGCGGAAATGCCGAAACTAGTTTCGGCCCCTTTCGGCTAGCGCCGTACGGCGGAACCTACTTTGAATAGTTTCAAAGTGTAGGCGCGTTGTGCAAGGCTGCGAAACTCTGCGAATGTTGAGTTTATCTTATCAATGTCTCAGACAACTTCCGTTGTCAGTGCAGACACAGATTCGGTCAAAAACAAGGGCGGAAGGACCGCTGATCAGACCGTTTGGGCTCACTTTGAGAAGAAAAAATATAATGCAAAATGTAAGAACTGGACTATCATCTGCAAGTACTGCCGGACCGAGTCCAAGCAAGGGCGCCTTCAGGAGATGCGCGTCCATATCGCGCAAAAGTGCCCCCGGAGTGCCTTCGGACACACATGAGCAGGTCCCATGAGGCGCAAAGGCACATAGGGCCCACGAACAACGTTTGCATACCATGGACGTCATAAAATACAGCATTTACAGGGTTTCGGCAGGTTCCGGCAGGTTCCGGCAGGTTTCGCAGAAGGGTCCAAAAAACGGAAACTATTTTGGCATTGGCAGTAAGGTTTCGGCCCGTACACTGTGCTTCACAAGGACCCCCCTATTTGCTCTGTCGTGTCAGACAGCGCAAGATTTTACATTACCTCGGGCAGAGCGCGCCAAATCAAGCCATAGTCGCTGAAGAATACAATGCGGAAGCGTCCACCATGCTCATATAATTTTAAAAGAAGCTTTTCGATACTGTAGACTTATTGCAGCGGCATGCCTGAGAAGGCCGCAGGGCACCTCAGGTCTATAAGCGCTTCCATAAACACTGACTCGCCATCAATTAGGCACTCCTCCGAGTCTCCCATATCGTGGAGTACATCTTGATAAATTGGTTTGATCTCGGCGAAAACGCGGAGGAGCTCCACGGCTGGCGAGCAACTGCCTGCCATGGTGCCTACTGCTGCTTAAATATTGCCACCTACCCCGCCAGTACTCACAACCTCCAAAACATATTAAAATTTCTTAAAGCCTCATATTTCGATTCGTAAGGTACCTGAGGTCAGTGAAGCCTATTCGGAGCCCTAGGCTCTTCTACATAAGAACTGATGCAGTGCCAAAATTGTAAGGAGTCTTTGGGAAGAAATAAAAACCGGCTCCTGCAAAAATGTGCATCTAAGCCGTGAATCACAATCGTGGCGAATCTATGACGTACTCCACCCGTGAATGCTGATCAGCATTCACCCGTGAATGCTGATCAGCATTGTCATGAGACGATGCTGGGAAGCACACTCCTTTTTATGTTTCTCAACACAATTACATCATTGTTGCGAGTTCCTAGTATTGTTGATGGGGTGTTACACTGTGGGCGGCTCGCCCGATAAAGGACGAGCACCGGGGGCCCTGACCGGGCCGAAACACAGCGCAGGGATGGGCGCGCGGCTTTACGTCCGTCTGTTCCTCCGCGCGCGCCTCATTCCCTCACTCACGCCAACCGGGACGCTCTCCTAGTCCCTGGCTAGGCGACACAGCGGCGCAAAAGACTGCTAACCGAACTATGCGAGAGCCGCACGAAAGGCGCCACTTTGCCTGGCCTGCCTATTCGCGCGCTCTCGTCCCTCTTGACCACCAAAACAAGAACAAAAAGAAAACACCACCGGGGGCAGGGGCTCTACTCAGGGGGCTCGTATGGGTAGTTTTACAGGTATGGGGTCACGCACCCCCAACCATGTAGCACACACGCAACAAAAACCCAGCGTTAACGTGGTTGATTCCTTGTTTTCTGTTTTGCCATTACAATTGGTATACTGAAACTGAAGAAAATCAGATCCTTAAGCAGCCCCTCGCACAAATGTGTCCGGTCGTACTTCGCGAATAAAGACTCCGTACATGTCGCCCCAAAAGCCAGGAGCGAATTTCACCGCGCAGGTGCGCGCTTGCGATTCACAAATTGCGCGTGTACAAGTGTATATAATTTTTTTGGCGAAAAGGCCGAGGTGCGCCAGCGCGTTGCGCAGGTGGGCATGTTGGCCATAGCCGCACGCGGCATGCAGGCTGGACTATTGCGTGGATGCTTTGCAGTAACTAAAAGCACCGAAAGCCAACGTCGTAGCTTGCAACTCTGGGCTCGTGAAACTGCCGCGGAAGATGAAGCGCTGGCGAAGAAGCAGTTGTGTGCAAGCAAACGGTCGCGTTTTTGGTAGTGCAACGTATACAGCACCTTGTTCAGGGTAAAGTCAAATTACAAAGTTGCGCAAAGTATAACATACATAAACTTAATTAAACATAAGAACAGATAAGACGTTTAGAGCCTTGTCGGTGACATGGACGCCGCTGTTGGCTTGGAACAGCTATTTGCTGTGCATAGGGACGTGCCCGCGTTAGCCGTGTTGCAACAGCTCAGGATGGATTTCAGCCAGCAACAGCCTCAAGAGCTGCTGCACAACCACCGGGAATGTCTTCAGTTGGGCACGTGTAGTTGGGCACGTAGGGGTCGAGCAGCGTACGCATTGCGCACAGAAACCAAGGTGCAGCGTCTCTGTAACATCGCCAACATATCCGGTACGCGGTGGCAGGCTTGCCGAGCACGAAATGAAGGGGGGGTGCATCTCACCATTCAACTAAGCATGCATGTGCTCGGTTGAATGCTCGGTAGTGTGCGAGTTTACCCCTATCAGGATGTTTGTTTGCATATCCCTCCAAGCGAGAGGGCTTGGACCTATGCTGATGCTCGTTCCAAATAGTGAACTGAGGACTGATGCTACGGTGAAAGGTATGCACGTAAATTCGCCCGTGCACCAAACGCCCTGTAACTCGCTTACGCTAATCTCACATCCCAATATGCCACTGCACTTTCCTCTCCAGCCTGGCCACATTCTCTTCCTCGCAAACGTACTTGGGCACCTTACAATCCAACACCATACGTGCTTTGGAAACGCGGGCAGCTGCTTCACAAGGACCCCCCTATTTTTCGACGCCACCCAACGTGATTGCGGAGGAGAACAGAAAGAGAAGCGATCGGGTTGCAGGACAGTTCGGGGTGGCCAGTCTTCATACCTGTAATGTACGGAAAGTCCTACCTGTGATGTACGGAAAGTCCTACCTGTGATGTACGGAAAGTCCTACCTGTGATGTACGGAAAGGCTTCTGAAGGACCCCTGGATACGATTAGTCGCTGCATCCGGAGTCCCATCCATCTATCCACCCTAAATCGCTGGAGAATGGCGGCAAGTGGCGGCGGCGGGAGCAGTTCCCTATTGCCCTGGTTTGGTGCCTGCTCCGCCCCACCTTGAATGTAAGGGCGTTATTTCCGGTGGCCTAAACAGGTTATATGGCTTAATGAGGTCAACCAGATAGAAGCGCTGTGCTTTTTGCCTGTGGATGCATAGTGAAAGGGTGCATGTGTAAGACGTCGACTGCTACACCTGAGTCTGATGGTGGAGGCTTGGCTGTGAGTGACGGCGAGGTAGTATCGGACAAAGATATGATTTGGGGGATGACCTAAATGACATGTCGACGTCACCTTTTTAGGTTGTCTGGTAAGATATTGCCGCCGCATGTCTTATCACTTGTGCATGGTAGGAAACATCATGTTGTGCCGCTGCCTAATTGTGTGTTTTGGTGTGTTTTTCTACGAGAGCAGCGTGATTGGCCCTCGGCTACATGGCCTGCAAGGTGAGATGATGTTTCAAAGATTACGAGATATACATGGATTCCCTCCTTGGTCGCAAGTGCGCATTTGTCAGTCCTGACACCGTACACCCGTCCAACTCCCTCACAACGAATTGGCAGTTCGGGGCAGACACCTGGTCCCGCAGCAACCACATCACATAAACACGGAAGCGGCGCAGGAGTTCAACATAGTCACATATAGGTCGAGCCAACAGGGCTTTCGAGAGCACCCTCTGAATGCGCGAGACCGCTTCTCAACAGCTGCTGCTCAGTCTGGGGTTATGTCTGCCAGACAGCACCGGTGATGCGGTCAGAGTAATTTTAATCATTTAACTGTCCGGCAGTGCACTGCAGGAAGTAAACGAGACAAACAACGAGTAACGCTGGTCCCAGCGTACCCTAAGGTTTCTCCATTCGTATGACTAGGCGTGTCGAGAGGACGGAGCGTGCGCCTGCACGCACGCCCACCGGAGGAGGAAAAGTTTTGAGAGAGAGATTCGTGGCTCAGCTACTTGGTCGGCGGGCTAGCCAACGCCTCTCCCTCTTCGGGCTTGTTAGGATCGTTGGCGGCTCCATCGGTTGCGGCATCCGGCAGCACCTCCCCAGCCTCCGTGGCCTCTGCCGCGGCCGCGGCCGCCAGCTCCGCCTCACGCTCGGCCTTCCGTGCCGCTATCTTGGTCTTGAGGTCGGGGTTCATCTCCAACACGGACTCCTCCAGGTCGTCGCCCTTCTTGAAAAACTGCAATAGAAGTTTTTCATCGGTTTCATTTTCACTCAAGATGAGAATTCGGAACATGATATAAATATCTTATATTTGACATGGAAAGATGAAAATCGAGAAGGTGTGGATATTGTAGAAGGTTATGAACGAGGATTTAAGGTGTGTTGTTGAGCTGGTTGGTTGGTTGGCGTGGCGTGTAAGGCTTTGGCACACATTTCCCTCCCCAACACACCAAAATAGCACCGCACCGGTAGGAGCTGTATCAACCTCAACCTCACCTCAAGATAGTTCCTGGCCAAAGTCCGCATCCGCTTCCATGCGAACACAGCCTCCCGTACTCGGCGATACTGAGACTCCACGTCGTTGTCTGGATCCAGATCTTCAAGGATAGGGCTCAGCAGCTCCTGGGAGGGAAAGGGAACGGAACGGAAATGGGGGGAAGACGAACCACCACGAACGGAAATGGGGGAGATGGGAAAGAAAAAAGTGAATAACGCGCTACAAGGGAGGGGAGACAGACGGCCAGAGCGCACGAAGATAAAGGGGGAAACGTACTAAATCACACACGCACACACATATATAAGATTACATATGTAAGATATGTAAGATATATACACATATTGTGTGCGTGTATACATGTATTCGACACTGTCGAGGGTGGGCAGATCCCTTATATCTGTAAAACAGTAATCGATACAAGAGCCAATAGGGTGTTGTTCGCGGGGTTTCCTTCTGCTTGCTGATAAAGGACACTAGCAGAGGATCGCGCATCACAAAAATATAAAATAGGAGGACAAGTGCAACAACATTATGTACTGACCAAGCAAGCAGGGCAACCAAACAGTCCGGACCCAGCCCACGCACGCACTCTACAGAAACCTCCAAAACCCCCATTCACCGGAGGTGTCGGCAGCATGGGCACAATCTCCTCCTCGCCCACTAGGTTCCTCGCCCGTGTACGGCGCTCCGAAACCTTCAACCCCGCCAACGGATCTGCAAGGCCCATCACGCCACGGGATACTGCAAAGCGGCCACCGCCGGTGGCCGCTGCGGCGCCGCCTCCAGCACGGCCGCCACTCGTACCGCGCTTCCGCTTGGGCGCTTGTGCCCCGCTAGCCGTGTCCTGTGAACCGGATACGTAGGCAAGCAGCGTTAACGAGCAGTCCTAGGCACGGGGGCTGTGGACTGGCAGGGTAGGGTATGGCACAATATTTATGGTGCACACACGAACCGTACGCGTAGTTTCTCCCCTTTTACACACACGATGGGTTTGTATGCTTCGTCTGAAAGGTGTACTTCGCCGGCAGGCGACAGCTTTCGCTAACTATGCTCGGACAACCCCCTTTTGACGAGCTAAAGATAGTCCCAAGAGTATTTCACGTGTTGGGAGAAGGTCTTACACGCCGAAAACTTAACATAAGCCCTAACATGTCTTATCTAACGGCCTGTAAGACGGCCTGTAAGGCGGTTCGTAATGCACACTCCATTACATCGTAGCCGCAGGGAAGCCGTCAAGCAAGTCATTCAGCTTCATCCGCGTGTCAGAGTACATACAACTCGTGTTTGCTAAGCTTTGTTGGAGGTGTGTCGTACGCACCCTGTGGGAGGTGGAGGTGATTTCCCGGGTTGGCGGCGCCGATGGCCGAGTGAAGTCCCGGCACAGCTCCGTCGCCGCAGCACTAACGGCGGCGACGGTCGCCGCCGCCGCTGGCGGGGCTGATGGCGACGCTGCCGCCGCCGCCGCGGGCCCTTGAGACGCCGGCGGCTGCGTCCCGTGCTTCCAAGCCACCCAGTGGGCTTCATGTTTCAGCACGCTGCGCACCGCCGCCGCAAACTCAGGACCGTTCTCCTTGGTATCCGAAAGCGCAGCGAAAATCTGCTGACAGACGGGTTCGAGAGGGGGACTTTGGCCTTCTCCGTCCAAGGGAAGGGCTAAAACACTAACGGCGCCTATGCCATTAACCCAAAATAAAAGCAGACCTGTGATGTTGGCATCGCCTCCAACCTAATGTCCTCATACTCAATTTTCCGCATGTCCGTTCACTCGCCTTCGTCCTCATGGCCTCCAAGCCCTCGGGTCGCTGTCCAATGGCAGACTTGTCCGCCTTGCTGGGCTGCTCGATGTACTGCAACAGCGCCAGGCACTGCAGTAGGAAGTGCCGCCTGCAGGACACAGTACGGCACGGCAGATGGGGCAGGAACGTGCGGGAAGCATTGCATGCTTTGGGCGTGACACATGAGAAGAGGGAACGTGGAAGAGAAGAGGAAGAGGGAATAGCTGCCAACACCCGCCTACCCGTCTGTATAAGAAGGTCTGGCTGCAAAGGCCACTGAACCCACCACCTCCAGTTTCATCCAGTTCATGTTGCTTCACTAACCACGCGCCTCCACTCAAGCCCGCATTCGCCTCCACAACCTTCCCACACCACATCGCATCCGCCGCGGCCCTAAGGACATACATACCTGAGGGGGCCGCTGGTGAAGCTTAACCACCCTGTAACGACATACCTGAAGGTGCAGTCACGAACTTGTAGCCCAAATAGCTTGCTGCTGGTCAGGTATCGTGTACCCACGCCGCCGCCACCTTCATCTCCGCCTGTGGCAGGTCCTCCTCCTTCCTCCACCTCCATCGCATCGGTCCCATCGCCAGCACCCCGATGCTGACCGTTATGATGGCTGTGGCGTGCCGCGACCCATGGGCCTGTCGCCGCCACTGGGGTTTTGATGGCGGCAAACTCGTCTAGCACCAACGACATGTCCGCCATGACCTTGCCGTACACTACAGGTTGGAGGACCTGTGAGGGGTTCTGTGGGGTACGGGTGCGGCCGTACAGACCCGGGGGCATGTCCGGGGGTCGAGAAAGGGAAACCCCGATTTTGCGCCATCACCATACTGCCATGCATAACCCTTTCCCTCCAAGCACTTCTTAACTTCACAAACCTCCTCCCCTCTCCGCTTGATTTCCCCCTTCCCCCCCAACCCCCATGCGCCTAGGACGCTGACCCTAATCCAACCCACCCCGTCTTTTATAGCATATATATCTGTTTCTCTCCATCCCCGGCATGCATCAGCACACACACACATATATATGTATATATACACACGCTCTGCTAGACTGCTTCCTTCCCCCCCTCTCGCATACATACACACACACTCTACCACTTCGCAGGACTGCTTGCTTCCGTCAAGCTGCTCGTTTGTCAACCTCGGAGTTCTCTTCCCTCAGTTCGCAAGAACACGTACACCACACCTGAAATATGGCTTGCAGCCCCCAGAAGCACGCGTATAGCCGCCGGTCGATCTGCTCGCCGATGCTGTCCACCGCCCCGGGCTCCACCTCGTCCACCGGCAGGGAGAGGCCCGTGTTGAGGGCGCCCTGGGGTGCACACAACAAGCCCACAACAACAAGAAACGTCCACGGGGGCAAGTCAGCGAGGAGGCAGACCGCAAATACTAGCTCAGAACTACGTAAAACGTGTACACGTGCTGATGACAAGAATGAAATGAAAAATATCTTTCTTGGTGGTTACGGCGGCGGTGGTGGTGGTGGTGGTGGTGGTGGTGTTGAGCAGCATTCGCACTAATGCCAGCACTTTTAGCATCCGAGCGTCCATTGCTCCAAGGGCCCAAGCAGCAGCACCAGCAGCACCAGTAAATCCGCAGAAGGAACAGCCACCAGCGCCCCACCAGCGCCCCAACTCACCGCCACGTTCAGACCGCTCTTGTCGTTCAGTTCGTAGCACCGGGAGATGAAGATGAGAAGCCGGCCGCAGAGCCGTACGTCGTACGCCTGTGCATGTGGTCCCAACATGCAGGCGGGGACGCGGGTGAGCGGGTGAGCTCACGGGGCCGTGAGCTCAAGGCGGTGCTGCTAAAGGCGGAGCTTTACTGGAAAAATCCCGGCGTCTTCTTCCTCCACCTCCTCCTCCTCCTCCGTCGCAAGCAGCATTTCGCCCATTATAAGCACAAGACGGCCACCCAATTGGCAGCATGTAACTGCCTGGAACATCTAGAGTTGATACTTTTTTTAACTCCTTATGTGCACATCTACGTGACTTATCCGTCCAAAAGCGTTTTATAATGTCATGAAACAGCTCTCCGTCACAGCTCCCATGTCACCTCATACACAGTTCACTCTCCCACGTGGCCCATCCCGTAGGCTTTCATCTCTTCCCTCTCGATGTATTGTATTGCTCACCCCGTCGCCTCCCAGCTGCCTCTCAGCCCTCCACTCACCTTTGACAGGCGCCGGAACAGCATATTGCTCATGCGTAGCAGCGCCAGCTTGGCGCCCTGCTCTCGCCGAAAATCCTCCGAGCAAAACACCGCCGACCAGCCAAGTTCCAGGTTCGAACCCGACTCGGGGCGCTCGACGCCGTTGTCGCCACGCTTGGCGGCAGTGGCCATGGCGCCGCCGCCACCCTCCATCAGACGAAACAGATCGGCGCAGTCGGCGATGGTTCCAACCTCCATGAGGCCCTCGAACAGCCGAGCCCAGCCCTCTGCACGAAGAGAAAAACGCAACGCAACGCAACGCCACCACCAAGCCGCCGTAAGCCCAACCACCGCAAAGCCGACAGCCAAATGCACACACGTGTCAAACACGTGCACCGCCGCCAGGGCGCCGTCACCCAGTCGTCCGTGCACGGCAGCCAAGGGGGACAGCGGGAAGGATTCCATGACATGGCGAGAGCTCTTTATGAGTTGGCGAGGTCGACATTTCGACAGGAGGGTGCACTGTGCGCTACGGCCCGGTTAACGCCAGGGCAAAAGGGAGTCAAAAAACAATGCTGATCGATATCGGCCTTTGCGGCCTTTCCACCTCTGATTTAAGCGAAGAAGGAATACCAACAGACCGAATCCAAGCAAGACCCAAAGATGTCACAGATGGGCCTACCAGGGAAAGGCCTACCCCGGCAGCAACCTAGGCTGGAGACCAGGGAAAGGGGCAAAACGAACCCGTTTTAAGGCATATTGGAGAGCTGTCGAATCCAAACCTAGTGCCCTTCCTTCTGAAGCACAGCCAGGGCTTCGCGGGTTTCCGCAGCGCTGGGGAGGGCGGGCGGGTTGGCCCCTCTCACGCCATCCCCTTTGCAGTCCCGTTGGCTCTGTGTCACTAAAGTCCATAGCACCCAGTCTAACCCAGCCCAGTCCATCGCACAGTCAAACCTAGTCCAGCCCGGCTTATGCGTTCTGATCATACTATACAGGTTTGGTACGTTCCGCAGTGCATGCCGCCACTCCGAGGGCGTTCTCTCACCGTAATCGAGTAGCCGCCTTCGCCCACCCGCCTTCTCTGCGTCCTTGATCGGCTCCGTCAGCAGCGGCCGCGCGAGCTCCAGACATACCTGCAGGAACCTATCACCAAAGGTAAAAAAGCGGGAAATCACCACGTGGAAATGGAAAGGTGGGTTTACGAAGCTGGCTCTGCAATGTGCAAGACAGGCAGGACATGGCGCTCAGGACAGCAAGCGGCTCCTTGGGTGGTCCTTGTTGGAGTCTTGGAGGGATTCTTTTTGCAAAAAAATGGAAACGAAACCCGGATGGGCGATTCTAATGCGGTTGCTTTTTCCCAGGAGAGGGCAGGAGCTAGCGAAACCGCACGCGTCGCCCTGGCCTAGGGGCCTAGGGGTAGGTAGCCCCAGAGTGCATGAGCCCGCTGGTGCTAGCCGAGCAGCTCCCGCCCCTGGATGCAGCTCTCTTCCAGATTTTGCAGCCTGGGCCCCGCTTCCCCTTAGGGTGGCCTCAGGTTGCTTTGGTGTGTGCCGTGGGTAGCATGTGGCGATGTGAAATGTGTTGTGTCGCGCGGGCTGAGGCCTCGTGCGCCATACCACCAAGCCCAGCGTGTTTGCATTTTGCTACTAACTAAGCCCCCTCAATTGCAAGCAGCGCCAGTTGACCGGAAGGATGTCCCGCATACGCATTAATCACATGTGCGGTGCACGGCAGGGCGTGAGTTGAGCCCGGCCGCTGCATGTAGGGGGTCGCGTATCGGGGCCGTCACAGGCTATCCTACCTGCCTGCCTAGATTTTCTACCCGGTGGGGAAGTCATGCACCCAGCCGTGAGGTGCACGGTTCGTTAAGATCCACACCTGGGCACCGTTGTAATACCGTCATGTGTCGCGTCTGGATGCAGATACTGCATCAGCGGAAGCCCTTTCGTGACAGCTTGGCTGGCAAGAGACAGGTTGAGCTCAAAGAGCGCATCCTCCAGGCTTTGGCGCTGGGCAGCATCAAGTCCCTGAACGCTGAGTGTGCCATCCTCCTGCGCAAGACCGACCCCAAGCGTAAAACCTCATCAGCATGGCGTTGACGGGGACATAGAGAAGGTGCAAGCAGCGGATAAACCCCACTTTGTCTTCAAAGCCTGCCGCTGGGAAAGCCCCGCCAAGCGCATTCCTAGCTGCGACAGCTGGTTCGAGCGGTGTGTTTATAGCAGCAAGTATTGTGCCCTGTAAGCAGTAAAATTGGAGCTTCAGATGCCGCAGCTATTCCAACAGTTCATCTGCCAACTGTTCGCACCTCAATGCGTGACTTTTCCGAGTCATATTCGGTAATAACGACCATGGTTTATACTAGTGTATCAGTCAGAATGTCTGCGTTTTCAAGGTCATGTTTTCAGTTCGTCCCCGCCTCAGCTAGCGCCAACCTAACACGCGTAACCGCATAGCTTTTGAACACTGTGACAAATAGAGCGCATATACTAGGGACGGCTATGTCGCGATGGTCGTACGACACAGAACATGTGCACTGTGCAGCCTGTGGCTGAGTGGCTTTGTTCTCTTCAACGAAGAGGCAAGTGTGTTATTTAGTTTCAGCAGCACCGGAAGCCTAGCACCACGGTAATCCAGCCTCCCAAGTGCCATGCACCCTGCCTCCCATCTCCCCTGCTCCTGTCCATCTAAAGCACCTTTCAATAACGCTGGTCCCTTTTTCTTGAGCACAATTCAAGGAGTCATACATCAGCTGCAATAATGGTGCAACTCGGTAAAATGGTGTTAGGGTTCGCCCTTCTAAGCTCAGGGGGGACCCTGTAGCCTCGGACCCATACAGGCCTACGCCGTATGCGCCCACGCGCGCAATCCAAGTAGGACATCATTGCATGTCCGGGCCGCTGTGCATGTCAAAGTATCGGAAAATACTCCAGGCCAAGTGCCACAGCGACAACTTCGGTCTAGCCTTACTCGCCTAAACTAACACACGAACCGCCAGGTCGTGTACGCTTCGCATAACCCAAAAAGAGGCCTCTTTGACAGAAAGCTGGATAACAACACCTCTGCATGTCCGTACCGCAGGTTGGCAAGTGAGCTAGACGTCGACACGACTTCCCCCCACCCCTCCCTCCATCCGTTTTCGCAGCTTTCTGTGCATTCTATGACTCCTCACGCCTCCATCCTGCCACCACGACCACGGAATGATGAAACCATCATCATGCGACTCGCATTCTCACTCCTCGCTCCGCAAACGAGTCAAGGTCCTCGCTACGCAAACGAGGTCTCTCAGCAAGATCTCTCAAAAAACGTTTTACTTTTGATAAACCACGACTCATGAAATTCACGAGCTGCCGCCGCACATCTTCATCACATCCTGGCGCCGTATCTTATTCGGCATCACAGCTCCGGCCCCACACGACCTTCCACTCTTATGACACTGCGGCACGGGAAAGAGCTTAATCCATGCTGATGATGCCCCTCCACCGTTTGCCGTTGCACTCGCCACAGCGCACCGATGATCCCCTCTGGTCTGCGTGACGTCATCCTTTTTCATGCCATATTCATCCTTCCCTTCATTCGTTTTCACATGCGCACAATTCACATTTCAGCTTACGCAATTTGCAAACACAGACAACGGAGAAAACATGCTCCGCCTCGATGGAGCTCAATTTACAACACCGAAACGAACCACCACCAGACTCGTCGGACTGTTGGACCAAACGGCCAAACGGCCGAGGGAACGGCACCACCGCGTTGAGAGAGGAGATGTGGGTTGGAGCGCCCCGACCTGCACGCCTACACGATTACCCGACACCGTGTAGGCGTGCAGGTTGGGACTCAGATATCGGAGAGACCCAGACATTCGGCCTCTCAACAACCACCCACCCACCCAACCAACCAACCAACCACCCGGATGGCGGCTCCCCCTCCCGATGTGCCCTGGGTCCGCAGCCCCACATCATCGCGTCCGTACTCAAAAACGGCTCCGTACAGTTGCTCACACATCACTCAAATCCCAAAGCATTCATCCAAATGGACGTACCCATCCATGACGGACCCATCCCTGGTCCCACAGGGAAAGCCTTCCCATCCCCTTAGCCGCCTCTCCTCTCCTCTCTGTCCCCCTTTCCCTCCCCCTTCCTTCCTTTCCCAACCCCCTCCGCTTCACGGCTGCCCAGCTCCTTAATTAATACTCCATGCACCGCCCGCAGCACCCCGACGACCCCTACAATGGTGGGCCCTAGGAGGAGGTCGACCTCAGCGACCCCAGCAGATTGAAGAATAGGTGGAAGACCGCAGCGCGCTCCCTCCTCTCATGCACCGTGTTTCACCTTGACGCCCCGGCACTTGGGGAGGGCGGAATGCGCTTAGCGACCAGCTGGCTAGGACTAGGGCGCCGTACATCCCACGCAAGGCCCAAAAGCTCCAGACCACGGATGAAGTAGTACGACATATCGATCTACGGGAACCACGCAGTTGAGAAAACCGACGAAACAGCAAAGGGTCAGTAACAGCAATATCCGGCGACAGCGCAGTAACAGCACAGTAACAGCCAAAAGCGGGAACGGCGAAGTGAGCACGACGCGGTGCAGCAGGTTTCGCTCGTCTACCCTTTGATGCGAAGAAGACCAGAAACACATGAGGCAGGGAGCTTTGGGAATGATGTAGAGGTCAGTCCTCCGTGGATGCGACCCGTGGGTCAGTGCTGCTTAAGCCTTTGGCCGGGGCGTTTTAGGCATGGTAGCTCACCTCCCACCACTCCAGACCGTGCGCCGCGGAGTACTCGAAGGCGTGGTGGTTGTTGTGATGCCTGAGGACGGAGAGTACGGCAGCGAGGAAGTACGGCAATGCGGGAGCGCACCACACAACACCGCGTGACCTTCAGGGCAGTAAACACACCTGGGGATGTGTTGACGGCATTGGCAGATGATGCGTAGTTTTACACCGAAACCCCTACTTGGTTGGAGAAGCCATTGTAAGGTTAAGGATCAGCTCATGCATGGGAGTGGGAGGAGGAGGGAAAGCACGTGGCGGATATGTATTGTACGTACCCGTCGCCGAAGACCAGCAGGCCCACAATCCAGTTGTTCCGGGAGTTGTCATTGGACACGTACCTGGGGAGCACATGCAGGGGAGCACACCAAGGTTAACACACACACACACACACAGACAAACACACAGACAAACACACACATATACACCACAGGGGAGTATACCGGAGGAATGGAGGAACGCAATGACGCTGAAGGCGGGGGAAGGGAGCGAGAGATTGCGGAGAAAGGGGAGGCGGAAAAGAGCTTGGAGGACTGCGCATGTCAAACATCTGTTCCAAAAAACGTCCTTCAGTCAAATAGCATACCCCAACTCCACATGGATTCATGGGTCTGTCCTGACTTTCACCTCACAGCACCGGACATTGAATACCACCCCGTCATACGGTTCGCACCCACCGCTGCTCGCCCCAGATGTGCACGGCGCTGTTCACCAGCCAGGTCATGTGCCTGCGGGAGGAGGGGGGAGGCCAGCAGGAGGCGAGCGCCAGCCGAGGGGGAGGAGTGGGGAAGACACCAGGAACGGTTAGTAGTAGAGTGATTTACATGTTGGAGGGAGAGCTGGGAAAGGAGGTGTCGTGTAGTAGTGTGTAGTGGTGTGTAGTGGTGTGTAGTAGTGTGTAGTGGTGTGTAGTAGTGTGTAGTAGTGTGTAGTGGTGTATAGTGGTGTGTAGTGGTGTGTAGTAGTGTGTAGTAGTGTGTAGTAGCCACATCCTACCACAATGCCCCCACCAAAACCGCCCGAACCCCGTACACCCGTTCCCCGTAACGCCCCCCTTTTCAGCACGCACATGGTGAGCAACACCCGGATGACGAAGCCCCACACCAAGTACGGCACGCCGCCAAGTGCGAAGAAGAATGCCGCCTGGCCGATCTGGTGGTACATGTAGGTGGCCCTCAACCAGCTGTAGAACTCAGGAGACTCCTTGTAAAACCAGGGGGGTGACAGACTGTCCTTCATATTGCCATTGGCATCACGCCTGCGGTGCGCGTTCGCGGGTTGCGTGTAAGGAGAGTGTCGAGGGGCGGCTCCAGGGAGGGACAACACGAGCCGGAGGGTGGGAGAGGCATTGGGCCGGGGGGGGGCAGGGTCGAAAAAGGAGTGGGGCATCCAGGCCTGAGTGTACGTATGTTCCTACGTAACGATGTACATGTAAATACCTGGTGCTGTTGAGGCTTTCATCGAAGAGCCAACCCATATGGGAGTGCCAAACACCGTCCCGGGGTGAGTGGCGGTCCGCGGTGGTGTCCGAGTGCATGTGGTGCCAGCGATGCATCTTGCTCTGTACGACATTGGTACAGGGTTGCGGGGGGAGGGTGTTTAGGGAATGAGGAAAAGGCTAGCATAACCGGACGCTGGGTACAGCGCGACGTAAAGGAGAATGGCGTTAATAGCAGATACATGCCGACTTGCATACAGAGATGCACTCACACACACACGTACATACATACATGTGAACACACACACACACATGTTCACGCAAACAGTTACGCATATACATACCTGCATACAGATGACATACCTGCATACTGTTGTGCACAATGCGGCCCCAGGCAAAGACGGCCTCCACTGCTTATCCCCCTAAGCGGTTCACACCGACACAATCCAACACCACCCACCCATTCCACGGGGTCGCCCTCAAAGGCCAGAGCTCCGCAATAGGCCAAGAAGTACTCCAGCGGCTTCACACAGCGGAAGGACTTGTGGGACAGCTGCCGATGGTAGCTGACGGAGATGCCCAACATGCCCGTCAACACATAGCTGCACGGCGGTAGAGGATGATAAATCCAGGTAGTAGGTTGCGGCGGTAGAGGACAGCCGGATTGGATCATCAGTTCGAAGGGATGTCTTAAACTGTTCGGATCATGATGACCCACCATCGCGAGGAGGAGGCTTCAACGTGTTTGCAGCAAGGCGGTAGATGTGCGTCGCCGGACAGTCGCGTTGACGCCGTAAGGTTGTAATAGTTCTATGGGTTGGTAGAAGGAAGGAGGAGCGAAAGGGAGGTAGTCGTTTACTCACCCCGCCAAGCAAACCTCCAGGGCCTCCCAACTGAAGGTCAACGGTCCACCGATGACTGCGACAAGGTGCATGGCTGCGAAAAAAGCGAGGTAGCCAACCTGTACGAGACGATGGGATGAGGAGGGGCCCACGCGACGCGGTCGTGTTTACTTAGTTATCACTGCTGCTCTTATCATCTTCACTGCCGTAGTCGCGGAACTCTTCGGTAATGAGGCCAGCCTGGGATAAAATGGGTTCCCTGGGGTCCTTATCAAACCTAGGAAATAATGGACGAGTAAATACATGAGTCTTTTCTCACGTCTGTATCGGTGTACGTGCGGTTGAAGAAGTACGGCCTTAGCTTCTGCACCGCCAAGTCGGAGCCCGGGACTTGGTACCGCGGGAACGGCGGGTTCAGCAGCGTTTCCGGGTCCAAGTCCTCTGGTTTTGCGAGTTTGAGGCCCAATATTGCCGTGAAAGCCTACGGGAGGGCATTTCGAGGGCAACGGGCTGCTTGAGGCCTCAGAGCTCCTTGCGGTTGGCCATCATCGACGGTCACACCTTGGCAAACGCCTTCCGACTGCCCCCAGTGCTGCTTACGCGCTCCACAACTACTTCATCTTTAGTTTTCTGGGTCGCGACTTCTGCTTGCTCGAGCTTCGCTCGTATGCATGCACAGCGACCGAGCCGAGAAGCAGCTTGTCTATGACATCTCAACAGTATGTTTGCATGAGTTAAAAAGCTCGCTTGTTTAACTATAGGCTTGGAGCCGTTCCTGGACTGCAACTTACAGCTGTTGAGCATTTTTCTGAGGCCGGCCCTATCCTCTGCACGAGGCCTAATATATGCGGGCAAACAAAATCTTAAAATGTTACAAGGAAAGAGCGTATCGGGAGTACTTGGTTTCACTCCTCTTGGATCAAGATTTGGCACCGTAGACTTCGCAACCGCTAACCACCTCGGGACGCGCGCTGGGCAGCTGGGCTCCTGGCCCCTGGGTGTATATACATTCCTTATGATAGCTCTGTTCACGCAGCCTAACATAATTAAGAAATGCATCTGTTGCAGAGTCGTATTTGCCCATTTGCTCCGATTGGCTGTCGTGTACGTCACGCCGGCATGTCGATACCGGCGGGCTTTTGGCTCAGGGCTTGATGCTCCCCACTCCAAAACGTTCTTGTGATGACCCTACTCGTGCATGCCCAGGTCCGTAACCGTTCCCGTAACCGTTTCAATGCGTACACGCAATCACACCCAATCACGTTAAGCCTTTGCAAAGAGGGTAAAACGGCGTCATATATATGCACAGGTAACCTCCCCTCAATCAAGTCCTCGCTAAAGCCCGGTCTCTCTTGTCCACGCAGTACACGTCCGTACAGGCTACGGCACCTTTCCAGTCCATCCGCAGTACATGCACAGTACCAAGGAAACAGATCAGGATCGGAATCCACAACGATGCTCCCATTCCTCCGCAACATGCATGCAATGCGCTAGGTTTCTAGATCATGACTAAACAGGTCCGCAAGTCCGTTTCACAGCACAGCGACGTTACCAAGGGGAAACAGACAGGTCCAGCCAATGAAACATAGCTCCAGAGCCCCAAGTTAAGAGCGCTGGCTTCAGCTCACCCATCAGGGCAGGTACTTCAAAGGGCCGCGAAGCTATAGAATTAGCCTTAGAGCACCAGGGATGGTGGCGAGATAGATCGTCCGTAACAAGCCCGGGCCCGTCAGAGGTCTCATTGCGCTGTTCTGTGGGTGGGGGGAAACTAGAGGACACAGCGGGACAAACCTCTTGGTAATAGTCAAAACAACGGCAGTTAAAGAACCAATGCGGCTGTGGGACCCAAGTAGGAGCTTGGCGTCCCCTGCCGTACTGTGGTCCGGCACGTGCATGCATGCGCCCTACTTCCACGCACCACGGCAGTTCCTTCGCAATAACTACTTGCCTATCTCTACAATCGTAATTCGCTGGGGGAAGTCGAAGCCTATTTTATGATGCACGTCGGGGGCCTTATCAGCCCCCTTAAGTCAGAACTTAATTTCGGACACCACAAGTGGGGAGATTGCGGCTCGTGTGCTGCAAGTCCGTGACATCAAGTTGGCGTCCCTCCAGCATATAACTGCCAGTTGTATCCAGTGCCCTCGCGCCCACACCCTTCTCCAGTGCCACGTTTCCCAGTCGCCGAGTGGTAGGCTTTAAACCTGGTAGGTTTTAAACTCTGCCTGATCCGAACATGCCAAGCCTGGCGCGCCGACCCCACCCGCGCCAAGGAAGAGGATAGTACGAGGACAAGATATACATGGATACAGCGGTAATGGCATTAATGAGGGGCATATAAAACAAGCATATGAAAAACTAAAAACGCTAGTTCCTAACGTTAAAATCTTTAAGTAAACACTCATCAGTGACACACGCATACGACGCGCTATCACAAATTCGCAACCGTACAAACCACAGCCGTACAGTATACCCCAGACACCGTACCAACCGTCACTATCTCCTGCGCTGTAGCATTCGAATCTCTAAAGAAACCGCTAAAACTACCCTAACTATGTGCTTCAACTGATGCGATGCCTTTGCAACTGGGCCGCTCTAAGAAAAACAACCAAATGTTCCAAGTTCCGAGGAAACGTAGAATACCGTAATTTGGAGACTTTATCTTTGGTAGCAGCGCCGGTCTGCCAGTTGTCAGGTAATCGCCTGTCTGCCTGCGCGATCCCGTGGTGTGGATCCTGCCTCATATCGCCAGGTTCCCGCGGGGTTCGACTGCCTTCGCCATATGTCACCCGATACCGTGAGTAGCCTTAGCCGTGCGTATGTAGAATCTTTTGTACTGATGTTGTATTCATCCCTTTGGTTCTGTGCCGTACATATCTTGCAATCCCCCACGGCGCATCCAACACTCATCCCTAGCCGCCCCCCCGTGCGTGACTGCTCTCACGAATAGTTTTTTTGTTTCGCTGAAATGTATTTTTTTATTAATTTAACTTATCGTTATTCAGCTTTATGTATATTCAACTTAAGTAACTCCCAATGACATCCGTTCAACTCCAACGTCAGCTTCGCTGCAATGTCTCTCGGTGTTTTCGAGCTCCCCTTCGAGCTGCCCTGCACGCCGCTGGACGCACGCGACAGAGGAAAGCACCAGCCGTAGCAGCAATAGAATCACCCGTAGCATAAACATTAACGGCAGTAGTACTTATGCGTTCCGGACCTGGTATGCTATCGTATATCGGCGCTGCCAGTCGCCGCTGCTCTTGCTGCTGCTGCTGCGACTGATGCTGCTTCCCGCTTTTCTGCTACCCCCTTCCCGCTACCGATTGTGTCCAGATGGGCCTGACGTCGCTCATCCAGGCACCCAAGGCAACTGCGGGAGGTGAGCGTGACGGAAGGTAAGGACAGAATAGGGAACACCAACTAACAACAAGATCACCAAGTCGAAAACTGGAAAAGAGAGGTTAAAGCAGGTACAGCCCGTGCTTATATGAGGAAAAATAAGGCTTGCATGTCGTACAACGCCAGAACACGCACACCTGATAATGGTTTCGGGGCCAGCAAGCGCGAATTCCCGCATCACAAGTAGGTGCGCTGTCAGGGCCCGCCGTAGGTCGGGGAAGTTGGGTGATGCGGCAATCTCGGCTCCCTCGGAACCTTTGACAAACTGCAACAGCCTGCGGCCCGAACGAAGGAAATATCATACGACGATGATGATAATAATGATGATGATGAAGATGAAGATGAAGATGATGATGATGTGGAAGATGACGATGATGATGACGGTGGTAATTATGGTGCAAGAGACGCAATGGGTCAACTACCTAAGACGGCCCAACCACCGGCCAGGGAGGTGGACGCGAGGCCCAGCGTCCGGCATTAGGAACATTTTGCCATCGTGGTGGTCATGCGCTGGTGGTCACGGTGTGCAAGTGGTGTGGAACTGACTTGAGTTGTAAACTCTGACGTAATTGATAAAAGGCCGGGAGGCCCTTAAAAGCAAAGGTGGGGTGCCGTACACGTGCATGTGAGAAGTATGTGTGGCATCTCATCTGCATTTCCGTCGCACATCTCAGTTCATAAAAGGTTCATATAAAGGACGAGGGAGGAAGGATGATTTTGCACCTGCCAAATGCTTGTAAAAAGCAAGCATTGCCATTTCTGCCTGCTCGTCCTGTTCGTACAATTCGTACCTTTCCGGCATGATACGGTCGCTGTGGAGCGGGTTCCGGCGGGCAAAGCGATTCCACAAAAACATGAAATGCTGTTCGCCTGGAGATAAAAGATAGATGAAGAAAAAGGCGACGATGCTGTTGAAATTGGAAAAGAGGAAGAAGAGGAAGGAAAGGAGAAGGGGAATGCGGGAGCGCGGAGTAGAGATGGTATGATTTGATAGCAGGTGGGCTGCCTAACAGAGATTTTAACAGGCATGCCCACACATGCATCTTCCACGTTAATAAAACCCTCACACCAAGAATGCCCCGCCCCGCTGATTTCCTCCTCTAGCGACGGTAGCCTCCCATACTTTCCCCCCGGTCACAGACACAGACGCGTACTTGGAGATAGCGGTGCGCTGCACGGCAGTCCCGAATCCACGCTGTGAGGTGCCGCCAGTCCAGCAAGGTGACCCCTCTCGGTCCGCTTTATTTGAACAGAGTGGGTTCGTTCGATCAAGGACGGACCAAATTAAACTCAAAACAGGCAGAGTAGCGAATGGGTATATAAGTTGAAATATGAATATAAAAGCCAAACCAATGATAACAAGGTCAGGAAGCGAAAGGAATCAAAGCAAACAATAACTTCTGCGCCCGGAGTATCCGGGTTCAAATCCGCCTGACAACCTCTCGGATGTTTGAGAGGTGGTGAAATGGGAGGTGGCCCCCCGTCTTGTGGACGGTGTAGGGCGTGATGAAAGCAGCTTGAGAGCTGACCCGGAACTAAGTTGACGCGCCGTTGATCCGCTAGATTTGATTGGATGCTGGTGGTGAGTTGCCAAACTCAAAGAGTACACTCTGAAGTCGGATGGGGTGAATGGATCAGGGTGCCCCTCTAACAGGGGAGAGCAGGGAATTGCCTCGGGAAGGAGGCCACTGGTGAAGCTTAACCACCCTGTAACAACATCAACAACATCAACAAAAGGGCTCAAAACGGCGCAAAAAGGCGGCAAAAGGCACCTAGCAAAGTTTAGAAAGTAATGTTCTTTCTTCACAGTGGCGCGCTCTCCCTCGCGCGCGCTCTTTTCGGCGATGCCTTGTCGCCCGACTCGGAAGTCTCAGGAAGACTGACGTCTCAGTTGAATCCATCTCACCTCCCACTCCTCGTCATCGGTGTCGCTGTCGGAGTCGCTAGTCACCGTCACTCCCACAGCGACTTGGGCAGGCTGGGCCTGGGCCTGGGCAGTGTCCTCCAGAGTGGTGGGCCCGGCCACCGCCGCCGCCGCCGCCACCGCGGTCGAGGGCCCCCCGTCCGCTGCCATCACCGCCGCCGCCGTCGCTGTATTCTTCATTGCCGCCCCAAACCTCCGCTCAACCTCCTCCTACAGCAGCATTTGCGGTGTCGATGTGCGTGTGTGTGGAAAGTTATGAAAACTGTGGACGCGGAGTTAACATGAGAGCCTTTTTAATTTATTTTAGCGAGCCTATTGTGCAGGTGAAGCGGGTGAAGCGATTGCTGCTGGACATACATACGGCGTCCTCCTGGACAGATCAATCCACAAAGACGAAACGCAACAATTGTAGGACAAACCCGCTGACAAAGGCGGGAACAAATGCCGTCGATACACCGGCACCAACATCAGCACCAACACGCCACCATCTCCCGCTGATCCAGCCACGCCAAGACTCACCTTGCTGAGGGGCATCAGGCTACGGGAATGTACGAACACCCTGGCCAACCCTAAGTCCTGACACAGCCCTGGCCGGGTCAACTGCTGGCTGCTAGTCACTCGGACGAGCCGGCAGCAGGCCGCTGCTGCTGCTGCTGCTGCGGCGGCGGCGGCGGCTGTTGCTGCACTGCCGCCGCCGCCACCGCGGCGACAGAGGCGCCCAGCATTGCCGACGCCGGTTGCAGCCGGGCGGCTGCGCTTGCTACCGACAACGTCGTTATCGCCGCTGCCGACACCGCCGCTGCTTCCAGGCATGCCCTCTCGCAGGCGATGTAACGGTGGCTTTGGCGGCCTCGGGCACCCGGCAGGTGCGCGCCGTGGAGGAGCAGTGGCACCTTTGGGCTCGGCTGCAGCAGCAGCAGTAGCTGCAGCTGCCATGGCATCTGCATCCATCGCAATGGGCCGAGACGGGAACTCGGTCCCAAAGCCTTCCGGCGCGGCCGCTGCGCCGGCGGCTTCGACGGCAGCCTCGTGGCCGGTGCCATCCCGCTTGCCGGCTTGAATACATCGCTGTTGGGTCCCGCCACTGCCACTGCCACTGCCACTGCCACTGCCACTGCCGCCCACGCCGCCGGGGCAGTTGCCACGGCCTCCTGCTCCTGCTCCTCCTCCTCCGCCGCCGCTGCTGCGGCCGTACACATCGCCATCCTCGGCTTCCAGCCAAGCACCCTGGGAGTCCGCAAGGTTGATCTCCTCCTGCTCCTCCTCCCCCGCCGCCGCTGCCGCCCCAGCCGCACACTCCAAGTGGCTCACAAGCATCAGTCGCAGAGGATGCCAGGCTTTGCGCCGGCGGCCTGCACCGGCACGGCAGCCGCCTCCGCCTCCGTCTCTGTCGGCCACAGCGGCACCGCCTCTGGCGGCAGCGGACAAGGTCCAGGGCTCCAGGGGGGCTGGAGCCGGTAGCTCAATTCGCAGCATGGTTGGGACTCGCGGCACTGATGAGTCATCTGTGGTTGGACGAACGCCCGAAGCGCCATAAGGCCCATCAGGGAGGCTCTGGCTGACGGCGGCGGCAGTAGCGGCGGCGGCGGTACCGGGGGCCTGCTGTTCGACGTGTTCGCGGGTCGCAGCAAAGCACACTACCGGCATGGCGGCCGCGGCGCCGCCAGCATTAGCGTCCGCCTTGTCGCCCCTTCCATCACCATCACTATCGTCATCGTCATCATCCATTACGGTTGCGTTGCTCCCACCCACGAGTCGTGCACCCACCACATCTCCGTCCTCGTCTTCGTCGTCGTCGTCGTCGCTGTCATCAGATATTACGATAGCGTCGCCAGCTGTGGTGCCACCGCCGCCAATGATACGGCCGCTGTCTCCGCCGGTGCTGCGGGGGCGGCATAGGGCCCAATCGGAAGGGTTACCGCGGGGCCCCATTTCACCAACCTGTTGCTGCTGCTGCTCTGCCCCCGGCTGTAGCTCCTGCACCTCCTCAGGGACTGCGGCCACTGCGGGACAATCCCCCGCTGCAGCACCGCCAGCTTCGGCGTTGCTAGCGGCAGCAGCAGCAGCAGCAGTAGCAACAGCGGTTGCCCCGGCAACCCCAACCGCCGTTTGTCCACCAAGGTGACCGCCTGCCGCGGCCCCATCGTCTTGAAGCACCTCCCGCGCCTCCCCTTGCCCTCCCAGCATCTGATCATCTTCTCCAACATAGTCGCTAGTCGTGTCGAAAATGCGCCCATCGTACATCACCCAATCCTCCTCGACTGTCTTGAGGTACCGTACGGAGCTGTACGGCATGGTACGGTCGGGACGATTTCCGTACGGGGTGTCAAGCGGCATCAGTAGCGACATCCAATCTGATGCATCAGGGGAGCACATGAGGCGGATGCACGCGCGCGGCGCCGCTGCACTGTCATCGTACAGGTCGCCGTCAACGTCCTCATCCGCCGCCAGTCTTCTCACGGCGGCGGCCTCCACGGGCCTGGCATCGCACTCCAAGATAGCCGTCAACTCACTGTGGCACGACCTAATGTGCGCCATGAGACAGGCCAGGTTGTCGTACGTGTACGGTGATTTGCAGATCTCACAGTGGAGGTCATCCGCTGCTTCATCGTACAGCCGGCGGCCCCACCGCAGCCTCTTACCGCCGCTGCCGTCAGCGGCGTCACCTGTTGCGTCGCCTCCGTCACCGCCGCCGTCCCCAACGCCGTTACCGTCTTCACCTTCATCCTCACCAGATATGTACGGCGCGTGCCAAGACCACAACACATGTCGCTTCTCGTCCTTAAAAATCTGCTCGTCCAAGTCCTCCATGGGCCCCTTGAGCAGCCGTCGTCGCCGTCGCTGCCAGCGACGCCGCAGATGCTCGGCCCGGCAGCAGCGTCGCTTCGCCGCTGCCACCGCCATAAGCCCATCCCCGCAACCAACCCCACCACCACCGCCGCCGCCCCCGCTCGCCGCTGCCGATACTGCCGCCGCTGCAAGGCCATCCTCACCCAGCGTCTCCACCCTGGCGCCGGGTAGTACGGCAACTTGCTGACGTGGAGCCTCCAGCAGGTTCCGGAGCGTCCATCCCCGGAGGCCAAGATCCACTGACATGCTGGTGCCGGCGGCCGCGGCTCCTAACGGCCCAGCAGCCTTGTCGTACGGATCTAAAGCAATCGTTGGGATCTCCACTCCCGCACTTTCAGGCCGGACGGCCGGGTTAGGTGACTCCCAAACAGACTCGTGCCTGATCTGGCAATGTACCATTCGTACACGCACGAAGCTGAACGGCTCATCAGCTGGTTCAGGCCTCCGGTCATGAACCCCTCCGCCGGCCGCCGGCGGCTGCGGCGCTGCCGCCGCCTCCGCTGCCGCTGCCGGCTGCGCCAAACTCGTCGACCCGTGCACCCTTTTCCTTGCCCGCCGCACCGCCGCCGCCGCCGTTGCCGCCGCCGCGGAGGCCGCTGACGAGGCCAGAGATCCGCCGTGCCGCACTGTCGTACTCGGCAGTCCTTGTACGGATCCCAAAGTAGTGGGCCACCGCAGGTCTCCATGAGCCGGCGGCGTCCATCCGGGGCGCCGTGACCCATGGGTCTGCACCTCCGCCACGTCCGCTGCCGTACACGCCGGCGCAAGGACGGCCGCCCAGAGGGGAGTGCACAGCGGGAAGACGCTGAACGCGGGACCCAGACCCTCGTCTGCAATGGCCGTGTGAAATAGTTCCTCTTAGCTTTTCCGCCGTTCTTTCATTGGCTTGGGAAAGTCAGATTAGGCTCAGACACCTATAGCGAAGGACCCTGAGCAGCAGGACTCTGGTAGTCTGGAGCTGGCGGGCACGTGGACAGCTTCACGTGCAAAGCGATGGGATCATACAGGCCGTTTAGGAAGACGGGTTCATGCAACAGGCAACAAATCGGCACATAGATGACAGAGAGGGGTGGAGAGAGAGAAGGGGGCAGGGAGAGAGAGGAGGGGAGGGAGAGAAAGGAGGGGAGGGAGAGAGAGAGAGAAAGGGAAGGGGGGGGAGAGCCACCCAGTGGAATACTCGCCAGGGTTAACCACCCGAGGAACCTCCGTACCAGTGGCTGACTCCAATTTGCGACATGAGGGTAGGCACAGCCGAGCCGCCAGCTCCGAAACCCCCTCTGCAGGTTACATCGTACCAACACAAACAACGCAACAGGAAATTGTTAATATTATCAACAAGTCATCATCGTCATCATCAACGTGATCATCATAATTATATCATCACTACGGCTATCATCATCGTCGCCATCATGAGACAAGCAACATGCCTTCCTGGCCGTCCGCGGGAAGATAACGTAGGGAACGGATAAGGATATGGATAAGGAGAGGGAACGGAAGGGAGGGGGCGTGTGAAGATGATGGGAGGCGGTGGGGAGATGTATGCTTGCATGGTTGTACCACCAAGAGGTCCTCTCACGCCTTCTAGCTGGTCTATGCACTGAATTCCGGCCCTCCCTCTCCCTCCTCATCCCTGGCATGACGAATCAATTGCACCCCTTCGGATCCGCGCACGTCTGTCGTTACATTGTACAGTGTCTGTGTGACCAGTCAGTTGCCCAGTCAGTTAGTCAGGCAGTCAGTTGGCCAGTCAGTTGCCCAGGCAGTTAGTCAGGCAGTAAGTTGGCCAGTCGGTTGCCCAGGCATTCAGCTTGGCCAGTCTGTGTGACCAGTCAGTTGCCCAGGCAGTTAGTCAGGCAGTCAGTTGGCCAGTCACTTGCCCAGGCAGTTAGTCAGGCATTCAGTTGGCCAGTCTGTGTGACCAGTCAGTTGCCCAGGCAGTTAGTCAGGCAGTCAGTTGGCCAGTCAGTTGCCCAGGCATTCAGTTGGCCAGTCTGTGTAACCAGTCAGTTGCCCAGGCAGTTAGTCAGGCATTCAGTTGGCCAGTCAGTTGCCCAGGCAGTTAGTCAGGCATTCAGTTGGCCAGTCTGTGTGACCAGTCAGTTGCCCAGGCAGTTAGTCAGGCAGTCAGTTGGCCAGGCAGTTAGTCAGGCATTCAGTTGGCCAGTCAGTTGCCCAGGCATTCAGTTGGCCAGTCTGTGTGACCAGTCAGTTGCCCAGGCAGTTAGTCAGGCCGCCAGTTCCCAGGCAGGCTATGCACCAAGCCGGCCAGCTACCCATCCACCTACCCGAGTACATGACCAGCAGTCGCAGCTGGGGAGCCTCCTCGCGATCCTCCTCACTCAAGTTCAAGGGAAAGGAACACGCGCCACCCCCACCGCCACCGCGGCTGTCACAGCCATGGTGCCAGCCGCCGCCGCACCTGCTATCGCCGCCGGCAGCTGCGGCAGTGGCAGCGCCGTTGCCAGCGGCGCCGCCGGCAATGGACCCCTTGGAACGCGTCCGCCGGTCACAGGGTGCCTGCCGCCAGCCCGCCGTCGCCATGGCTACTGCCGCCGCTTCCGCCGCCACCGCTGCGCTGACGCCCATCGCCTGTTGCTGCTGTTGCTGCTGTTGCTGCTGAGATTGCCTTGTCGGTCCTGATCTCTCAGTGTGCAAGGCTCCGTTCGCGTCTGGCGAGGGCGGAATGGCCAGCAGCCGCGCACATCCCGGGTACGGCACCAACCGATTCTGTTGGCGTGCCGCACACCGGCAGACCAGTGCACACAAGCATGCCCATCCCAGGAAGGGCCGGTGAGATGGGGAAGCGTTGGGGGTGTTTTTCAGGTAACAGGAGATGACAAAAAGTAGAAAACCTGCCTTCACTGGAACCCACCTGTTTTCCTTAGCCGCCCCTTTACTTTCTCGCCCTTCGCCCGCTCCGACACAAGGATACACGCCCAGACATGACACATCCCGCTGTTCGCTTTGATGATTTGGTGTAACGGTGCCTGTCTGAGGTAAAAAGCTAGAAACGTGCAACACAGGTGTGCCCGGTGCTCGGCGCACCTACCGGGTAGGCGTATGGCTCCACGCACAGCACCACTGCCACATACCGCCAGGGCAAGCTCATGTCTTGGGATAAGGCTAGGCGCCCGTCGCTGATGGCTGCGCTGGGGCGAGAAGGTCCCGCACCCGCCGCGTCTTGAGGAACGGCCATGGCGGCAGCGGGGCCTGCTGCGGTAGCAGCGCCAGCGGCCCAAGGTTGTAATGCTCGGAGGGCTTTAATTGTAATGGTGAGTCCGTTGACCGACTCATGGCGCATCAGGTGATGGGAGCCCTGGTGGTAGAGGAGGCCTTTTCGCCGGAAGGGGGGTACCTACACCATCGACGCAACCGTGCGATGCAAGCGGGCTCACACGGCTTTTGTAGGTGCAGATGGTGCTTGCACGACGCGACCACAGATGGAAACAAAGATGGTTTTGAAAGCTGCCAAGGTGTGTCCGTTTTCGACGAATGTTTCGCAACCGCGTACAGCCTGGTCGTTTGTCGGTTTACCTTGTCCTCGGCTCGCGCAGGCAAAACGTCAGCATATAGCCTCCATATGCTGAAGACCTCAAGATCGTACGCGTTTTGAAATTCCTCCTCGGAATCGTCCTCCATTTTTGCAGGCCTTGCAGAACTTGCAGGTTGGCAGCGCGGCGAAAGCGTGACAGCCCTGGTTTCGCAATTCATTACGTTTTTGTTGTGAAAAACATACGGTATTCATGCCTGTAGCATATTAAATAAATTGTCTACGGGCGTCATCCAGAAAAGTAAGTGGAGAGTTTTTTCCCCTATTTTACGGGTCGACATCGTTAGGTATGATGCTGTCGCAGAACTAAACAGCCGTGTCTTTGGCATGTTGGCGTGCTAAGGAACAATCAGTTGTCAACGACAAAACAATCATGGCCCCGATTGCCACTGCGGCAATGCAATTTGCACTGCAGATATTTCTCAGATGGCAGCATAAATTATGCGGCATAGGAGCTGTGTCAAATCTAAGGTTCGGTGCATCTGGCTGTCTGTAATGGCGGTTATTTACGGTTCCCGTCGTACTTCGGTGGTTACAAATGCCTAATCGCCGCCTGCTGTCTGCAATGTTCCTTGGAGCGTTGCACCGACCTGATCGGGATCCACTCTTAACATTGCAAACTGCCGGCAATGCCTGGCAAGGGCTTAACACATCCAACAGGCATAGACAGCGTCCTGTCGCAGGCACGCGTCCTTTGTTGCAACGGCGCAATTGCTTCGCCTTCGGAGATGTTGTTTTTGCTTAAAGGGCTTGGCAAATGCGTTCGGAACAAATGCTTCCGCACAAAATCTTCGGTGGGTCATTCAATTTAAACCTAGACCCACGGGGCTGCTCAGGGGCAAATCGATGATACTGTGTGTGGTTGTTACAGTGGGCTCTAAACTCACGAAGAGTAGAGCCAGCGGGCCAGATGATACTATTATATGGCGAGCATGGAGGGCCGCAAACAAGCGTCACGCAAACAGTAGCATCCTGGCTTGTAACATCACACCCCTGTACCCTAGCTAACCATGGCACCCTGATCGCCTACACTTGCAAAGCACATTCGCATCCTTTTGGCTTTCACACAGGGACATGGGAGCTGTAACGAAAAAGCAGCGACAACACAACAAGTCGTACAAAAATGGCCCGGCAGACCCAAACGTCAAAGGGAACACGGACATAACCGAAAACGGTCACGGAGTACGATAAAAGGCATCCAATCAAAACGCGCCAAACTTTAAACCAGGTCGAATCGCCTTTTACTAGGCAAATGACCCAGCCTTAAAGCCTTTCTTGAAACGTCAAAAGCCTCACACCAGTGCTTGTCCTTGACCCTACATTCCAAACGAGAACCATGGCCCACGGCACAGCGCCAAGGTAACGATTGTCAGCTTACGCAGTGGCCAAAAAGCCGCGGCACAAAGCAGAGACAACCCCGTAGCAACCCGACGGGTGCGTTACAAAACGCATTCCGGCGGCGTCATGGAATAGCTTGAAAACGCAAAGGTCGCAGAAGCGATGAAACCAACTAAACTACACGGAAAACGCACATTGTACGGCAAAGGCCACGTGAAAGGAAGAACCCAAGACAGCCTTGTGGGACGTTCAGCAGCACGTATCCTTACTCCACCGGTTGACAAGCCGATTCAAAACATCAAAATTCGGAACTTGAGATGCCATGTTCACCACAAAATAAACAATCATCGCTACCATTACCACCCATATAGTCCACAGTACGAGTTGTCCGCGTTCTGTTGGCCCACAAACACAAGTCCCGCTGCTATCAAGCAAGCCAAAGCAAGACGCCACTGCATAGATCGAAGACTTAGGGTTCCTATTATTCGGATCCCCTGTTGTTACAAGCCGTGCACGCTTTCCCGTGATGCAGCGCTATGGGGCATCCAAGCACTGTGCCAAGGGGCAGCTGTCAGAGCGAATAGCGCCTGGCCTCGCACGGAGGACAGTAATGAAAAGGACTTAAAACCATCCGTAACAATCATTTTACACTATAGTTCAGGCAACAGCACCACGTAGTAGTTCCCAGCACACTGGCCCCCCCCCATATCCCAGGAAGGCTGCGGAGGCGGTCCAGAGGACCTATCCTAGCACTAAGACCCCGATATACCCCTCACCTCCAGGATTCGATGTTTCGGCCCGCCAACCAACATTCCTGACCGTTCACCCTCCCAAACGACATCCCTCCTTTGCAGCGACGCGAAGATAAAGAGCTACATTTGTAAATGCACGTGGTGGAAGGCTCCACCATGTTCACTACCGTGACTGCATCACCGTTACCTGCATCACCATTCGCATTCCAAGACATTCCTTAAGCCGCATCCCTTAAAAGAGTCAACCAGCCCCGTCGCTATACCTCCATTGCCAACCAAGCCTCCTTCATTTCAGTGATCGACACATCTTGGTCGCGCCTCAGAGCAGCATTACCCGCGGCGACAGGACATACGTGCAGAGCGAGACTGCGAGGGTGGCCATCACAAATAGCTTGTAGCCCGCGGCGCTCGGCGGCAACACCAGCACTCCGCTGCCAACTTGCTCAGAGCCGCCCGTCGCCGTACCCTGCGCAGCAAGAGCGGTTCTCAGCACGACGGTCAAAACGTTCACCTCGCCACATCCTTACCCTCCAGGCACCGCAATGAAAGCAGCATCTCCCCCCAAAAGAATATCAACCCATCTATTCACAAGACCTCCACCTAAACGGTTGTGATAAGACGCCTTTGCGGCTTGTGCTTTGGCGTTGTTGCTGTTTGGCCCTCCACAAAACCCAAGGTATAACGCCGCACCTGCAGAAATCCCTCCACGGCCCCGCGGGTTGCCTCCCTGCTCGCGTGTTTGACCATATCCACCGCCAAGCTCCGGACGTCCCGCTCCCTTACCAACTCAACCACCTGCGGGGCGGAAAAGTATGCAAAGAGCAAGAAGAGTCACCTGCCAAAGTACCAAACTGCTGGAACACCCACCAAGGAGGAGAGAGAGGGAAGATATGTAAGAATTCAAGTAGGTTGTCTAAAAGCCTCCAGCGGTGTGCGGGCGAGGGAAGCCCCAAGGCAGTAGAGGCCACATCTAACAGCGACCACATCCAGTCATGCGACCACCGAGTCAGCGTCCACAACTGATGGCCAGTCTGTCGACCGCAGGGCCCCTAAAGCTACAGCCCGTGGAGGTTGCCGCAGCACATCAGATTGCAGGGCCCAACACAGCTGATGTCAAGGTTACACACCAATCCCTAAACTGCGCACGGGAATCATATTTAGCGGATTTTTCCTAAAGGAAATGAAAACGTTGCATGCCTGCAACGATCTATGTATCTTCCGCTGCTTCCCGTGAACCGCGCGTGCGCGGGAAAAGAAATGAAAGATGAAAATTGACGACAGGAATGTTGAGAACGGCAAGAGGGCGGAAACGGACGCTCTTGACCGCAACCAGTTTAGACGACAATGGGCTCGACGCCACGGCCACCCGTTCCGCAACCCGGCCCGGTCCCAAAAACGCACACCCGTGCATGTGCGTTTGCATCCCCGTCAAGTCTTACCTGCCGCAACCAGGCCGGCGGCGCCTGCGCCACCATGCCACGCCCCAGAGCCGCAGCCAATGCATTGCTGCTCACACCGCCGAGAAAGCCGCTGCTGCTTCCGAGGCTGTACTGCTTATTCAGTTGCGAGCTTTGTGACGACCTCAAGTTCGCCTGTGCAACTGGCAGGTGTCCGTTGGACTTGACCGCGGGCAGAGAGACCGCGCGGGACGCCTCCGCGGGTACCCCGGGCTCTGCCGGGGGCCCAGGAGGGCAGGAGGAGGTGGCGCTGCCATGCATGCATGACCCACCGTTTGCAACCATGGCAATCGTGGTTGCGTTGGCTGCAGAGTGTTTGGAGGCGAAGGCGTGATTGGCCGGGGTGTGGGAGGGTGCTGAGGTGGAGGCGGAGGCAGCGGTGCCGCTGGGAAAGCTAAAGGAGGCAGCGCCCATTGCGGATGCGCGGCGGTATGACAGCACGGCCTCTCTGCAGAAAGATGCGGAGATGCGGCTGAGCAGGTCGGTCAGCGCGTCGCGATGCTCCTGCTTGACCAGGCTAGCCAGCATGTCGTTGTACAGGTTGTAGCCGGCGGTAGCGTCCACGTAGGAGGTGACTGCCGTGCGGATGCTGTGCGTGAGGAGCATGGTGAGGACCTTTTCGCCCTGGTCGCTTGCCAGCAGGTCAAGGATGTCCTTCACGCCCAGACCGGAGACGGACCCCGAGCTCAATGTCGCAGATTCCATACGCCGCTCAATAAATTCGCAGACCGCAGTGGTGGAGTTCCGCATGGCGACACCAACGGCCATACCGATGAGTCCCCGGCCGCGTTCTGACAACACGGCCTCGATGATGGTGTCCACCAACGGCGGGGCATTGGGAGACTGGGGCCCACCAGTTGCCTTTGCCACGCCACGAACAACGGAAGCCGTGAAAGTCGACACTGTTTCTTGCAGCTCTGATGCCTGGAAAAGCTTGTTAAGCTGGCGAAGGCTCTGCGGCAACTCCGATGAGTCGGAGGTCAGAAACGCTTGCAGGTCCCCCGACACAAGTGCGGCAGTCTCTGCAATTGTTGAAGCCGCCGTGGAATAGTTCTTCATCATGTTCCGCAGCCGCAAGAATTGGCTTTGCTGATTCCGTGCCGGCCGCTCCACGCCATCCTTTTCATCTTTCAAAGGGGCAGCGCTCGCTGTCACCTTATACGTAGCGTAAAGGGTAACAGCAGCAGCTGCAGCACCCCATACCAGCGTCTTGTTTTGCTGGTACCACCGAATGTATGGGTTTCGCGTGCTGGGGCCTGACATTCCAGCAGCGTGACGTCAAGCTGTGCTTGAAGCAAGACCGTTCACGATGTCATTGCTTCAAAAGACTCTACACCAGCGGTCGCCGGGTCAGCAACGGTTTGAGCCCCAAGGTATCAAGATGAAAACAAATACCAGAGCGCTGGCTCTTCCTGCCAAATGTAGGTAGGAGCCTACTATCCTGCGTGCGTTGCACAGTTCGTTCAAAGGCGTCAGGGAAATCGGACAGACGCCGGCAAAGTAAGATAGGTATCCCTATCACGACAGAGGATGGCAAGGACTTGAAAAATAGAAAGAATATCTGTGGTGTTGCTAGGCGGAATCCTGTTGCGAACGTCAGAGAATTGCCGTACTCGAGTCTGTTATTCTTGGAGTATTTCGGAGTAAACTGGTGGCATATTTTAACAAACTGCAATTCATGAAGTGGGACCATATATGCTAGCTCTACACCTAATGAATTGAGGACGTCCGAGTTGGTATACGCGTAAAACCCTGCTGACTCTAGCGCCCTAGGAGCATTATTTAATGACTTCCTGGGAAAGCTTGATATATTTTCTAGACGACTGCTTGAAAAAATTCTGCAAGGCTTGCATGTTTCGGTGACAATCCCCTCGACTAAACCCGCGCGATGGTGACAGGATCTCGCTTTCCTAATTTCCATCTCGCCCCGAGCAGCTCCTGGTTGCGTCAACACGCACACGTACAGCACGCTGCATTTCTTTTCGATGTGGTGATGCGGAACCCGATACCGTTATGTACGGGGCGCCTGAAGTGCGCACGCACAGATCAAATCCACGGGCAGGAGACAGACATCACATGGAGCATTTGGTTAGAAAACATATGGGTGAAGCATGGCTACTTTGCAACACGATACGGACGATGTACCATCCGGCTATGCTAACGTGTACGTTCTCGGATCCAGCTCGCTGCGTTCTGCCGATCGCCACCTGTGCGCATCGTCCGGTATGAGCTTCCACCCCGCGGAAGGTCGTAGCATGGTAAGAGGTCCTCGTGATGCAATTTCAAAGTAGTGTCTCCAAAATGGCCGATGGAGTTGCACACTTTCGACTGCACGCAAAATTAGGTACTGCTGTTACATCGTGATTACACTAGAACCGCCCGGCCGCGATGCCACCAGCAGCGAATCTAACAAAACTTCAGCCCAACAGCTCGCGTTCAATAATGCCGCGAAAGCCACCACTCACTACCTTGAACAGCTTCCCTGCTCCGCCCCGTTGATCCGCTTGGTGGGCCCCCCCCCACATGGTCTGCCCGCTGATCGCCTTGACCCTACTCGCTCCAACTCCAATGCCCAAGAACACCTTATCTATATTGGACAAGCGCCGGCCGTGACACTTAGGCTCAAACCACCGGCGGACAAAAGGATAAGCTAAGGTCACAACACGGCGAATATCCAGAACAGGTTGTGACCACGGCAAACAGCACGTAACAGTACGACAGGAACTACGACAAAGCCACTACTTGCACTTGCATCATCCAAGAACCAGCTTACATGGAACGTCGTGAATTAAACCCAACGTCCAGGAACGTCCTTATTCAACACAGGAGATCATTTGTTGAGGGATGGGAAACGGCACGGCTCGCTTGCCTACCCACTAGACAGAATGAGCAACCTGCTGCCTAGGAGCCGTACGGTTGCCTCAGGGTTTCTTACATCATAAATGGCTGACATATTCACGCGTACGCAACATACATTCAGGCGTATGTCGCGACTTCAAGCAACAAAAGAAGCCAACCGCCTCGCCAGCAGGCGCCAACCACAATGTAAAAATGTAAGGACGGTATACAGTCAACATCCCCACGAACACTCAAATCGCCACCAAAATCCGGACTGCGGATATCGGTAGGCGTTAGGTGGTAACCCAAATGGAATCACTTTCAGCTGCTAGCTTCAAGATGTCAAATGCATGTTCACAATGCTGTTCACAACGCCGGGTATGCATAGCGCTATCCCTGCAGCGCTTGCATGTGGGAGTGCAATCATCATCGTCGTGTCCGAACCTTACCCAAACAAACATGTCAAGGTTTTAGGTCAGGCTTCCGAATTATCTCTCAGGATGGTCAAGTGCGCGCCCAATGAACGAGGGAAAAAACCCAGAAGTTTCACGATACTGCCGGTGCTGCTGCCGCATGCACTGCAAGTAAAAGCCGTCCCAACAAGCAACGTACAGATACGACGTTGTATGTACACCTCGCCGTATACGGTCCGTAATTATATAATTTTCTGAATTACTACAGGCAAGAACAACCCGGGTACAATAAAGGGAACGACATCGCCGCACTGCGTTTCGCCATGCATATTCATGTTCTCGAAAACCGCAGCGGCGCACGACAGCCAATCCAATCGAGCAGCTTCTGAGGGTCATGAAGCCCCACCACAGATGCGACTCTCGGTGCGACGGGTATGTGAACTGCACATGCATGTGTGTGTGTGTGTGTGTGCGTTACATGGTCGTGGGAACGTTCCCCGTACCTGCAAACCGCCCAATACGAGCCGAGGGCTCAAGGGCTGCCAGATCGCCTATAACCACCGTCCTACCTCGCACACACTTCAAACAAAGCAAGTGATAAAGGATACTAACGACCAAAGGGAACGATAGAGTTGCCGCAGGCCCCTGCAGCCGCCGCACACCCCTACCTGAATTGCGGACTGCTGCGCACATCATGACTCCGGCCATTATTTATCGTATGTTTGTCATGACCGTCGGTGTTATAAGCTTAGTTCGGACATATAGCACAGTATATAAGTGAATGGTGCGGAGCACACGTACACAACTGTAGCAGCTGACCGCTGAAAAGGTCTCTCGAGTTGCTGGTGGTCGCGCTCTGCGCGTATTTATAGCGCCGTACTGTGTACCGGCTGCTACAACAACCAAATAATCCGTCGGGTCGTTGCCCAGTAAAACACGCGATACATTCCGATTCATGAGTCAGTGCCACCTTCTCGAGGCCAAGCGTTGATGCATAGGTGCTCAAGGAATGGGGACGTTACACTGATTCGTACAATAACGTACGTACATCATTAACGTACGTACACTGATACAAGGTGACTGATGCTGCAAGCATAGGTGGAGTCGACACCCAGGGTGGTGTTTAGCAGCAGCAGAGCCTGCCAGCCGTTCATGATCACGAAGGTTCGCTCCGTTTCGTTGCGCCTGTAAGCCGCCGACCTGTCTTGACCGCTCGGCAGCTTTCTTTTCACTGAAATTACCTTCCATACAGGCGAGCTCGGTTCACCCACTTTTTTGCCTTGACCAGGTTGTTACAAACATATATGTAAAGCTCCATATGTGCGACCGCTCATCCCGGATCGCCCGAGGGGTTGGCGCCGTCCATTACAGTAGTGGTGGTGTGGGGTCCTTGGTGTGGTGCGGTGTGGGGTCCTTGGCCACTGGGCCGCCGACCGGAGTCTCCGAGCCACTGCTGGGCATCCTGACCAACATGACCGGGGCTGCATGTTGGTCATCCAATCACGAGGGGGTCTTGGCGTCCTCTGGGACAGAAGATGGTGGTGCCGGTGGTGGTGGCTGGCTCGAGGATAGCAGATAGCTGCGTGCATAGGAGGATGGATGGGTAAGATGGATAGATGCGAATGCACGTATGTACGTCTGTAAGCGTACAACTAGCGCGTGTACACAGTTGCCAAGCATCAGAGCAAAACAGCAGACAGATGCAAGCAGCGCCACACATGCATGGATACTGTGCTGGCTTACACCCTTGTGCAAGTATCTGTATGCGCAGTACAAAGCGGTATGCACGCGATGTGCATATGCCGCCTCTGAATATTCAAATGTGCATATACCGCCTCTGAATATTCAAATGTGCATGTGCCGCCTCTGAATATTCAAATGTGCATGTGCCGCCTCTGAATATTCAAATGTGCATGTGCCGCCTCTGAATATTCAAATGTGCATGTGTGTCTCCTACCTTCGGTTGTCCTTGACCTGAGCCGCAAACACGCCGTATACCAGATACAGCACTACCACGGCCAGGGTCCACCAACCAAACCTACAGCGGCGTGCGGCAATTGCAGCCAATGAAACACGACTACGCCTGTGGTGATGGCAGCTTGCGAGCTGGGATTCTAATAATAGCCATGATCCCAAGAAAGATTACATTCCGGTGATTCTACTGCTCGAAGAGTGGTAACCCGGGAAGCGCGTGGTATGGGGAGCGGTAATCGCTCTCGCGAGGTTGTGGAACCAGCGATTTGATTACTCGCCTTGCTGCGCCATTGGTGTCGCCCCTCACATGGCACCAAATGCACGGCACAACGAGATAGACTCGTACAGGGCTGTACGTAGCGCAATCATTGTTTACGCCAGTTTACACACACGGTATACGAGGCGCGTGTACCTCGTCCCTCAGCATGAGTTAGTTGGTAATCCTTTATTACACACAGCATATATAGACACATACCCGCAAATAACAATGGATAGATAAAACGTTTCACGAGGTGGGCGAGGGCGTTAAGTAAAGCTGTTGTACATAGATACAGACGGACATATACAGACAGGCTGTGTTGTATCACGTCTAATCGCAGGAAAAGAACCGATCGGCGGATGCTAGATCCCGTGATACCCAGGACACTACAGGCTGACACCATAGGCAAGTGCACATACACACCGCTCGTACGACGCCTGGTCCAACTGTCCGAGCAAAAACGTGTTGACAAATATGGAGGCGCAGGGGACCAGCGGGTAGAGCGGCACCTTGTAGCCAGAGGGTACGTATGCCTGTGGACAGATGAGTTGGAATGGTGATTTTGGGGTTGAGGCTGGCTAATTATTGTAGCTCCAACAGGAGTTTGGGACAGAAGGATCCGACATGTTGTTTTTTGCCAACTGTTACATCATGACTTTTCCGAAAAAACGAACCGAACGGTGGATGAAGATCCCGGGCGATATCCTCAAGATACTACACCAATACAAATGGATGCTGTGTAACGCCTGCGAAGGGGTGTTGTTGCAAGCTCTCAGGAGGCAACCTCCACCATCACCGTCGTCACTGTTATCGTATGCACAGTTGCCGTACTGTACGCCACGTGTGCAAGCTCACAGCACCACCCATGTGCACGCGAATGGACATGCACTTAGCCACAACATCTAGTCAGGGACGGAATTGCCGGAATAGGTACGCACCGGCTTACAGAAGAGGAACATGGACAGCGGCGTCGCGGCGCACAGTACCGCCATCGCAATGAGCCACTTGTACTGCTGGTCCTTCCATTTGCCCGCCACCCCGTCTGTGTCCGTGTTGTAGACGGGCAGTGTCCAGACCAGCACGAAGCCCAGCGAAAATCCAATCATCGCAAAAATATGGACCAGCTCGTTGGCCCAGCGGAGGAGTGTGGTCTTGCCTGTTCCGTTTTTAATGGTTTGTGTGTTTGGGTTTGCGGAGAGGTAGGTGGATGGATGGATGGATGGATGGATGGGCCAACCTACGAAGAGCCTGAATAGGCGTACGGCATCCATGTTCGCGTTGGGACTGTTATGACCATACACGACGTTCATATTTGCCATATATAACTGGTTGCCCATATGTGTCAGCAAACATGTACCAAGCATGCTTGTCCTCAAGGCAGCGTTACTTAACCGCATGAATACTGTTGTGTTGCAGCTGCACTTCTACTACAAAGCTTGCTTAGGCTAGCATTGTAAAAAAACCATGGCCAAAGTTGTTGACATACCTGGCGCGTGCATCCTGCGCCAGATGAGCGCCACCGCCACAAACCAGAACACAACAAAGGTGCCGATAGAGACCATGTTTGCAAGCTCGTCAAAGCCAGTGAGCAGCGCAATGACGGCGACGCTGATGCCGATGAGCCTGTTGCGCGTGGGACCGCAAAAAGGTTATCTCAAATGAACGATGAAGTGTAGCATATCTGCAAACGAGGTTCATTACCGAAGGGGCAACAACGAGGCCTGGCTCAGCTGTAGAACTGCTTGCACGGTTTGTTAGCAGTGGCTGTTCTGGAACTACTAGCGAGGCGCTGTTAGCCGCGCTTTTAGAGGGCCATTGGTCTGTATACAGATATATATACAGATAACATGGCATGAGGGGTGAGGTATAGGGTTGCGAGTGTGATGTGACAAAAATGGCTTTGCTTCAGGGGCATTATCGGTCCACGTAGTCCCCATGCAACTGCTCGGCGGGCAAATACTCTCACCGGCGTGTGTGACAAGGCATAGGAATGGGCAGGCAGGAAGACGGGCAGGCAAACGGCCCGCGGGCAGACAGGTAAAGGGGCAGGCAGATAGCTCGCACGGCTGAAGACTCACGGGCAGACAGGTATGAGGGTGTTAAAAAGGTAAAAAAATATGGCAAACAACCGGATGCCTAAGTGTCAGAGGTCGAATCCCACTGTTAAAACGAAGAAGATGAACTGAAGGGGACATTTTGAACGAAATGATGGACTCTCCCCCCCCTCACGCACCCACCAGGTTGCTACCCATGGAGTTGCCCTTGGTCCCACCCAGGCCATAAAGGGCGGCAGCATCGCTTCGCGGCAGCAGCTCACAAGTATGCGGGCAGGTGCGTAAATGCCCATCATGATGCCGGTCAGGATGCCTGAAGGCAATTTCATCCAAGCACAAGATTTTATGGCAAGGATTATTATTACTATTATTATTATTATTATAATTATAGTTATTATTATTATTGTTATAATTATAGTTATAGTTATAGTTATAATTATAATTATAATTATAATTATTATAGTAATAATAATAATAATAATAATTATTATTATTATTATTATTATTCTGGGCACCAGTTTAACAACAGCCTACCAGCTTACGTGGTTGGGCCAGGCGCGTATACGTAAGAAAGTGAGACCGGGGTTAAGCAGGACAGGATGGAGCAAGATCTCGGATAGATCGAAACCCGGACATGATAAGCACAGCTATAAGCAATGCAACGCATAGAATGGCAAAATGCGGCGGGAGGCGTGGATTGCGAGAAAGAAGATTCTTTATCAATATGCGCCCTGCTGAAGCCATTTACTACGATTGGCGACGTGGCTGCAGGACGACGGGGGACGAGCTTAACACTGCTTTTGCATTCTTCCTAGTCTTACGTGTCTTGTCAACTAAGAGTGTCCACACAGCCCGTACTCACCAAGGATGGCGCCCAAAGCGACTATGTGCTTGGCCCAGCCCAATCCAACGTATTCGAATGCTTTGGCGAACGTGGCGTCAGTATCAATATCAGCTCTTGGCACCATGAGACTCAGAACGACGCACATCAGGAAGTAGATGACAGTCACGATGCCCAGGGAGCCCAAGATGCCTTGGGGCATCACCCTGCTCGCGGTTGCATAAAAACACGAGAGCAATAATTATACAGCCCGTGTCATACGTTTTGAAGTAGTTTTGGGTTATGCTTCCTTCGAACCATATCGATGCCTAATTAAGCCCGAGCCATGCGTGCGTGCGTGTTGTCTGTGCTTGTGAACGCATGTACTTTTTATATCGGTGGCGGGTGCAACAACTGATAGCGGCGGCGGAATCAGAGGGCGAGCAGGGAGAGTCGTTATTGTCACCCATAGCAATATCATCAGGCAATGGCCAAGCACCCAAGCGCGTGCGTCGGTAGCCTAGCCAGGCTCTGACCGGCCAGCCAGCCTACATCAACAAAAAGCAGCAATAGCGCTGTTGCTGATGATCAATGTAAATTGCTCGGAGAGTTCTTATACATTAAGGATATGCTGAGCGACGTGGGTCGACGATTTGTTCATTTGCGCCGTTTGTCATCGACGATAGCCATGCTAGGGCGACTTCTGCAAAATGGACCAACTCACGTCGCGGGGTCAATTACTTCCTCGGCAGCGGTTGCGACGGCATCGAAACCGATGAAGGAAAAGAAGGCAATGCTTGCGCCATTAAAAACCTGGCGTTACGCGGCGGCGGCAGCGGCGGGGGCGGCAGCGGCGGGGGCGGCAGCGGCGGCGGCGAAATAAGCCAACATGGTGCCGGCGATTAATGCGGCGGTATTGCAAGAACTTGCGTGCGGGTGGATGACGGAATTCAGGTGGCGGACTGCTAGTGGGAAACTAGGCAGTCGGTGCATGATGCCGCGGCTGGATTCATTGATTGCGGGAGTTTGCGTAAGTCCACAACTGTCCGCAACCAACTAACGAACCAACGACAAGCAGGAAGGGACCAAGACGCCCGCCTGCCGCGCGCTGCGCATTCTTCGCAACTGACCTGCTTCCACTGGTCTGGCTGATCGTTCGGAAAGAACGGCCTAAAGCTGCGCAGATGGGAGCGATATACGACGAACAAGAAACGTTACTACGGGTTATCATCACGTGACGCCGTACGGAAATACTGGTAACGAAAGTACAGCAATTGCTGGCGCGCACACGTTAGCTGCGAGGACTTTAAGGAAAAGACAAGGTAGCATTCGCATCTATCGGCTCCATATTAGAGCACCACCATCATGCATTCATGCATGGATGCATGCCGTTTATCTGACGTGTTACTTGATGCATCTCGCCCAGGGAGCCGCTAGCTAGCCATGCATTTATCTACAGGACCAACTCCTCGCTGCTCACTTGGCGGAGTCGGCCTTCACAAAGCCGGCGATGATGATGAAGATCATGACGACGATGTGAATGATCGTGATGACGGTGTTAATGATGATGGACTCCTTGGCGCCGAGTGCGAGCAACCCGCTGGTTAGCAGCGTCAAGGCAAAGGCCCACCTGGGGCACGCGTCAGCAAAATAATGGCAAACTGTGACACGAGCAGCAGGATCCGACAGGACCCCAGAAAGCGGCAGACCAATTATTGGTCAAAGACGTTCCATGCAAGGTCAACTGATCCCCTTTCGCGCACAATCAATAGGGAAGTGGCAGAAAGAAGTTGAAACCTAGGCGACGTGGTCGGAAGTTAAATTAATACAGTGTGAGGTGAGCTGCACGGACCTACTTGCGGATATGGTATTTCCGTAAAAAGGGCCCAAAACAAACTCGTCCGCGTCAGCAAGCAGTGCCAAACGGGTTTGACTGAGACAGGGAAGCATGTACCTACCAGTCCATGACGTAGGCCTTGCCTCGCAGTACTGTCGTGTAACGGAAGTATCCACTATCCTGTAGTACGTTTGTAAGATAGAGACCATAAGGCGCACACGGGGTCGTGGGTCCGTATCAACTATAACCCTCCTATGTTAAGGCAAAAGGAATATGTACGCTAAGGCAAGAGGAATGCGTGTGTTAAGGCAAGAGGATTGTGTGTGTTACGACACGCAGCTAGCAGCTTACCGCACATGCATTCGGCCGCTGAAGGGCTTGGGGTAATTATGTCACATACACCACTATACCCTGCCCCGTCACTAATTCACAGCAGTAACGAACACGTTCATTATGACCGCGACACTGTATTGAAGCCCATTACTCATCATGTGCAGGCAGCGAGCGAGGCAAAACACACATCAGCTGTTCCATCGTCTCCAGGATCTGACCTTTCCGATGAGTACGGCAAAATACGGCGAGAAACCTCGAATGACGGCAGCGTCTGCCAGAATGTACTCGAACAACAGATTAGAAACCACCACCCTGCGGGTGTCCATTGCAGTCATGTTGTGTTGCAAGATACATCTGGCAAAAGTATACCGTGCACACGACCACTTGTATGTATATCTGTATGCGTTTGTATATCTGTATGCGAATGTGTGGATTGCAATGTGGTGAGGAGGTTGATAGGTTTTTCTCCGCACGTTTTTCTAGCTGCTCACACGAAACGAGATCAGAGCAAGTTGGCAGGCTGTGTGCAACAGAATGAGCGCATCAGCAGCAGTGATTGCGGTCAAGTCAGCATGTACACACGGTACGGATGGGGCCTCGGCAGATGAGCTGGCCTCGCCACCGCTGTCGGTTCCCCAAACCGGGTAACAGACGCAGCAGGTGCAACAGACGAAGTAAGCAGTTTGCAATCTGCCTGACGGAATCAAACAACCGGGCACGAAGCCTGAAACAGCTTCGAGCAATGACGGAGGAGCCAGAGGCGAGAATGACGCCGCCTAGACAGGTCGTGAGTCCCGACTATTTGGCAGACAAACATCGACCTCGAGGACCTCAACATGTGTGCGCAATGATATGTGTTCATCTTGGAGACACGGTGACCGTTGGCGAACAGAAATATGTTCGTACATCTATCTGGTAGGGAGCGTGCGTGTACGCGAACCCGTGGGGGCCCACAGGCTTCACAGCGTGCAAAGCCGCACACATCAAGTAATGGCACTCTCTGGCTGCATTGCATGCTATGGCCGCCACGGCATCACCGTGCTGCCGTACTAGTCCGTACTTACCAAGCCAAAAACTCGCCGAGCGAACCTGCCATGTAGTTGTACCTGCGAACGAGAGATCCGCAGTTCTGCACCCAGTTCATCGCATACCAGCGGTGCGCATTTGCAACGTCGTTCAACACACTCACGCAGCTCCCGCCAGCGGCATGTCGACGGCGAATTCCGAGTAGCAGAAGCATGAGAGAAACGCGCTGATGGACTGCAGGGCATATTCATGGTCATGCGGCGAAAGAGACAAGTGGACACGGGGATGGCTGAAGGGGACGTCTACTGAGGGGACGTGAGAGGTAGGCCTGACTGGTGGCAAGTGTCAATGAGGGCACCTCCTTGAAGGAGTGCATACATGGGTACGCTGCAAGCGACAGCTATGTCAGCGCGGGGTGGTAAGACGGGCGTGGGCAGCTCTTGGGTAGATAGTGCTGAACGGCAAGTAGGCAATTGGGTCATCTAAATGTCGACATGTCTACATATCTATGTATGTCATGCTAAAAAATCGAGTAACAGCGTCAGGGCTCACTGCCACGCCAGAAACCGTATACGTGTGTGCAATCGTCATTAAAACTACAAGGTTATAAGGACACGCGCACAGCAGTTACTCGGTGCTATTGCCGACAGCATCGCCTACGAACGCTGTGTGTAATTGTCCACCCACCGCGATAAGGTACGAGATGCACACCGCCGGCCCTGTCATGTCCACCGAGATGGTCCCCGGGGCAATGAAGATACCTGCAACGTTTCATTAACGGTGCATGTGTGTACGCGTGCGCCAAACGTTTGCCTTGGAAAGGGGTTTGTCGCCTTTCCATGTACGCGCTTAATATCAGCTGCTTATTGAGCAGGGCTCATGCGCGCAGCGACATAGGTAGTCCGCCTCCTGGGCCGGCGGTGGTTTCAACACGAACATGGTACGGCAAAGCGACAAACTTGCGTGTCCTCGGCATCTACTCGTAATGCCGTGTTAGGTATGTTAGGTACTTACGTGCGGTTCACATCAAACTTATAACTAAACCCATGGGAAAATCTTGCAGTCGTGGCCATAGCTGTGCGCCGTTTTGTTTTCTTATTCAGTTTCTCCTTGCGCGAATGAAGCGGTCCATGAGCCTTCGGGTTCATCTGAGCCGTGCAAGCTTGTGAGTGACATCCATCCATCCATCCTTCGACATCCATCGATCCATCGACAGAGGGCATAACGATGCTTTTTTGGTTGCACAGCTAACAGCGTACCATTACAGCGGCCATGAACCACCATTCCGTATATGAACAAACCCAATGAAGCATATGCCAAAACATCATGTCTTTCCTGCATGCACTTAACGCCCCCTGCCAAATGCTTTGTTTGCCACAGCTTTGGTGGGCTGTGGCTCCGCATTTTGGATGCTCGCCGTGAAAAGCCCAGCACGTGACCCCAATCGCCAACCAACCGACGATGTTCTGAAACTTACCGGCGCCCAACATCAATCCGACGCCGACGCATGTCAAGCCGGTTACTCCAAGCGTCCTTTTCAAGGGACCCTGCGCATATTGATGCACCATTTTCCAGAGCGAGAACCGACTCCAGTTACGGTCGCGGGACGAGCAGATTCGTCCAACTACTCCACATTCTCAAAACACAACATAATATGTCGTTATTGCGGCACCGCGGTGACGGGAAATCCGTGCTGCATTGATCGCGAATTTCATACCCATATCGACCAGCCAGGAAAGCTTGCGAAACGTACTTTACCTTTGCCTGGGCATCCAACGCCATATCTTGCGCCGATTTCGTCTTGAATACTCGCTTATATACTAGTTCAGGATACTGCAGGTGGATGTTCGGGGTTTGCTTGATATGGAGTTCAGAATTTCGGTGTTCTCACATCGGCGACTTCATAACAATACGAAAACAAAGTTTATTAATGCAAGTAGATGGGTGGGTCGATTGAAGCCGAAAGGGTGAGCCAAGCCGCTTGTGTACCTGAGGAAGGAGTGCTAGGTACTCTCTTGGGGAAAAGCCCCAAGCAGACCTTGTAAGCAAAGCATTAGAGAATTCTGAAAAACGTCCTGCCATTGCTGCAGATTGTTGCCTGCTGAAAGTTACGAGGTCCGCAGCACGCCAACGCCTTCCACGCGTAGAAACCTGAGTCCACCAATAAGAGTGACTAATGGCCAGTGATTCTTATTGAAGAGCAGGGCCGGCTGTTAGATAGCCAGTTGTTAAACGTTTCGGCAATGTCGGGTCTTAGGGTTACTTATATGGACGTAAGCTTGCTCTTGGTGCGATGTCCGCACCAAAAGGAAATAGCAAGGTGTTGGAATACCGTACTAAAAGATGTTCAGGCTTGCCGCTATGGTCGTTCGCTAGGTTGGTTGTATCCCGGTACGATGCCGAATCCGGATCCGCCGCGATTACCTGTAATATTTTTTAGGGCTTAGAAGTTCTTTATCTCTCGCGTGACAATATGGCTGAGTGATTTGGACTAATGTGCAATGACGTGCATTGGATCCTAAAACTGTTTGTGAACTTGAAATTTACCTCTCTACACTGTATGTTAAAATCAAATCGAAATATGTATACATAGGCAGTCTTGTTAGGACATTTTTCATCTGTCAGCGTGCACCATCCAGCACAGTAGCACACAGCAGCTCAGCAGGCAGGTCTGGTCACTTCACTGAACCAGGTTTAGACAAGGCACTTCTTATGCGTGGTTAGGCACTTTCCATTACATTCCATTACAGTCAACCGAGCTTTGTCCCGGCCGATAACCAATAGGCAGGGTGGCCTATCGGTAGGGTAACCTTGAGGGTTGCAAAGATTAGGGATTAGGGTCGGGTGCCGGTCAGGCAGAAATTAGGATGCGGCGAGAGGGGACAGGATTAGGATACAAAGTCGATGTCAGGTTCAGGATGAGACCCCCGAGTGTAGGATTGGATTAGGATTGAGCCTCCCAGCTACAGGGTAGAAGTGGGTTCCGGCCACTGGATTAGGATCAGGATTAGTGCATTGGTATTGGATGAAGATCAGCACACCGCTGTGCTGATCTTCATCACACCGCAATGATTGGCGATACTGCTGTGTAGGATGACGATCAAGGCCCAGCCCGTTCAGCTGCCGTTCGGACTGGGTTACAGAGTTGTTATGCCATGTACCTAATCATGTAATTAGATCCTGTTTCGTTGAATGTAAACTGCATCTGCTTAGGTTCATTGTCCAAGTCGTCCCCTCCCGTCCGTTTGAGCTTGACGGGGGAAGTGGCAGGAGGGAAGTTGCTTTCGATGGATACATATGGGTAAACAAAGGCTAATTAAATCGGACAGGAAATGTGAGAAGATCAAGCTAGACTGAGAGCAGAACTAGGCCTTCGTGTTCATTCACCTCCAATCAACTCAATGACCACCTCATGGAAGTGCACGCAATCGGAACTGTCCGAATTTACTCACACTAGAGCTCCGGTCGCTACGTCCAGTTTAAGGCTCTGTCCTAAGGCTTTTGCCGATATGCAAAGTAATCGACTATGTGGTTATGATTTTGTAAGATTTCCCGCGTTAAACATGAACGGCAAGAACGGGGCTTGGATGCAGTTGTTCCGTAGTCTAAAACAACCCGTAATGGTACTGCTACCATACATAACCTGTAACGAAGCCACAGCAAACATGGACTGTTCTGGCATCTATGCTGCGAGAGCTTGCATATGCTGGTCGCCTTTGGTCAGCTTTGCGGCCAACCTGAATCTCTGCTCACCCTGGGCGTTCCTGACATTCGGCTGCCTGTCGGAGTATGCAGGTTCGAGGAGGCGCTCAAGCTCAGGCATTAGGTGGGATAGCCTAAACAAAGAGGGGGTACCTGCTCGTTATCCCAAAGGACATAGGTGTAACGAAGCGGCACCGAAACCCACCTTCACACGGATCACACCAGTCGCCCGAACAGCGACTCTGCTGCGTGATGCGTCGAGCACGAGTGTATGCCTCGGATGCTGGAAGTAGACGTGCTGGCAAGCACCAAAAGCCCATACAAATGAGGGCAATCATGGCTGCCGCTATGGCAACCGCAGCAGCACACGCAGGGGTGGCACGTAAATGCCCGCCCTCTCAACCCTGAATTTCAATTTCACATACGCCTCTGCCGCATGCCGCGCTATGCTAGCTGCAGCACCAGTGATACAGGTATTACACCTCAAAGAAGTTGCAACGGTTCAACTGTAAAAACAAACGTAAAACTTAGGCTGCGGTTTCCTGGATTGCAACCAGCAGCCTGAACAACTCAAATGAAATGGTCGTCCGAACAACATCGTTTATTTTAGCCAAGTTACCAGACCGCAATCCGGTCCAGTTCAACTGGATTCGCGCCTCAATCCAACTAGACAGGCAGGCTCGTCCAGGTGAAGCCACTGCCGTGGGATAGAAAGAAATCCTGCACAGTCGCCATCCATTGATGTCCATACACAGTTTAAATAAACAAAAAGCATCTCGCGCCTGTAACAAAAGGGGATGTGGCCGGTCTCTATTTGGCCTGTGATCGCGCCAGCAGCCTGGGGCTTTTGCGTACTCCCATGGGTGAGGCGGCGGGAGCCAGGGTGCCCCTCGTCAACGCCTGTTCCTGGTCTGATAGCTGTGACTGGTGCTTTCGGCTGCGGCCCAAGCTCCTGCCACGCAGTGGCGACGTCTCCGGTGAAGACATTGCTGTCGCATCACCCGAAGCAGGCGTTGTTTGCTTTGCTGCCCGTCGCCTGGCCAAGGATGGCGAGGTTGAAGATGCAGCACGACGCGACCGCGAGGGCGATTTTGTCGTTGTCGCCCTCGTCGTGTCGTGGCCATGGCTTTGCGAAATCAAACTGCGTGGTTGCAACGATGCCGATGCGGCGCCAAAACGCACCTCGTTGCTTTCCATACCACCCCCTCCTCCCAACTCAACAGCACCAGCGATTGCTGTGCCGGCTGCTTGCGAAACCCGACCTGATCGCGGCAGCAACCCCTCGCTCGCTTGTTCCGAAGTCCCGGACAGCCGCCGCCGCCGCTTCGTTGCTCCAGACCCGTTACCGGTTGCATGGTCGGCGGCAGGCAGCCGTCCGGCAAGGAGTCAGGTAGAGGCCATGTCCCCCTCCTCCTTGGACGCCGCCGAGCCGGCCAGCAGGCCCTCAGCCTCGCCCTTGGCCACCGTGGTGGGCGGGAATGCCCGGATGAGCCGCTCCAGGCGGACCTGGCCGGGAGTAGTGGATGTGTTGGTAGCGTAAAGCGGTGTAGCGAGTAGGAAGGAAAAAGGCTGAAAGTAGCGGGAAAAGACCCGCGGCGGCGTGGAGCCCGCACTGGGAAACGAACGCTGTAAATTGCGGGAAACGAACGCTGTAAATTGCCATGAATCCTGATAACTTATGTTGCTGTTACTTAAATTGCGGTCTAAGTGGGCAACAAAGGGGGCATCTGAAACCTCCCATATGCTACACCGTCACGCACGATTTTCACTGCTGTCCTTGGTTTCACTGCTGTCCTTGGTCAAACTGGAGGACTTGCGGGGTAAGCCACCGTTCGGGTTGGGATTCAACACTATGGCCGACGCAAACACGATGCACTGAATGCCTGTATCCATTAAGAATTGGATCAGCGGGTGGCGCTGCGCAGGGGAAAAAGATGCGTGGGCGCGGCCGCCTGTGTGGGGGACTGGACATACATGGCCCTTCAACCCTTGAGCAAGCCCCCCAACGGGTGCAACCCCCTGCAATTCAAGGTCGGAGGCCTTAGGTCCAGAGAGCATATGCAGCTTCAGGCGTCGCGACGAAAAGACGTATCAATCAAATCTGGGCCAACAAATTCAGTCTTCAGAGCAGGAGCAACACGAATTGGTGGGGTTACGGTAAGCTGGAACATCTTAACAGCCGCGGTATGACGCGAACGCATGTTAACAGCCAGCCGGAAGCGCCTTGAGGCAGGAGCCCGGCCCTAGATACGCGTTCACCCCGGCCCTGCCAAAGACGCCCGTATGCTGCACGGGCTTTGCTAGCAGCGGACTGGCTGGCACTTCTGACACGAGGTCGCCGCCGTCGCCATGGCCAGTAGAGATAAGAAGGCTGGGATACACGGGCCCCACTCCCCCTTGAGGATTTTATGAACCCGAGCTCAGCGGGCTCAGAGAGCTAGTTCACACACTCGCTGCTCACCTGGAGAACTGCGGCAATGGCCAGGAAGACGGAGCACAGCGCGAACATGGCGGAGAGCGGGAACAGGTGCACCTGCGTAGCCGAGGGCCACGGGATTCCGATACCCGGTGACGGTGACGGGATTCCGATACCCAGTGACGGTGTTCGCAACAAAGACGTTCAAGGTAAATGAGCCTCGTGTAGGGAAGGGACCAAAGTCGAAGGACGCGGAAAAGAGGGTGGAAAGAACTTGATTCATACATCAGGAGGAGGCGAGCGCCGCATCAGCAATTTTCCGCACAGACAGCACCGTACCGTACCGCATGCGCACGCGCACGCGCACACATACACACACGTGTGCACGCGCCGTTTGTTCTTCATTGCGGACACACGGAGCAACGAGAGTGGCTTTCCCAGAAACTTCCCAAGCTGATGAATGGTACTGATGAAGCATACCTTTGGAAGCACCCCGTCTTGCTGAATGGGGTTCGGCAACCCGCCTCCGCACCGCACCAGCAGGTGTGTGTGTGTGTGTGTGGACTAAGAAAGGAAACAACAGTCTAAGACACGAGCCAACCGCAGTAACCATGCGTTGTGATGGGGACTAGGAAAAGGATACCGTCAAGTCAGGCCCAGCCCGACCCCCTCGCAAACGGCAGTGCGTGCTGTGCGTGGCTCTGGAATCATAACCGTCTCGTGGGTGGCATGTAGGGGGAAGGTCTCACGTTGTAGAGGATGATGCAGACGAACAGGTTGAGGGGGATGCGGAACATGTTGATGATGGTGGAGCGGGTCTCATCGGGAATAAAGCGGGCGCGCAGGGTCATCATTGACGGCCAGAAGATGCCCACCAGCACCTGCAGGGCGCGCATAGGAAGGTTCAAAGAGGAACGCGCAGGCGACAACGTAAAACGTGGCTTCAAAAGGCGAAGAGTTTAAACGCTGGGGAGTGGTGTGCAATGAAAATGCATTTTTAATAACATAAAACTCCAGGTTAACATACACAGCAAAACAAACAAAGCACCATACTCCACGGTCCCGCGTTCATCGACCAATAACCAAAGGTCCTAAAGCCACAAGCGTGCAAACCCACGGTGGAAATCCCTTAGTCCGCCGGACCCACCTCAAATACGCAGAACGCCACTAGCTGGATCTGTCCTTGGAGGCTGATGCCGCGGACTGCCTCCTTGCCCTCTAGTAGGGTCGCCTCCTCGAGCCTGCGACGGGCCTCTGCAGCGCCGCCATAAGCGGGAGCGCGGGCAAACAAACCAAGGCGCGCATATTGCGGTTATCACGGCTTCCAACAGCGAAGAGGGCAGAAACACGCCCAGGAAGCCACAGCGTGGGTGCGTGCAAAAACTGTGCAGGGAAATATTGCGCGTGGCGTAACTCACCCTTGGACAAGCTGACATGGAAGAGGAAGGGCACGGATAGGGCGACCGCGGACAGGCCAAAGACGTACTTCATGTACGCTTCAACCTGCGTCGTGCAGCACACAGCAAGGAGCCCATCAGCACAAGTGCGCACACGAGAATATGACGATAGAAAATCTGCCTATTACGCCATGGATATACATGCTCGTGTAACAACCGGGTCTTCGTGCCTGTGCCAATGGTTTTAGTCTTATCCTGCCTCTTAAATCCCGGTTGCGTTGCTTGACGTCTTTAATCAACCCACGCATCTCCTGCTGCTGAACGCCGGCCCGTGTCCTCCCTTGATTCCGCCAACACGCTTGCCACCTTTCCGAGACCCTGTACTTCTGTAAACCCCACACGAACCCCCGCAACCCTGTACACCCGCAAGCAGCACTGCGTACCTTGTACCGCTTCATGAGGATGGCCGACAGCGAGGAGCCGGCCATGGAGGCAGTCATGAAGCAGGCAAAGATCATGCCGTGGTAGATCTTCTCGCCAGCGGGCGACAACGCCGGCGTCCACAGGAACACAAAGGTGTACATGGACGCCTCGAACAGGGACTGCATGGCGCCCAGCAATGCGATGCGCTGGTCTGCACGCGGGGCGTCAAAAGCAGGTCGAGTAGATGGTGGCCTCGGGTGCGACTCAGGCGGCACAAGGCCTCAGAAGAAGATCAAATAGGAAGTGCTACAGGTCTTGCTTATACTGAGGTTGGCGGAGATCTACTTACTAACTGTCTCTACTGTAACCCATAGCCTTGCATGCAGATGAGATGCTTCCAAGATTTTTTTGCCAATTCAAGTAAACCTAGTTTTGGTTTTATTATTTTTTATTTAAGTGCATTTTTAATCTCCATTTAATAATTAAATTATTTTACTGAATGTAAGATTAAATCTCAACTATTGGGGGCAGCGCTAGCCCAATGCGGGGCAAGCAATGCGTAGGCCAGGGAACGCCGCACCCAGGGTTGCCTCACCTCCCAGGATGGAGCCGGTTGCCACAGCAAACTGCCGCTGCAGTGCCTGCAGGAGCCCCTCCCCCACGCGCGCCGAGTCGCCGTAGTTCTCCGGCCAGGAGGCGTAGATGACGGCGCCACCGGCCACGAGTACCACGATGGCCGCGTCAAAGGGCGCCACCGGACCCAGCTTTAGCGTATCCACTAGGTAAGAGGCCACCAGGCCCGCAAGGATGGCCATCAGGCCGTTGCCAACGAACACGGCCTGTAAGGTGGGGGAAAGACGAACCACAAACGAGTGAAGCTGCTGCCAGGGCAAGAGTGTACCAGACGTATAACTGACCGAGGGGGAAGGGAGGGGGTGGAGGGGCCAGGTGGAGTCATGTGCAAGAAACAAAGGATCCATCGGAAAGGTTGGAAGAAGCACCGAAAAACATAAGAATAACCCCTCCAAGAGGCGCTTTTACGGCTCGCAATGGGAGGTTAGGGAGGAATCTGCCTGCGGGCCTGAAAAAAAGCATTGTCACCCATATCACGTGAGGCGAGGCGGGCACGCGGAGCGCCATGGCCCGTGAGGAGAAGGTGCGCCAACCCAAGCGCGTACATGTATGCAGCACAACGTATGCCGCCCCTGCCAACAATGTATGCTCACTGCCGGTCACATGCCCCAGGTCCCAGACGCACCCCAGCTTCCCTGTCCCCCCGCCGAAGCCCTTCGTCCCCAGACCCACACACGCAACACGGTAGCCACTTTCTGACGGCTCGGTTTTTCCATTACACACGACAGTCGGCAGTTAACCCGTTCCTTCTTGCATATGACTCAACCCCTCCCAACAGCCCCCCCTCCACACACACACAGGACCGCCCTCCCAGGGCCCACCTTGGAAAATGTGTCACCCAGCCACTTCTCGTCAAAGCCCCTGGAGAAGTGCTCCGCCACCAACCAGCTCTCAAAGGCAGAGAACAGGAGCGACGTGGCGATGCCGCCCAACAGACGACCAAACTGCGGACGGCAAAATGATCACGTTTCATTTCAGCGAGCACAAGTCTGCATGCAGCAACCGTCGCCATGCGACTGCTAATTTAAAGAACAAAAAGTCTTTCCTACACTCAACTTCCTTCAAAAACGAAACTCGAATGCAGTACAAGGCAGCGCCCGTAGCTGTAAGCAACCACGTCTGATAGCCGGCGGCTAGCTAGCGCGAACAAACAAAAGCCGGGTACCTGACGTACAGGACAGGGCACGCATCACCTGCATCCAACCCCATCTTTTCTACCCACCCACCATGAGGATGCCGTAGTCAGGGGAGTGCTTCGTGGCACAGGAGGCCGCGTACGTCAGGACGTAGAGCAGAGCCGCCTTTTTGCGGCCGCTGGATCCACGGTGACGGATTGGGCAAGCAAATAGCCGCCACAGTTAGCGAGGTAGCTAAGGTGACCACTGACAAGAGACCGTCCGCTCCTAGATTTTAAACAAGACACACGCTCTGCACAAATGGCTGAGTAAAATCCCTGCCAGCTGTCAGCTGTCCCTGCCGGCCCATCCCACTGCCAGCCTGCCCACAAGTGACTCACTGTTTGTCAGCCAGGGACCCCACCACTGTGCCGAAGAGCATTGAGGAGCCGAAGCCTGCGATAAAGAGACGGCCAATGTCCTGTGGACGGGGCCGGGCATCGAAGACGGCAAGTGGGTGCCAACGTAATCAAAGGGTACGCAGCCGTTAAGCCAGACTCTTGAGCGGAAAAAAAATTACGCTCAGTGGGGAGCCGTTAGTGACCGCATGAAGGTAGCTGAATCGCTGTCACGTCGGCTAGGAAGGTGTGTGGAGGGACGCGTATCTGCAGCCGAGGCCCATGGGCTCCAACACTTGCAAGCAGCCACGAGAGAAAGCGTGTTCATGCGAGCGGCTAACACATTGGATGGTGCTATATCCTCTACAGTTACTGCACACGCATAGCCGGATAGCGGCCGTGCAGCGTAACGCCCTGCTGCGTCGCATCGCGCGGCAATGTAGCGCATCCACGTTTGGGTGTGGATTTGGCACCATATGCCATGCCCTGAGCGCAAAGGCTGCCCTTTGCATTCCGGGCAGAAAGCCAGAGAACAAGAACCCACTGGATGGGGCCCAGTCCGAATCTGCGAACTAAACATGTATTTGCCGTACCTTGACGCCATACCCATAATGTTGATACAGAGCGTACACGTAAGGTCCCTGGAGCCAATCGCCAGCTGCATACACGATAGGGCAATCGAAGAGATCGGTAGACGTCGTAAAAGAATTGCTAGTTGAGGACAACAGGTAAGATAGCTTTGTTCTTGTGGGGTTATGCTCCGGGAGATCAAGTGCAGCTGCAAAACATGGTTGTCCAATTATGTGGAAAGCAAGTGCAGGGGGGTTATCGGTGAGGTAAAGACCGCGCCTCTTGGCGGGCCCCTCCACGCCAGGCAAACTCCAACTTTTCCCTCTCTTCACGAGTAATGAAAACGAGAACAACGCTGCCTTACCCATCATGAGGGCGTAGACGAAGACATAGTTGTTCCGTAACGAAAAGAATGCCTGCAACTGTGATGCGTTCCCCGATACAATGCCACCCTCTTTGGCCTGCAAAGTTGGGTAGGGAAAACCAGGTTATTGGACAAGTCGAGTAGCGGGATCGAGGGTTAACAAGGCTCGAAGACGTTCCAAACCCGCTTCTTTCGGGTGTGTTAGTCGTGGCACCCTTAAACAATAAATTGCTAGGAATAATTTTGCGCCGATGGCGAGCAAGAAGAAACAATACCTGGGTCAGCAACATGCCTGCAACTATGACCGCCAGGAGGCCAAAGATGAACCAGTACACAGACTCCATATTTGAGGGTGATTCAGACTTCAAGCGCTATGCATTAAGAAGGTCGTGCTTGCCGATAGACTGTGCATGGACAGGTGTTGAATAGAGGAAGGGCAAGTGGGCTACTTTTCACAGTTACAACTTGCACGCGCTCGGCAGGCTACGGTTCACCACGTTGGGGTAAGACGCCACCAAGGGGTTGAATACTATGAACACGGTACGACCGCGAGGGGTAATGGTTGGTCCCGGCCAGGGTACTCAGAAGTGCAGCCGGAGTCTCCTGTTGTAACTTAAAGCTACAGGTGCTTAGAATTAACCTCCAGAGCGCTCATGTTTCCACCGATAGTTACTGCTCTAGCACTGCTTTTGTCCTTGCGCTCACGCATGGCGATTCACACGTAGCATTTTTCAGGAGCACCTTTATTTTATAAATTGCTAAAAATTACCAGGACAGAACGGTCAAGGTCCCTGCCGCCGCAACTGGCAGTGCTCTAGCCATCCTGTAAAGAGTCTTCCTGCAGCTGGCAGCGCTTGCGGTCATCCATGGGCGACCATGATGACTATCCGCATGAACATGATCGGCTATACCAGGCCGAACGTGGACATGAGGGCGGCCGTGTGAAATCTAGAGATGACGGTCGCGATTACCGTGAACGCCTCGATCGGGAACCGCCCCGTGACTATGAGCGACGCCGGGATGAGCGGGACTATTATGACAGGCGGGATGAGGACCGGCGGAGGCCGCGCGGCGACGACCGCTACGAGCGTGGACCGGGAACCAGGGACAGAGAGTACCCAGACCGGCGAGACGTCCGAAGCGATCCACGGGATTATGGGCGTGAACGGCGAAGGTCCAGGTACGCGGCGAGGTTTTCACGTGAGGGAGCACGTATTCTTTGGGGAGTCAAGGGGGTTGAGACAGGCTCACATGCCAAACCTCCAGTTTCTAGATTTTTCTGATAGGAGTAATGTTGCATAGATCAGCAACGGGGTAGGAATCACGGCCCGGGATTTGTGCGGACTGCCGCGTCGCCGTGTGGAATGGCGAATCTGCTTCGTTCCATCTGCCCGGTTCGCCACCTCGTCTGCGGTCCCATTACCGGTCCCGAGGGGAAACGATGTGGCTTGCTGCATTTGGCTTGTGTGGTGGGATATGGCTGTGAGCTGCGGCAAAGCACTGCACAAGTTATCAGGGGAAGTAAATCGCTCACAGTCCCTAGCGTTCGTATTTTGCGCTAGCACTGACCCCAACCGAGCGGCATTTGACGGCCCGTAGGTCACGGGACAGGCGCCGTTCGCGATCAAGAGACCGCTACGATAGCAGGTACGTTCGGTGGTGGGTCCAAGCGGGAGTGGGGAGATGAGGGCAAGGACGGCCGTTGGATTTACGCAACGTGGTGGCTAAGCAGCCTACACATACGCTATGCGACATGACCAGCTTTATTTCGTGCAAGCGTATGCTCACCAGGTGTCCAGGGTCTTAGCGTGAGCAATCGTGGTCATGGAAAAGAGCCAAACACATGCTGCCCTAACATATCATCTGGGGACCCTAGCGCTGACAGCTGCAGGACTGCTATGAGATCATTTGTTTTCTAGGATAGGCCCGCTTCTAAAGAAGTGGCTTTCCGAGTCGGAGTCACCCACAGACGCGGGATGCGTTGGGTCTTTCCCTGCTTTTCCATCCTATCGGCCCTGAGAGCATTGCAGCACAAAGGGTTAAGGCTCACGGCACGCAATCCATACGCATGATTCGCGGGTCGCGCGTCTGGGCGCGCTCATCTGCCCCATGCTTGGGTTTTTTGGAGCGCAGGGACAGGCGGGACGACCGGGACGCAGGACGCCGTGGTCGCGGCAGCCGGGGCCGTCGGGACGACTACAGTGACGAAGACGACTTATACGGCGGATACAAGCCGCGGAAGCGCCAGGCTCCCCCGGTAAGGCCACAGTTTATGCAGCGGCGAGGAGGGGAGGCGTGTGACATAGATGAGGGAGCGTGTGTAACAGATAAGGACGCGTGATACATGCGCGTGGGGAGTGCGGGACCGTAACCCCAATGGCTTGGGAAACATCGGAAGGGACGTAGCCGGGTCTGGTCTGGGCAAGGCTATGGAGCAGGTCCCAGGTAAGTGGAGTATCTTCCGGAGGTGTTTTGATGTGGGGGCCATGTGGGTCACCCTGGATGGTTGGGGGTTGGGCGATGGAGATATGCTGCGTGCGGTTAGGGACCTGGGAAGCCGTACTTTCAGGGGATGGCTGCCCGTCGCCCCCCGCGCGCTGCATGTTTTTCTTAGTTGTGTTTTGCTGATCTGATCTAGCCCTATGAGATCCGAGAGCGGGCTCGCCATGAGAGCGGGCTCGCCATCCGCTGTACCAGTAAAGGATGTAGACTAGCTAGACTTAAAGCACGAGGCAGCGCCTTGGGTAGTAGTATGTAGGCATCTTTGTGTCTTGTCTTTGTGCGTGTTGTTTACAAGCAAATAAGGAAGCTATGGATGTTGAAGCAGCACGCGATGTTTTCCGCAGGATCCTTCCAAGTATGACAAGCCGTTGCCTCCGGGGGCTGGTCCGGGCTACATTTCCGATCCCTTTTACTACCTGCGCCAGAATGTGCCGACGGATCCTGCAGAAGGTGAGGGACAGGGGAAAAATCGAACCCTGACATAACGTGAATGCGAGGTTGTGGAGGAAATAGGAGGGAAGGGGGATGGACAGCGTGAGGCTGGGTTGCAGGGACTCCAAGGCGGTGGGGTTGCGCGGGACGTCTATTTCCGGGAATGTCACGGTGCTTGGGAAGCTGGCCTTCGGCGCTGCAATTCCTGGCGCTGCGTGCGTACCTGTGGCCTTGCTTGTGGTGTCGAGGAGAATTGCCCCAAGTTTGTGTGGCTCCGGGGCTCGCGAAGATTCTGCGATCGCGGGGCTACGGGGCACTGCACACCCTGGGAATCAGCCCGGGGGTTAAGGCTTGCTTCCTGGGTGGGATCAGGCGCCGCTCACGTGTGGAAGGCTGGATAGCCTGGCGTGGAAACTGAGTTTTCACTTCTTCATTTAATGGCAAAGCCATATGTAGAGCAAGCGCTTCACTATCCGGTGGGGATGTTGGGATAGTGTATTAGTACATGATGGCAACCAATTTATGGCAGCCATTACGTATTTTTATTACCGCCGAGGCGATGATGCTTGTGAAAAAGGTAGCGAAGGCGAAAGCAAAGAAGGGTAGGGTTGCATGATGGCGGACGGATGCGACCTTTCGCTGTGACACGAACCTGACAATGGTTTATGCCTTGTATCCTGTCTGGTTTACCTTGCCTTGCCTGTGCAGCCCAACGCTTGTGGCTGGAACAGCAGCTGCGCAGTCGGCAAATGGTGCTGCAGCAACAGGCGGCATCAGCGGCGGCGGCGTCAGCCAAGACGCAGCGGGAGGTGGGTGGGTGGGTGGGTGGGTGAGGTATGGGAGACCGGATGGTGCGTGCGCGCCTGCTCGCTCCCGTGCATCCCGAAAGCAGCTATGGGCCTCCGCGTCCCAGTCATTGCTCGGCGCGCACGGTCAGTGCATACATTCTTATTCCGGTTCTCTACCATATAAACATCTTGTCAGGTCTCTTTGCTTGTATTTTCTTGCTCGCTCTCTTGACTTATCATGTTCATGTCGTCTCCTAATCCCCCTGTCGGGCGTCCAGCTCTACATTGGCAACCTTGTGCCTGGCGCGGTGACGGATGTGGCGCTCCGACAACTCTTCAACACGACCTTGGTAGCCGCATTCCCCGTCACCGGCAGTGCGGAGCCAGTCGTGAATGTCAACCTGCACAGCGATGGGCGCTACGCGTTTGTGGAGTTCCGCACGCCGGAGATGGCGACGGCGGCGCTGGCGCTGAATGCGCAGGTGCGGGCGCCGAGAGGCGCATCGTCATTTTTGCAAAGAAACATGGCGCTGTGGGCGCTGTACCATGTGCTAAGGGGACCCCTGCACTGTGCGTGTGTTTAGCGTGGAATAGGCTGAGCACCGTAACTCCATGTGTGAGCTGGGTGGGGAAGGAGGAGGAGTGGGCAGGGTGCCGGAGACCTGGGTGTCGGCGGTGATCAGCCCCCTGTGCATGCGAGCAGCATGCGGCACCTGCACTTGCACCTGCAGGATGATACACATAAATTGCGGAGTGGTTATAAGAACATAGACGGCTAGCGTATGGCGAACTTGAGATGATGTCGCCGTGTTGTACATGCGTCGCAGGTTCAATTGCTGGGTCAGACAATCTCCGTGGGCCGGCCCAGTGGTTACGTGGACCCGCAGAAAGCGGCTGCAGCTGCGCAGGCGGCGGCACAGGCCTTGGCGGCCTTCCAGGTGGGTGCTACGCGTTGTTTTCTTAGTGAAGGCCGCGTGGGTCCCCGCACAGGCTTTAGATGGGCGGCGCCTACTTCTCCTTAGAATGTTCTCAAAGAAATTAAACGAGGGCTCTGCTTTGTTGCGCGCGGTATATCTGTTTGTGTGATGCTGTTGCGGGAGGCAGCGCTCGTGTTCTTGGCGAGAGCAGGACCGAGGAGCATTGTCTGCGTCCTGAACAAGAGCACGCTTGTGTCGGTAGGCGTGTCCTCATGGCATGGTAGTAAATGCCAGGCAAGCCAAGCGGAAGGAGGAGGTTGCCGGCCCCTGGGAATTTCGGGCAGGGCACAGTGGCGAGGCGAGGACCAATGCCCCCGTTTCTCCCTGCCGCTCCGGAACATGCGCAGGCTGGCGATATGGCAGCCCTGGCAGCAAACGCTACAGCCGCGGGTATGAATCTCGCCCAGCTGGGCCTCGCAAACCTCGTCCTTCCCAAGCCGGCGGAGGGTGCCGACACCGCGCCAGCAGTAGCTGCTACAGCGTCTGCGTCAGCGCCGCCATCGCGGGAGCAGACACCGACCATAGCTGCTACTGCCGGTGCCGGCGGTACGTTAGCTTCTGGATGCATCTCCCAGGACCCCGACAAGGAACAACAGCAGCAGGCTGTGCTACAGCTGCTACAGCCGCAGGAGAAGGAAGGGGATGGGCAACAGGATCAACGGGAGTCGCAGCAAGAGCGGCAGCGGCAGGAGCAGCATCCAGCTACATCTGTTGAAGGAGAGGGTGATATGGAGGTAGTAGCAGGAGCCAATGGCACTGCCGTCGTCGTCAACGGGGACGATGCTGAGGCGGCCGCCGCCGCCGCCGCCGCGACGAGGTTCTTCTGTGTGTTGGGCATGCTGAACGCGGACATGCTGCTAGATGACGAGGAGTATGAAGCCGTGAGTACCGGGCAGGGCCAGGACCGCTTCTCCGAGGGCTGTGCTTCTACACGCCTAGCTTGGGAACGCGCCTAGCTGGGGCTTTAGGAAGGATGGAGAACCCGGGCAGCCATATCGCACCTTCTTTTCCCTGTCCCCGGTTTCCCTCCTGCGCCGACGGTTAGGTTCCGGGTGTTGCATGAAAGGGACCGCTGCGCTTTCCGTGGTCTGCGCCGGATGTCCGCTAGCATTCCACGAAGCGAGAGTTCCACCCATCCGCCCGCCCAGCGGTGCTGCCGCGCACTGCTCGTCGTGTGTGTATGTGTTGTCATGGCTTCTGTGCGTAGGTACCAGTGCTGTGCCACCTCCCCGTAGGCCGTCTCCCTCTGAAGACCGCAGCTCAGATTACATCACAGCCCTTGGCCCGCCCCGGGACCAGGACCAGGCACCCTATCGCCCAGGCCGAAAACATAGCAGCGCAACCTTTTTGGGGAGCAAAGTCGCTCTGTCCAGCTCGCCGCTGCGCCTTCGGCTCACGCTAGGTGGTCGCCAGGCTGGCAGCGCCCCTCTGCTGATTGCCCAGCCCAGCCCAGCCTCCGCTGTCGCCATCGGCACCGGCGCCGCCGCATTGGCGCTGCTTCTTAAGGGCTAAGACGGGCATGTTTCATGGTGTAGTTATGGTTGTGGTGGCTCTATGTGTGACGGTATGGCGTGTTGGCGGAGGAAGGTGTCTGCCGTGCGTTGATATGCGGTCGTTGCGTCGTTTCATGGTTATGGATGCGTTTGCATTGGCTTTCCTATCTCCCGCGGCGATGACGATATATCCATGGCAAGGGACTTAGGGTTCTTGGGGAGAGTAGCATCGGAAAAGCTTTGTCGTTTCTTTGCGAAGACCTACTTCCCGCAGGGGCGGTCGTGACCTGGCAGGTACGGTAGCTAGATCAAGCCGCAGAATGAAGCTTCCAACCGTGGGACCTCGCGCCTATTCTTTTGTTTCTTCTGTTCTTTCGGCCGTTTTTGCCATTGCTTAACACACTCCGAATGACCTTTGTCACCGCGTCGCCCTCGCCATCCCTCGGCAGTGCCGGGCCCCGCCAAGCATTCTTCTTCCCTCTCCACGCCTGGCTCGCTCAATTTCCATCTGATTATTCCCTTATCCACCCTTTTCCCTAACTCCCCCCCTTCCGCGTGTGTCTTTCCTGAACCGGCTGCTCGCGCCGCTCTGCTACATGCAGGTCATCGACGACCTGAAGGACGAGTGCGATAGGCACGCCCCAGGAAATGTGGTCGCGGTGAAGGTGCCGAGGCCGCCGGAGGAGGTCCGGGCGCAGACTGCCGATTTCATCGGGATCGGGCAATATGGCAAGGTGAGGAACGGGGGCGGGAGCACGAGAAGAAAGGGAGTGCGGGCCCCGGCGCCTGGTGTTGTGCCGCCTCCCTCCTGTAATGGCCTCAGGAGAGAAACGATGGGACCTAAGAAAAAGGGGCTCCTAGAGGAGCGCCTCCGCAACGTCTGTTTGCATCACTCTTTGTCCTGGTTTTTGGTTATATATTGATGTTGATTATTATATTGATGGTCGCGGGTGTGCTTGTTGCCTGCTTGCTCGGAAACTTCGTCGTGGGCCCGGTTGGTGCAGGCGTTTGTATGTTTCAAGGACGCCACCTCGGCACAGCGGGCGCACGCGGCTATTCACGGGCGGCTCTTCGCGGGTAATACCGTACAAGTGCAGTACATTACGGAGGAGGAGTTCAATGCGGTGCAATGACAGCAGCAACAGCTCCCTGGACATAACGCGACACTATATGGCACGACACACGACATGCAGCGGGGGCATCACCAATGGCGGCAGCAGCGACAGTACCAGGCAGCGGAGGAAAGCAAGACGCGTGCGCAAAGCAAGACGCGTTCGCGGGCGTGTGCGGGTATGCATTTCGAGTAGGGTGTTTTTCTCCTACGTCCCGCGGGTGGGGCGCCGTGTATCCACGAGCAGGAGCGGGTAGCACCTACTTGGAGACGCTTGCGACTCTTCACACGCCAAACGTATCCGCGAGCAATGCACATCATCGCGGGTGTAAATGTAGAAGTGGAGGTGCGACGTCGTAGCTTACAAACTTGCCCGCAACCGGGACGTGGGTTAGGCGAAGCGAAAGCAGGAACGGGACGCTTTGGCAAGGATTCCAATGGCAGGAACAAAACGAAGCCAGAGCCTTGTCGCTAGGGAGATTCTTAGCACAGGAAAGGGAAGACGAGCCCGCGCCGTCGCCCTCACAAATTCTTGGAGGGCTCGGTCAAAACACCCGCTTGGGCCATATGTCTCTGTGGGACTGTGGAAAGGAACTCTGCTGGCTTGGTGTGCTGGTGTTTAGCGGCGGCGGCGGCGGCAGAGAAAGCAGCAGCTCTTCGCAGGTGCGGTTTTGCGTTTCACACTGACTGCTGATGGTAGCTACAAAGTTACCCAGAAGATGTTTGGTGCTGGTTTCCGCCATGGAAGTAGGCGTGTGGGACGCAACTCTGGGGGATATGGATGGAAACGAGGCGGCAAAATGAACGCTGTGACGAAAAGGGTCATTCCTGGGGTTTCGGCTTATGATACGTAAGACACGTTAACGTTTTGCGACCCAGATTAAGAATGGCTGGAAAAGAAGTACAGCCTTGGGAAGCGCAAATCCTGTGTCCATCATCTTGTGCAGTCATTCACATCGACACCGAAATCTCTTGACAACTTGGGCTGCAGTTAGGGGAGTGGAGTCTTGCGAGCCGCAGGAAGTAAGCCAAACCCCGACTCGGACAAGAAGCTCCTTTGGAGCTCATGAGGAGCAGCAGTAGGCCTTGGCCTGCTCTGGTTGTGCTACTGTGCTGGGGTTACGGGCTTCCGTGAGTCTGCTGTTGGCGTGAAGGGGGCCTGCTTTGGGGAGATAAGCTCCCGACTGCTGATGAAATCGTTGGACCTCGCTTGGGAGTCGACGACGGCTCCTAGGTCGCCTTCTTGACACAGAGACCTTTGACTGGTGTTTCGTTGCGTGCGGCAGTGTGGGATGAGGACGGCACTTCAGACTTTAGTAAGGCAGTGGCTTAGGGTCTACAGACACGTGGACCTGGGCCTCAAATCCCATAACAACGCAACGATGGGTGTGGTACGCAAGTCGGGATTAAAGGATGGGGTGGGGTTGGAATGGGGTGTGGGCGTCGAATGGGATGTGTAGCAGCGCGCACACATCAGTTTGATGCCATTGGTTTCGGAGGGAAGGCAAAGTGCAAATCAGAAGTTTGGGGTTTGCAATATTGTTGGGGCGGCGACAGATTCATCGGCAATCGTCGCGTTGCGAGCTTTCCTCGCACACTACACGCCATATACAATTTTGCATGACCTGCATGACCTGTGCCAAAGATGGTGAGGCTGCTCAAGTACCCGCTTTACCTGTCAGAGGCTGCTCGACGGTTTAGCTATCACTAAAGGCATTGCCAGCCGCTGTGCTTTGCTGCGCATCGTGAGTGATGTAGCTAGGATGGCGGGTTGTGTGGATGCTGCAGCAGCGGTGGATGGCGGCAGCAGCTCTTTTGCCAAAGAGTTAATGCCACATATCTCGCGTGGATAGCAGCCATTTCGCAGCTCGTCTACAAATGGGGCTGGTGATTTGCAAAGATGGGCGTCCTGAGGAAAGCCCAACTAGCTCGAGCGCTTCAAAGGATGGCGGTTCGTCAACGAGGGTCAGCTCGTTTATCTTGGTCGAAAGCTGAGCGTAAGAACGCTGAGCCGTTCTGGGTTGGTATGTTGGGGTATTGGAGGGGCTAAAATCAGACCTGGTCAGCGGTTTCATGTAGTTTCATGTCTTCCGGCTAATGTCACGGTGCATGTCCTGAATTTCCATATGCTTGTTGGTTTGGTTTGGCTTTAAGTGATGTGTGGAAAATGTCATAATACACAATGGTAAGTAACGACGAGGATGCGATGCGACCCTTCATCAATGGCTCACAGGCTCTGGCGATGCCGACGATTTTAACTACAGCTGATTCTTGTCCTGTGAAACGTGTGTCATGGACTCGGCGCATGAGATGCAGAATGGACATGAAGGGCAGGGATGCACGGGAAGTTAACCATGAAAACAGGGGATGCAGCGGAGGGGGGGGACGGTAGTTGTGCTACGACCCGGGAGAACGAAGAATATAAGCGGTTAGGAAGCTTTATTAGGATTGCATTTGTGTTGTTTATTTGGCCGGTATGTGGCGGAATATTCACGGAATGTTGGCAGGCCCCCATGGCAGCCGCAATTCCCGTTACCTGAAACATGACACTTCAGGGAAGAATGTACGTTGCTAGCAGCAAGCACAGAGCGCATGTCCAATTCGACAAATTCAAGTAAGAGGGAGGTGGACTTCTCCTAGCGGCTGTCTGTTGGCTTTCGTAAATCGGGCACATTGTGAGCAGCAATTATGTGTCCGCGCGTGCGGGAGAGATAGATTGCGGGTGCAAGAGGAAAAAATATATATATTAGATACCCGGATTAAAAACAGAAGACCTGCACACCGGACACGGTGATTCCCCAAAATCTTTCTTGCGTGATATGAAACGATAGTGATTTCCTGACGCTTCCCAATTTCTCCACACCTGCTGCAGCTTTCCACTCAGCTCTCCACTCAAGGCCTTTTCACTCACGGAACGAAAAAGCTTTTTATAATTCCGAAAGCGCGATTAAAACCAACCGACTGCCCGCCTGTCTTGGGAAGAGGATGGCCACAATTCGCCGCGGCTTTCGATGCATGGTCAACCATTGATGCCATGACCCAAATATATAAGGAGTGCCCTATACAATTGTACGGAAAGCTTGCTGGTAAGGGTAAGGTACGCGGGCAAAACTCATGCATACCTTAACCATAATGACAATTCCTACCTTACCATTCAATACGCAACGTAAATTACTTCCCTAAACCGCTACATCGTGTTATAACGATTGCATTAAGTAAAGCGCCAAAATGAGTTTTGCCAAGCCTGCGTTCCGCTTAGATGAACTGTCATAAACGAGCGAGATCAGGAGAACATAAGGCCCTCGCCGGGCCGAAAAGCTGAGTAAGCAGCACTGAAATGCCAAGCTCCAAAACTGAAAACCCCAGAAGCCATCTTCCATGTCAACAAATACATTTTCACTTCCCCACTCCCAGATACCTCTTATCCATTAGTTCATACTTTATAACAACAACACGTCAGAGGTGTTGGTCTGTGCCTCGGCTTCACCAGCTGTCCCATTCGTCACGGATTGCCGTACACTTCATCGCACGTGCAAAAATGTAATCTCCTTGTAAGGCTTCCCAAGTCTCTCACCATCCACACCTCTCGGTCCTGAGCCCTCGACCCTTACTTCAATAAATAAGGTTTACAAATAAAGTCAATTCGTCAAATTCCCGTTTCCAACCAGGGGGTTTAGGGCGCATTAACAGCATTCCCTTCACCGCGTTCATCAGCATTTATGGACACTTCGACATGCTTTGCCGCTTCAGCCTAACTTTTCAAGATAAAACAATTTATAAAATCTCAAGCAGAAAAAAACCTGCATCCTAATTCCACTCCTTGTGGCTCATGCACGTCAAAATGTATGTGCGCTGGAATAGCTGGGCCACGTAACGCCGGTTGCACAACCCTGCCTGCGGGACCAGGTCCCAGCAGCTGCATGGCACTGCCTCAGGCAGAAGCGGCCTTGTACGGCAGATCCGCGGTTCCTAAGACCAGCACATCGCCCTGCTCCAGGTACTCTTCCACGCTCCGTGGCAATATCGCTACTGACCCCTGCTCGCCAGGCTGCTGCTGCTGCTGCTGCTGCTGCGGAAGTGGCTGCGGGGGCAGTAGCAGCAGCACTTTGGTTACTGCCGACTGTATTCGGAGGCCCCCCTCATTCCTCAGAAGAAAAGCCAGCCAATCGAGCCTCTCCTTCGCCTGTCGCACCGTCACCGTCACGTCGCCGGCGGCACCGCCGCCGTACGGCAACTGTACGGCAACTGCCACCAGCGCTGCCATAAGCCCTTCCTGGTCCGTGCCGGCGGCGTTACCGCTACCGTTGCATGTCGCCAGCAGATCGATCGAATAAGGAGCACCCGACGGATCGGCCTTGTCGTACACCCGTACATCACGTCTGCAGGTGACGCACGTGGCTGGCGTAGCCTCCGGCGTCGCCGCGAGGCCCTGCCGTAACAAGGCGGAAGCCATAAGGCTCCCGACGGAGCCTTCCAGCAGGTCCAAAGCTGCTGAAAGGTCATTCACAGTCGCGGCGGACGGGACTGAGGTCACCGCCGTCATGCTGGCGGCGCCGCCAAGGCCACGGGTCTCCAGCAAGTTCTGTACGAACCGGGCTGCCTGCGGGCGAGTCCGTAGCATCAGCCCTTGTGGCCTCGCGTCCCGGGCAGTGGTACGGTGCGCAAAACCCTAATAATACTGCTCCGCTAGTACGACACACCCAGGGGAAGACCCTTGCCTTTCTGTAGCAATGCCTTATATATCATCGCCATCGTGTACCTTCGATCCAGGTCTAGAGAGAGGAGCTCGAGGCCCGTGTCAGGAGCCCGAGGGCCTTATGTAGCAGGCGAATCGCTAAGGTTTTCCGGAATGCGTTATATGGCATCACCATCGTTGGAGTCTTGCGTCGTTCTGGCGCTGCGCCTTACGCACGCCTAATCCCAAGGGGCCCTAACTTCCGAACCCCAGCCAGGCCCCCTCTCCCTGCGCACCTGCTCTCCCTGCAGCCACTGGATGATTTCCTCGCGGACGCCCCACTTAGCAAACCACAGCGGCAGCGGTTCACCCACAGTATGCTGAGAGAGAGGAAAAGGAGCGGAGGAAGACCGAGTACAATAATTTATTAATTTATTTATGGATGGATTAAGTTAACCCGATCGGATTGCTGGCGTGCTTCACCAAACACCCTGGGTGGTTATGGTTATTTGGCTTGCGGTGGAGATAGCCTCTCAGCCGATCCTTTAGAATTTCCAAACAAACATCTTTTTGGCCTGCGCGATTTCGCCGAGAAAGCCAATTTCCTTTATCAAGTGTAAAAATATGAACTCCTCCTAGTCCTAAAGAACCTTTATCCTTAAGTTTTCACAAAAAGCCCTCCCCGGGATGCGCCCGAGCTGTGGGGCCGTCATAGCTGCCTTACCTTGCTCATGAAAAAGCGCTCCAGTAGCCAAGGCTCAGGCTCCGGAACCACACCCTGGGCAACCTGCATGCGGCGGCGGTGGCGGAGGTAAGTCAGCCACGACGGTCACAAGCACACGGAGGCCCATCGCCTGAAGAGCCACAACAACACAGGATCACCGAGCTTCAGGCCTGGACTGCAGCTGCTTACTGCGTCGCTCCTAATCGCGAACCAGTCCTTCGCAGAGATAACAGACAAAACTAATTAAACCCGCTAATTACAATCCCAACTTTTAAACCCTGAGCCGTAATCCTAACCTTACCAGTGATATCCCCAAATGCCAAATATATACAAGTTAATTTTTGAGGATTCAAAGATTTCTTGAGATCACAGCACGTCAGCTCCGCCGTACGAAGTACAAACCAGTCCAGAAGTGCAGGCAAGTCCACACTCACCTGAGCCATAGTCCAGGAGAAGGGATCTGCGCCACACAGCTGCCGCAGGAACACCGCCACGTCTAGCCGGGAGGCGTACACCAGCGTGCCGAAGCAGTGGAGCAGCGCCACATCCTATTTAGGACACATACCGACATAACAGTGGGAGGACGGCACACTTATAGGTCCGGAATGTAGGGCCGCAGACCTAAACAAGCGATGCTGCACTTGTACGGCATCGCAGTACGGCGTTGGGGACCTGGCGTGATGCAGTCCTGTGCCTTAAAGCGTGCCTGAGGTCATCGCTGGTCTTCCGCATGCAGAGAGCTCTAGCGGATACATACAGACGTACCATCGGGCGTCACCAAGTCACCAAGGAATACATATATCCTGTCCTCTATGCTCACTTCCTGAGTGTCCTATTTAGGATTGCTCTACCAGGGCCCTACCTCAGCCGTCGCCTGTACGCCCTCCGCAGGCTCCCAGCCCGCCAGCTCCCAAACTGACCCATGGGTCCATTCCGGCATGGCCGCCAGTAAGGCATCCACCAACGGACTCGCGACCAGGCCCAGCAGCTGATGCTCCGAAACCGACGCCACCCGCTCACGGACTAGCTCCTGCTGGGCCGCAGCCACCGCGCCCTGTACGGCATTGGTGGCTGTGGCTGTGGCGGTCAGCGCCGCCGCCGCGGGTCGCGTGGCCATCCAACACTTGATTGCTCCGCGGAGATTGCCGTTCACAAACCAGTGCGGCAGCTCCTCACCCACTCGCAGACATCCCGAGGTCAGGAACTCGGTAAGGAGCTGTTTGGGGACATTTGATTTATGTAGTTCATACGCTTTATTAAAGGCGAGTGAGCATGGTGTGGTGTAATATTCGGTAAGAAAGGCATTTCGATTAGCTAACCCGAAAAGACACGACTACGGTCGTCCTGGGACCGAATGAGGGCGGAAGTGAGAGAGAGAACCGAATTAAACCAGCCGAGAGATCAAGTCCAAGACTTCATGTCGGCGTGGTATTGGGCATGGATGTGATTTGATGTGACTTGGCTAGGGTTGTGGCTCGAGGTGCGTCTGTCTATCTGTCTGTCTGTCTGTCTGTCCCAGGGGTGCGTCACTCACCTCCAGTTGATGCGCAGCCTGCGGGTCGCAAACCGCCCGGCTGTCCGCTGAGAGAACCGCCTCGCTGCAGAACAACACCTGGTCACGCGTGACGGAAAGGGATAAGAATGGATGAGGAGAGAGGGGAGGAGAAGATGGGGAAAGAGCTATAGGGCTCAGGGAATGTGCGTTTGCCCGTGCTTAGAGCCGTCAGGGGAATGGGTGACGCACTCTCTAGTCGCATATCGCGTGTCCAGGAGCCTGCCACCCAGGAGCGCCTCGGTGTAATATTAATATCATGAAATGATGAAGCGGTCACTAAGCTCGGGGCAGGTGTCGGCATAGATGAGGAGAAACGCTGTAGCGCCGTTCGTGGAAACGGCAGCGAAGAGAGTCTACCGGTCGTTGACAATAAGCAAGAGCCCTTCTAGCTAAATGTGAAAAGTTTGAACGCACCGAAAGCTCTACTTTGTGCTTCGTGAGGTACTTCGTGAAGCTCGTGATGAGGCGCACGTCTTCGCGAGTGGCTGCAGCAGCTGGGGCTGCGGCAGCAGCGGCAGGCGACACCGCGTGGTCCGCAGCCTCCGGCCCGTACCATTCGGAGTCCTGAAGGACCTCCTTATGCAACTTTTGAAAGCTCTGGCCACCGGTGGTCGGGCTGTTGGTCAGGACCCCGAATGGGGGTCGCGATGCAAGGCGAACGACACGAATGCAAGGACGTGCCCGGAATGGACAGGCTGAAGAGACGGAACGAAGCGGCCTGGTAAGCATGTCAGTGTTATTGTTACTGTAGGTGAAACTGCTTCAAGGTGGTGTCGACTGTAATTAATGCACGCGCGGGTCGCACCGAGACTTTGCTATACGCACAATCGGCTGCAACACTCAACAACAAATGAAATCACAGCGAACAATCGAGCATTGCGGTTCTCCAAACTAGCTTCCGAAATGATGCGGTACATTACGTAACTGTACTTCCCAGATCCAATTTCACATCGTTTTCCAACAAGAGCTGAAAGGATCCTGCCGCGAAACGAACGATCCACGTAAAATCCACGTCATATGTAATTCGTTCTATGGCAACGGCGACAGATAATAGCCGGTTGGACAGCTTACTTCACGAACTTTTCGATGACGAAGTTGAGTATGAATACAAACCTATGCACGTCGACGCTCAAGTTACAGGACTGCTTGCACCGGACGTGGAGACGCAAGGCTTGCGTCGGCCACGGCCGAGCTCTTCCATGGTCTGCGCATATAACTTTGAAAGGCAGCTCACGTACGAGTCAACACACCCGCTTATAAAAGAACTAAAGGTGACTGGCTGTCCTGTGTGTTTCGTTAATTCAGTTGGCCGGGGCCGTCCAATTGATGCTGGCTTCTTTTTATCCAGAACAGCATGACGAACCTGCTCTTCCATCAGCTTGGCCAGCCGGTTATGGCCGGAGACCAATCTGTGAAGAGCGTACTGACATCTCAGCCGGCCGCTATCGTTCGGCCTCTTCCGGGCCTTACAATCCTCAGAAGCGCTCTTTCTGAAGCACAGCAGGTAGGGGAAGGCTCAAAAGATAGAAATAAAAAGTGGGGTCACGTCAACAATACGACAGCAGATGTCTATTGGGGGGGAAAGGCTTACGTGCTGCATGGCATATGGGTGAAGAATTAATATGCGAGCCCAGGAAAAGAAGCCCGCAGGGCCTTACAGGATAGGTTGCCCGCTTCGCGTCCCGCCTGGGGCTTTTCAGGTACCAATACAATGGCTCGCTCTGCTGGAGGAGTCGTACAAAGCTGTGTGCGGTGTCGATGGAAGCTCAGCTGCGCACGAAACACACACACATCATACATCTCACATACACACACATAGCGAAGTCCCTGAGCAGCTGCATGCCGGTACAACGACAAGAGATACAAAACGACATGACAACGCCGTACTTTATCCTTCCCCAGTAAAAAAGCCCACTCTGACCGTATGCATGAAAACACGAGGCAACTTTCCGGAGGCGCACTCGTACGGCGGAAGCAGCCAAGCTTCAGCTCCAAATCCAAGCCTCATCTACACACGCCTTCCTGCCTAAGCTCTGAAACCCATTCATGCGCACGTGCAGCTTCAAGTTGCGTCGGACATAGTGCTGAGCGGCTGCCTGGCGGAAGTGGAGGCAGAGGAGGGAGAGGAAGTCGAACCAGAGAAGACTGAGGTGAAGGAGGAGGCCGAAGAAGTCGCTGGCACCGGCAGCCACGGCAGCGGCCGCACTAAAGGGTTGCCTAATCAAGCCATGTTTTTCGGAGATCTGCCACCTTGGACACTGCGACTTATTAAGCTACTACCCTTAAGTAAGCCCGCCGCCCAGGAGTGCACTAGAAAACATGCATGGAAGGTAGAAAGCACTGCACTAGAAACAACTTTGATACTTGTAAGCGATCAAGGGCCCTGCGGGGTCCGCCTGCGGGTGGCGGCTACTACTCTGGTCAGATCGGGCGGTGCTATGTGGCTGCCGGCCGTTGCGCCCTCCAGCCCCGCAATAGTGTTATCAAGGGCGGGGTGGGGCCAAGGCGGGAGATACAGAACTGAACAACGCGACCCGAGGGGGCTCTGTGGACTGAAGGAGCCGGTACAAGCAGTCACAGCAGTCATTTCCCGTCTTCCAGGTTTCGGTCCCGTGAGCCGTGACTGTTCATTCGACACCGTTCACGGCCGTAAGGTCTGTACGGTCGACCGGGTCGTCCCTTTCCGCGGTGTCGCTGTCTGCCTGCCTGGTTCTGTCTGTCTGTCTGCCTGTCTGTATGCCTGTCTTTCTGACCTAGACACCCCGTAAGAAGTGCGTACCAGCCATGGCTCTAAGCAATAAACCGCATTAGTTAACCACCTGTAGATCAGCAATCTGCAATTTACAACTTGGCCGTTCCTGACTGCTGCAAACGTGTTGTTGTTTATCAACAAGCTTGACAAGGGCTTGGCCAAATGCAAATCGTATTAACTGCTGCTTGCAACCGCCGCAAGAAACCGCTGCCAAGACGACTTGACCGCTTCACGCAGCACCTCCTCCAGACCGTCGCTCCCGCTCCCGCACTTGCACTGGCGCCCGCACCAGGCGAGCTTCTACCCCCCGAGTTGGCGAGTCGGTCGCCGTCCTTCGACCAGACCATCGTCAACCTGTACAGGCCTGGTGAAGGCATTACATCCCATGTTGACCTGGCGCGCTTTCAGGACGGCATCGTCAGTGTCTCCGTTGGCGGCCCGGCCGTCATGCACTTCACGCGATGCAGCAACGACCCGTGGGTCACCGCCAATCGCGGTGAGAACTGCGCTGGCAGCAGCGGTGGTGCTGGCGGCGGCGGGAGTTGCAGTGACTGTTGCGGCCGCAGCGCTGAGGGTGGCGACCTGCGGGTCAGCAGCACGAGCTGTTGCAGTACTGCCGGTATTGGGCGCGATGTAAAGGGGCGGCATGAAAAAGAGGTGGCGAAGCAGAGGGAAGGTCCAGGGATAGCGGGGGCTCAGGAAATGGGCAGAGCGGAAGCCGCGGCACCGTTGTCCTCGTCGCCTCCAGCCAAGCGGCCATGTGGTGACTCTGGTCCCGGGGCCATGGAAAGCCGCCCCACACGCGGGAAGGCTCCTCCGCCACCTCCGCCACCTCCGCCGCGTCCGCCGCCTCCGGGACAACAACAGGAACGTGTGGACGCTGCCGATGGCGGAGGCGGAGAAGGGGACGGCGATGGCGGAAGCAAAGCTGAAGCAGCAGCAGTAGTGGAGGCGCAGCCGCCACAGCCGGAAAAGCAACGGAAGCGGCAGGAATGCAATGAGAGCGGCGGTGGCGGCGGCATCGATGGTGACGGCAATGGTGGCGGCGCTGGCAGTACCACCAACAGGTGTGCTAGCCAGCGGCAGGATGCGGGTGTGTGGTGGTGCGGACCTGACCACTTGTGTGTGCTGCTCCAGGGGGGGGACCTGGTGGGCATGGCAGGTGAGGCACGGTTCGGCTGGGAGCACGGCATCCGTGCAGTGGTTTCGGAGCTCTGGGGCGAGGTCGGCTGTAGCAGATGCGCAGCGGCAGCGGCGGCAACCGCTGCTGCTGCCACTGCGGGGGCGCCGGCGGTACCGGTGGCGCCGGCAGCGGCTTGCCGCGGCACGCAGCAGGTGGAGGATGCGTGTCAGGGTTATCGTCCTGCGGGCTATTGGACTGGCGGGCTATCGTCCGGTACGGGCACGGTTTGCCAGTCTGTGACGGCGGCTGAGGGGCGGCAGCTCAAGGGTGCGTCCCGCCCGGTAGTTGCATCGTATGCAAGTACTGTGGGGATGTCCCGGATGGGTTTTCCCGCTGGAGCAGTCGGAGGAGGAGGAGAAGGGCTTCAGGAAGGAGGAGGAGGAGGAGGACTTCAGGAAGGAGGAGGAGGAGGAGGAGGAGAGATTGGCTATCCTCAGGTGGCGGAGGCCCGACGAATGGCGGAAGAAGAAGCAGCTGTCGGAAGCTGCAGTGCAGATGTGGGGATCCCGATTCCCGACCTTGCACCGGGGAGGCCGATCCGTGTAAACCGGGGCGTGAGGCTGTCTGTGACTTTACGGCGCCTTGTTCCGAACATCGTCTTGTGCGAGATGTGAAGGGCACGCGAAGTAAAGAATAATGTATGTTAATAGTAATATTATATGTGTGTATGTTACGCCTTTTGGAGTTGCGATATTCTCCAAACCGAACATGGGCGTGCTTTCCATCCAGCTTGCCCTTCGCGAAGGTCATCGACCTCTTCGGGTTGCGTCTTCTCGGTTACGCTTGACTAATTTCCCGCCACATTCTTGTTGGCAAATATTTTACCTTTGATCTTTATGGAACAAACAGTCTCCGCCTCCGCGCTTGGAGGGTGCGCTAGTATCGGACAAGACAAACTATCGGGAGATTCGCCGATGCATCTGTGCGATGAAGAGCATCAAAACTCCGGTACTACTCATACTTCACATGATTTAAAATTGAGAAATAAATGAAAAAATCGCGTCGATTATCCTTGGCCCCCGTTAAACTGGTGGGCGGCAGGAGTTGACGTGAGCGAGAGAAGACCCTGAGGGGTTTCTTATTTCATAAAATTAGGGCATAAGGAACGGCGAAATGAAAAGGAAGGGAACCTGCAGGACATGGAGACGCGGCTCTTACCAAATCTGAGCTGCACTAGCAAAGCAACGATCACATGCGCCACTACACGCCATATGTGGCATATCCGCCTTCAAATCATCCTCCAGTTCCCATCTGTATAGGGCTTTAGTCGGGCTGTCTGCTGATGGTTACAAGCGCCGGCTGCGGCAGAATTAACATCGACATGGTAACTCGCGTCGGCGTGTAAATGTAAAAGACATATTTTATGCTGGACAAGGAATGTTTTGCTATGATATGGGTTCTGCCCCAATTATACATTGGGGCAAGATAACTAGGCCGGCGGGTGAACCAGCCCGTCCTTACTCAGCCCCACTTACCGGACATCCCGGGATCGTGATTTAATAGCCGGATCCATTTGCCATTACTTTTGGTGGCGCAGTTTGATGTGTATGTCTATCCTTAAATCATGATGTGGTGCTGCACCTCAATGCAGCGCCGTACCGTTACCATAGCCGCTGATCTCTTGCTTTGGACACTTGGTGTCAATCGTTTGGACACCCCTAGATTTTCATAAATTATGGTACACGGGTTTGCCTTAACGGTCATGGCGGTCCTCTATTCACCACGTCGATCCATTGCGCGGTCCGCCGGCTGGCGTTACGTCGCGTTGCCACGAAAGCCACGTGTCGTGAGGATGCTGAATATCGTATGAGAAACGTTGCACGCCTCGTTTTCTGCAATGGCAAAACAAAACTGTACTGCCTGGTACTGCCTGGAGTGTCGCGCCTTACCCACATAAAAAATGGGCCTACATGGCCAGCTGACGCTGTAATGTTTCGAAGCTAGTTGACAAACTTTTGGGACTCTTGTTAGGTCTTGTCGTAACTTCCGAACATTACATACCCCCCCCTTCTTTAAGACGAGCACCGTCCTCGGTGCGAAGGGAAAGCACTAAGAGGCCATAGTCGCGCCTCTATCCGATTCAATTCTTACGAAATCGATACCAGGCTAAGGGGGGAAGGGGAAAAGGGAACCGGCGTCAAGGCAAAAATCCTCCCCCGCCCTGGACGCCGGCCTAAAAGTGGCACACGGCTCCCACCTCGTCCGGACTACGTAACCCCAGATACATCCAGACAACCAATAGTTCCAAGAGCAATGACTAAAACCCCTCAGTGCCAAGACACAGAAACCAAACAACTATACACAACCAGCACACTGAGCACAACTTCAACCCGAAGGCAAACTGAATGCTATCACGCAACACACAGTACCAAAACGAACACTAGCCCAAACCCCGACGCGCTTAAACCACAGACGTACCGAACACAAGCAAAACACATGATGACACACACACACACACACTCTTACTCTCTCTCTCTCTCTCTCTCTCACACACACACACACACACACACACACACACACACACACTCACACTCTCACACACATACACACATACACACACTCGCACATCCAACACGCAGCTCTAGCCCGCAAGAAACTGCAATATTCGCAGCGTGTGCTGCGGTAGCTTGGCTCTGAACTAGGCGTAGCGGTCTGACAGCTTGAATGAGGTCCATGTAGGCTGGCAAACATTTTAACTAACCCCACCGTAATTTCTGACGCACTCAGCGTGCCTAATTATTACACTTTCGGGCTGCACATTTACCAAGCCCGTAGCTGGCGAGTAACCCGCTAAACTTCTGCCCCCTAGCTGCTGAGCCTTGGGAGCTACACGTCTCTGGACTGCCATAGGGTGAGCTGTCCAAATTACCGCACCGAAGCTATATTAGGACTCCTGAACAGTAAGTTCATTGTAAGACATAACAAATAATGTTTACATACTTATGAATCTCCAATAGCTTATTATTTGAAGTGAAAATTCCTTAGAAGCGAAAGTTTGGATTTTGTCGGAAGCCGCGGCCTTGCAGGTTCAGGCGGGTCGCGATCGTTCACGGAAGCGGAAGCAAAGGTGCGCGCTACCTTTGAGCTCCCGCCCGACATTGGCGTGCCGTACCTAACGTCAGCTCTCAATCGATGTCTTCTATAAATGGACGACAATGGCCATCCGAGACCATTCCATTGTTTTAGGTACATATTCTCTACAGCATTGACATAAGTGGTGCGCGGCATTTCTTCTGTCCGCCGACACTGTCGGGTGGGACCGAAGGTTAAGCTGATTCATGTCAGTATTATGTTCATAAGCAACGACGCATTGATATAACAGCCTTATGTAAACCAGGCTAAGGAGTACTAGTTACTTACCTGACTGCCTGTGCAGCTCTTCTGCGCCCGCTCAAGAGCTCGTTCTTTGGACCGCTTTCGGACTGGTGAGGCTTGAATCGGCAGCTGTCCTGAACGGACAATCGCAATAATGCGCACTGATGCATATTGAGGACGTCAGCCCTTAGGCAGCCTTGGGGGCGTACATCACATGTGTGAAGGGAGTAGCGACCTCGGCTGTTGAGCAGGTCGAGCTCATTCCCGTCCAAGAGAAGATACCGGAATGCCAGCTCCTTTCTGACATCGCTGTGATGATTGTCACGTAGAAGCGTTTTAAAAGGAGTTTCTTTGATGCAGGTTCGCACGCGCCTTCAGCGATGGCGCTTCACGGCGGGACGCGTCGTTCCCCAGTTGGTCCAAAGCTGGTAATGGCGTATCTGCTGGTCATCTTTTTATCTTTGCTAGGACCGGGTAAGCGTGGGCGCTGTACCCGCTTAGCGTAGGCATCTTTGAGCACACGTAATACATCTTATAGTGTATTTTACATCCAAGAGATTCCCTCCTACCGTTTCGAACTAACTAGGATAGTGAGTTGAAGAATCAAAAGGATTGCCAGGTTAACTCTCTTAGATGTACACTATGAGACACCTTCAGTTATTCGGAAACGGTGCGGAGCCAGCTATACCGGTAATCAGAAATGTCCTTGACCATTAACTTCTTCACATTTAGTTCCGTTAACTTTGTGGATTAAATCCTGCTGTAAGAGTTCTCATAGCTCCCTCGCGGCAATTTCTCCAGCTCCGTCCGCTGCTTGCCGAAATGCGTCATATGAAGTGGATATAATCACAAATAATAATTTAGTTTAGCATTGGAAAAAGCGTAAAGGAACTACTGACTGGAAATGAAAACACTGATGAGTCACGCGTAGCAGGGCATGCTTGGCGCAAGTGACAATAGCTACCATAGAAAACCTAAATTATTGAGCTCACCGGGATCTCCTCTCATAGAATTATATGGCAATGTGAACATCTACTTTTACGCTTGCGTCTTTACATGTACGAAACGTTACGAAAATACCGGTAGCTGTGTAATGCCAAGACCGTTTTTATGCTTCGGGAGACTGCCTGATCCCCGGGGGAGACCCTTCGGCGAGCTTAACCATGATAAGATGTGGACAGCTAAACCAAGCGCATGGCGCAATTCCCTGCGCAGGACAACTGTCCTGCGGGTGCTGTTGATTTGCAATCACTGCACAGCACATGGAGTTCCTCTTCCCTCTTCAGGTTTGACGAATGTACACTTTTTTTGTTCCTGTGCCCTCCAGGCGCGCAATCCCAGACAGTCCAGCCAACCAAGATTGAGGTGGGAAAGTGTGTAAATCCTTGAGCTGCGTTGCGAAGCGAAGAAATAACCTAATCGGGCTCTACTTGAGCAACCAACTATGCGGATTTCGTCCTCCGCCTGTAATGAGCCTTTAATGATTACCTAAAGTAGTTCCAACCCGCTCACGCAGGGCAAGCTGGTTTACAAGGACGCCCATGTTCGGAAGATCTGGTCGCTAGTCACTATGAGTACTGGTGTCGTGTACACCCTTCCCAGCCAGCCAATTGACGCCAGCTTGGGGAGCGCCATCCCAGCGGGAAGCACTGTGTCGTTGGTGAGGTGCCATATGGGAATAGTGCGGCGAAGAGGGAAACGAACCGGGTGGGATCAGGTGGTCAGGATCAGGCTATATGCAGCCATGGGATGATGATCTGGTTTCGTGTAACCCACAACGCCCATTAAGCAATCCGACACCAAAAACTATCCCCGGTTCCCCGTCAACCTGTCGTGCTGAGCCCGCCCAGCGGCGAGGCGGGTTTTTTGCGATGCGTAATCAAAGCAGCGGCCCAAAGCAGCAGTAGCCTGAGACCTAAAGAACATTTCGACTCTTAAACTTCCTGTTATTGAAACCCTGCGTGTAACCTGCGATGCAGAATTGTATCGCGGCTGCCAGCCAGCCCACAAACTGCACCGCTACAACCGCAGCAAGGATCACTACGAGTGCGGCGCCTGTCCCGACCACCGACTTAAAGATCAAGCTCCTCGTGATGGTTTTGAGCCTCACTGGAACCTGCACAAAGACAGGGGCCACAGTCACTTCTGTACAGACAGCGTACACCAGTCCGACTGGCTACGCCAACTTCCTCCGCAATTGCAGCTACGGCAAAGTTGTGTACGACACCGTGACGGTAGGCGTCCGGTGTAAACGAGGGGGCTATACTGAACGTCTTGTGAACGGCACACTGGCCTCTTAACGTCTTGCAGTAGTGAATGCGCACCCGGTAGCCTGGATAACTATAGCTAGGGTGATCGCCTCACGGACTTAACAAGTCCGCAGACCTTGCTCGTTCAATTCACTTTTCCAGCTGCTTCCTAAACCCAATCAATGCTGTGAAGGTCGTCGCAACGCCCGTGGCATGCAGCAGCACCATTCTTAATAACTGTAATGAGGATGCCATGGCAACAGCGGCCAAGGCGTCGGTAACTGCACAGAGAGGAGCAAGTGAGTATCATCGTGATGGAATTATGATCAAGACTTAACTGACCCGACAACGCAACCATGCACTTGGGTGCACATCGTGGCGCTGTCAGCTTGGCATCTACTTTACTGCCACATGACACCCATCCTGATGCCCAGGGTGCCTCTTCACTCTTTCGTCCGCCTGCTACCGCAGGCTTCCTGAACAGCTTCACCCACTTCTCCTACGTGCTGCCCAACGGCATGGTAAACACATGCGGCTGGGTGGGTTTGGCGGAGCTGCCCGGAACTCAGACCTGGTACACCCCGGACCAGGATGTGAGTCAGGTCTCCCCAGCACCAAGAGCGCTGTGGGAGTGCTACGAATGCGGGAGGGGGATCACTCTGTCTGGGCTGCTTCCCGGGCAGGCAGGGCATGGTGTTTGTTCTTCATGTAGCCACGCCACCTTCAGCATACTCCACGTGCAGGCGCACAGTCGGGTTGTTGTGCTTTGAGTGGCCCCTTTATCCCGCATGCATGCCACGTAATGACCTCGCAAAAAAACCCTAAGTTTACTCCTAGGACCATGAACACCATTAGGGGACCAGTGATGGAAGAGATGGGAATCGCTGTTGGCCAACAGAATTTTGTCGTCGCAGGGCCCCGCCTGTGGCCCCTGTACATGTTGCCAGTCTCCACCTAAACTGCCCTCTTGCATGCATGTGGTGGGATGTCCAAACAGCTATCCCAACTCAGATTCAATCGTATGTAGACACACGATACCCTATACCTGATCCACAATGTACTCACGTCAGACACCAAGCCAGTCAAACATCACCCCTGGAAGAACTAAGGGTTTGTTAGGTCCATATTTTAGTGGTCCATATGAATACTCATCAAAAACAACCTTTGCACCCTGCTGCAACCGTATCTTCAGGGCATCTTCGACAAAGGCACGGTAATGCAGGAGAACATCCATAATCTCAACATTTACCATGGGTGGAAGGCCGGGGTCGAGTACAACGACTACTCTACCTCCATGGGAATGGGTCAGAGCTGCCCCTCAGCCCCAGAGCTTTGGCGCCTGGGCTGGGCAACCGTCCTGGACCTGCTTAACTCCAATAACTTCCCCGCCAATGCCTTCAAAACGTACACCCTGCCGGCTACTTCAGCGTCTTCAATGGGCAACATGATCAAGTTGCAGACTGACTGGATGCCGTCATACACAAAGTGAGTGAGGCAAGGCGACTGCCCGCTGCTGCTAATGTATGGAGAGCGGGTTAGCTTACAGTGGGGTCTTATTGAACCGAAGGGTTGAGTGCTGAGTCGTGGCACCCGAGTTGCATATCAATGGCCTTGCTTGGACATCTATCGCCGTGTTTGGACCAAGAAGGCCCGGGTTCAAATTTATGCAGGAATGTATACTTGGCCCTGCGCACCATTGGAGGTGGCGACCAAGATCTGAAGGCTGAATTCGACCGGAAGGTACGGCGGAATGCACGGTGGCGATTGTTGGGATGGAAGAAAAAGAAAGGTTTAAAAAAAGAAGGGACACTCGTCGACTTGCTGGTCACCTGTCATAGCATTGACCTCCCGCGATACAACACCATTCCACATCTTGCTCTTTACATTTAGGTAAACATCCACGAGCTCAACAAAGACATCGACAACAACTTCATGGCGAGGGGTGATCCAAGAGTCACAATCATTGGCACTGTTGCGGCCTCAAGCTCTATGGACCTGCCTGCCTACAAATTGTTCATCCGTACCGGAGGTGCGACCGTACAGGCACAGCCACGTACAAGGCCATAAACCGGCGTATTAGGGATGGGCCGGTCCCATACTGTGAAGGGTTATCCTAACATCTCAAGTGGAGTGGAATCTGTTGCAGTGTTGTGGTGGGAGTTACGGGGGCCGATGTGGTGAAGCTTGGTTTGGCCGGACATGGGGCACACGTGCCTTTGCATGGAGGGTGATACACGTGCGTTAGGTGAGAAAGGGCATATTCACCCGGGTTTATTCAGCAGGGAGTTCTGACCCCACCGAGCCCCCCTCCTGCAACCCCCCTCTGCACCCCTGCAGTCCTCCTGGAGTCTGGAACCAAGATAGTGGTCAAGGTGTGCCGATACACGGCATCGAGCAGCGCCTGTCAGGACGCAGCCCAGGCGTCGCCTCCGCCACCAAGCCCGCCACCGCCTACTGTGGTCAAGAAGTCCCCGCCGCCGCCGCCGCCGGTTAAGAAGTCCCCGCCGCCGCCGCCGCCGCCGCCCCCGCCGAGTCCGCCGCCACCCAGCTCGCCCAATAAGTCGCCGCCGCCCCCACCCAATAAGTTCAAGAAGTCGCCGCCGCCCCCACCCCCACCAACCCCACCCCCACCAGCCCCACCCCCACCTGCATCAAAGAAGTCTCCCCCGCCCCCACCCCCGGGAACAAGGAAGTCGCCACCACCGCCGCCAAAGAGGAAGTCATCACCACCACCACCACCCGATGCTCCACCGCCGATTGAAGAAGCCCCTCCGCCTGATTACTCTAGCCCTCCATCTGGCGGTGGCGATGCACCGCCACCGTATGATGCACCGCCCCAAAGTTGGGCCTAAGGAAATTGCCTTGGAAGTTGCAGATACGAAGATGTTAATGCTTATTGCTTGCCTCCACATGTTGTGGCGATAAGATAATTTTGTGTATACATGATACATGTATTATGTGGTGCATGAGCACCTATTGATCCATCGGGTTCAGAGCTGGTCCGACGAGGCTTCATGCCGTACATAAAGCATCAAAAGGTGTTCATCACCTTGATTGCGGCAGAGCGAGTCGCGCGTATTTGGAAGGTGGATACCTCTTAATGCCCACGTGTGTCACTTCCTGCACGCCAAGTCTACAGCATTTCTATTCTGGTCGTACATTTCCTGGATTTGCATGTCCATCCGTCCATTAAGTAGATTGCCTCTATAGCGTGTCAGCCATAAAATTCATCGCATTGCGTATCCATGCGTGCCTTGGTAATATGACAAGGGTTTTCAGAAAGGAGGGCAGCAGCGCGCAACAGCACAGAGTATGTGCATGTGCGCGAACGTTCTCGACTAGCCACAGAATTGATGATTGCAGGAATGTTAACCGTTAAGTTAAATTGTGCGACTCGGGTCGGCGAGTGAGATGAGGGCAAGATGATGGCGAGACGCTTGCAGCTGGTGGTGGCTGGTGGTGGTGCACTGTTATTAAAACAAATTCTGTAGCAGTATCCACTTCAATGTCGTATCCTTACACGCCATACCCACTTCAATGCCGTACCCATTTAAATGTCGTAGCCCCGCCGCTACCTATGATTACACCTATCGGTGTGTTGACCCAGGGCACCCTGCCGCCTGGGTAGGGCAATCCACATCAACAGCGCGCTGCCGGCAGCAGTGATTTTTTTTTCATTTAGGGGGGGTCTCAATTTATTCCGACCTAAGTAACAAAGTTACTAGCGTCGCCGTAATGTATTCCTTAAGAGTGGGGCGCTGGGGGGGGCTACGGCCCCCCAGATCCCCCCCCGGTAAGTTACAACTCCCCTCATAGACCAAGAGGCACGCACTGCGTTGGCGCGTTTTCGTTCATGTGCGCACTCTTCATGCACATGCATAGATAGTTCTGGCACTGTTTGTGGACAAAAAGTAAATCCGACCAAGCAAAGGCCCAAAGCAAGCAACCGCATAGCAAATCAAAGGCCGTCACCCGCCGCTGCAAACCACAGCACACTAGGACTCTACCGGTTCATCATGTACCGGCCCCTGCTGCTGCTGTCCAGCCACTTCCTCAGTGCGTCAAGGAACGGGAACGTGCCCAGGTCGAACAGGTCCTGGGTAAACATCCGCACACACAATGCTAGGTGCCTCGCCGCATTCGTTGTTGTCGAGCTGATTGGGTGACAGCTTGCGCTTATGCTGATCACAACCGCCATGGAAGGCAGGGGTAATGGCGCCCGTGTCATCGGTCGCCGCTGGCACCGCCGCCGCCGGCCAACAGCACCGCCGTCCCAAACGCCTTTATCAGGAAAAATTTCAGGCTTATCTTGCTGTTTTGGTGTTTGTTCGGCGTTCAAGTCGTTGCCTTTTGCGTGTTTGGCTATGGAAGGACCGGTCATACATTCTGCTATGCCGCGTTGACTCACGGGCTTGACCTTCTTACGGCCCCTCATATCTATTCTATGATCGATAATACTAAGTTCTGCACACTACGGAGCAATCTGGCAGCAATGGACGATTTTGGCTGGAGGAATGAAAATGTACGGATCGGCCTCAATTTGTTCCTTATTTCCAAAGGCCAAAATGGCCTCTTTATTCCTTAAAAGGAATATATTACTTAAAAAAAACACTGGCCGGCAGTTGCTGTGGCTGCTACCGCTGCACCGGGGCCTCTAGGTTATTGTGGTGGTGAAGGGACCGGAAACGGAAACGGAACCAGAAGGTCCCAATAGAGCTGGCTTGTGGACGTGGCCTTGCTCACTCTGACCCTTGCAGCACGAATGGAAAAGCCTCTCCTTGTTGTAAGCAAAACAAAATGGAACCGTCGTTCGGGTAGCGATGCGGCTGTGTAAGGTAAGCAGGGAACAAGCCGCCGAAAATCCGACCACGGCCCTGCTGGCAAGGTGTGCGCTATGCACTGCCTGCCGAGCAGCTCCCTATTGAACCCTCCTGGCGGCGGCGATGTCGGGGCTATGTAGTCCAGCGGGAGGACTAGATGAGAATGAAGGCGACCACTCCCTCACATCCCCACTCCAAGGGAATCGTATAGTACTCTGCCCCTTTCTGTGTTTTAGTGGACTGAGCCGCGAAAAGAAAGGGTCCTGCCATTCCATTTCACTGTGCTTTACAAATACAAATGACACCGATACTGTATGTATATCAATGAGCTGCCCATCCATTCCGTTATCTCATCCCGTCCATGCACCCCGTGGCCATCCCTGCCAGACAAACAACATGCAGAAACAGCCTAGTGCCCCTCGATTAGTGTAGGAATTTAACCAGACTGCGTGGAAGGCGTATTAACCATAGGCTTGCCATATCCCATAAGACTTGCACCGCTTTCGCGTTAGGGCCACAATTGAAAACCAGTTGCCATCCGTCTTCGACTACTTCAAGGCCGTTGTGCCAAATGTACATGTTCGCGTTAGAGGAAGTGCCCTCGGTTGCCGCATACTGTTGCCGCGCCCGTACCTCATGGGTAGCAGGGAACCCACAAGCGGCCGTCCATTTCAGAGGGCAGCTTCATTGCTACCGCTCATTATTGCGCTCGCCAATGATCGGCCCAAAAATTATAATAGTCGTAGAAATAGTTCTTAGTTCTTTCTGAAAAGCTGTAACTCTTAGGTGAAAAATGATTCTTCCTTTCTTTCTAACTCTAAAAAGGTAACCTCTTAGGTAAAAAATGATACTGCCGTACAGTCTCTATAGGGAAGAAGGCCAATGATGCCGTACAGTCCCTATAGGGAAGAAGGCCAATGATGCCGTACAGTCTCTATAGGGCCCTCAAGTCGTAAAGCCTAAAGGGAATTCTATCCGTCGCTGTCTCTACATGCTAAGCGGAATCTGCAGCAATTTTTCTTTGAAGTATATGACAGCAAGTTTAAGCATATTGATTTTTAGCCTTGTAGCGTGCTTGATGCTGTGTGGTTAAAGCACTGTGTTCCGCGTCAGCGTCCATTTTGCCTGCCAAAAGTGGTGAACCACTTAATCAAATGCAAATTTACAATGCCATAAAAACGAAAATGTAGGTAGTGCTGTTACGCACTTTTCGGCGGCGGCAAGATTTCGCACGGCATCATCGCACGACCGATCTGCGTCGCTATTCAGCCAGTATTTAACCCAGTACATAAATAGCAAACACTCAGTTTTACATATGACTTCTTCTTTTCACAATTTGTAAGGTTAGTTTGGCTTCTTTTCCTTCGCCGTTATCGTTGTGATAGACTGATCCTTGAGTTAATACATTCATTAAAGCCTTGGACTGCTAGTGAATATAAAGCTAATAAATGCTGTCATTGTCGGTACAATCGCTGACGTTCAGCATTGTGGTCAATGACATGAGCATGACATGCTCGCCATGACCACGACACACTATGATGACGGGTGATCGCGTTAAGTCCGCGTTAGTTTGCGTTTGTTCGCGTAACGGTGCGAATCTTAGCGTTACGTGCGAATGAGCATGTTTTTCTAACGCAAAGAGCTAACGCACAACGGCTATCGAAAAGCGGAAATCGGCCCTCCTGGCTAAAATTTTATAAATTTTAGATTGCAAAGGTTCATTTGGAAATAAACTTTCGTCGTTTTGGTCTACTTGAACAATTCATCCGTGCTTATGTTGAAACGTGAAGCATACGCGCATGTGTAGCAAGGCGACACGCATGCGATTCCATCTACCGAATCGTGCGTGTGGGGAGACAATGCGTAAAGCAATACGCGTCCAATCGCACATCAAACGCACGCAGTCCGCATGGCTATTCGCATGCGAATACATGTTGCGTTTCATGTGTATGAAGGCTGATTGCGTAAAGCTTAACGCGGCCTAAGCTAACACACACCAAACACACACGATTTACTTTGATTAATCGCATGACATAACAATTCACATGCGATGTTTTATGTGTTGGTCGCATACTCAGTTCGTTAACCTTCATGCTGTCTCATGAGAGAGTAACATGCTTGGCAGCACTCAGGGGGGCCTTCCACAAACGAGATCGCATCAGGCGCAGCCCTACATCGCACAACGATTCATCATACCATCAGAGAGATGCCAGAAAGGCGGCGGGACATATGCCGCATGCGAACGCGCACGCAATTAGACCCCCGCTGGCTGTCAGGCAGTTGTGGGGACATGCCTGGGAGGCTGAAAGGGCTTCCCGACGCATATATCGCACCAGGCGACATTGTATGCCGGACCATCGATGCATGATGCCATCAACTAGTTGCCAGAAAGGTAGCGGTGAGCGCTGCATCCAAACGCGCACACAATTAGACCCCCGCCGTGAGATGCGTCGGTGGCTGTGAGGCAGGTGGGGACATGCCTGGGAGGATGAAAGGGCATAAGTCGCATCAGGAGCCATCGTACACCGCAAGAACGATGCATCACACCAGCAACTAGTTGCCAGAAAGGTGGCGGGGAACGCGGCTTGATCAGTCATGCTCGCTAGGCAACCATCATGGGGAAGGGATGTAAGGGTTTCCTCCTCTCGGATGGGTCGAACTACTACCAGTGGCTCGGTGACTTAGGCGATTTCCTCGCAACGTCCAAGTTCAAGACTACATCAACAACCCGTCGCCTCCGAGCCGCAACACACAAGACACCCTGCAGGAGGACGCACAGGCGCTCGGCTACCTGCGTCTGTCCTGTGAACTGCCCATCAAGCAGTTGCTCAGGAATTGCCAGACCGCTCTTCGCGGCCATGCAGCTCTTACAGCAACAGTTCCGTTCTGCATCCCAGGCCCGGCTGAGCCTGTTGGAGCCGCAGAAGCAGCTGAGCATGTGTGATGGGGAGACGACCGCTGACTTCGTTCAGCGGGCAGAGCAGTTCCGTAGCGATATAATCATGAGAGGTCCACAGACCTCATGACACGCGGCTGCTCGGTCACGTTCAGCACGGACAAAACGGGCTGCTGGTTCTCATGCAGCAGCCTCCCGCACAACAGCCCGTCTGTTCCACATGGAGCGAGTGTGGGCACTATGCATGGACGTGGACCTGCAGGCGCCAACCGACATCACCGTCAATGCCCTCGGCACCATGGGTGACAGAGCTGGCGGGGGCCAGGCCACAGGTAGCAGTGCTGGCGGAAGTGCCACCGCTGTCCCCAGCACCCATGGCGGCAGCACCACCGGCAGCCACACCGGTGGAGGCCAGCCGAATGGTGACAGCAACGGCAAAGAGCAACAAGGCAACGGCAGCCCCGGGGGTGCTGAATACTCAGTCGCCGAACTTGCGGCAGCACAGCGCCTGCACTGCCAGTATGGTCACCTCAGTTACCATGTACTGGAGCAGCGGATCAGCAAGCAGCTGGTGCAGGGACCACAGGTCACTCCAGCGGCACTGTGCCAGGCGGTGGAGGCCGTCTACAAGGCCTGTGTCACCTTGAAGGCCACCGCAACCGCCCACCCCAGCCGTGGCAACCGGCCATAGCACTGGAGGTCGTACACTCTGACCTGTGCGGGCCCATGCCGGCCATGGGCCCAGGGGGTGCATGCTACTTGCTGACGCTGCTGGACGGTCCCACCAGTCTGTCCGCCGTCCGCATGCTGGCCAGCAAGAGCCAGGGTGAAGTGCTGCAGGACATGGTGACGCAGCTGGAGGCCCGCCACCCGAACCATGCACGGGTACACACGCTGCACAGCGACAACGATGGGTCGCCAAGCAACTGGAGCAGTGGCTGCACCAGCACGGTACTGCACACACCCACTCGGCACCGTACACCCCAGAGCAGAACGGAGCGGTGGAGCGACTCAACCTTACGCTCCTCGACCGTGTTCGGGCGATGCTGCATGACGCAGCACTCCCGATCAGCTACTGGCTGGAGGCTGCACTCTACACAAACCTCCTGCACAATGCGGCCCCCTCTCAGGGCCGGGAGGCCACACCGTGGGCAGCTTATCACGGCATCCCCCCCGACGTCAGCCACCTCCACATCTTCACCTGCCTGGCCTACATCCGCATCCCAGCCAGCCAGCAGGACAAACTCGGTCCTCGTGCAAAGGGGGGAACCTACCGCCCACCGGAGCACGGCACGGCCACCCACCGCGTCCATGTCAAGGGCATGGTGACTGTGAGCAACGATGTCACCTTCGATGACGACCGCCGCGGCCTGGTTCACAACGGGCGGGCACCCCCTTCGGCACTAGCCCCGCCTGCCCCGGTGGCAGTGGCCCCATCGGCGGCTCTACACCACCCGCCATGCTGCCGACCCCAGCGGCCGCCCCACCCCTGGCGACCCCAACACCACCCCTTCCACCCCAACACCTGCAGTCAACGGCAGTCCCTGCACACGCCGCTGGGCCCGGTCAGTGACGGCCCGCCCCCCTGACAGCAGCAGCAGCGGCGGCGGCTGAGAGTCGGGAAGTTGCAACAACTAGCAATGTGTGGGCAATTTGCACTGTACGACCAATGCAAGAAAACAAACCGTTCCAATCATTTTAAAAGGCACACAGCCCACATGCTTGCCAATGCCAGCCGATAAAAACTTTCGCCTAAAACTTTCCAAGAACAAGGGGCAGGAGAGGGGGAAAGTGCGGGGAAGTGGGGCGGCAGCCCCACGACCCCGCACATCCCCCCCAAGACCACCTGGCCACCGACATGCAATCATGATAGGAATGAGCGGGAGCCAAGGGAAACATTTAAAAGCATGATTGCACATGTTCTGCGGCTTTTAAATAACTAATCAGTGTAAGTTGGTGTGGACCGCTGGCCCTTAGGGCAGCATTCCCCTTTCGTTTGGCGATGGCATGAAGTCATTGGCGCCGCCGCTTGAACAAGCCACCCGGTTAGGGGTAAGCTGAGCGTTTAGGATGTAATGTCCAAGGGGGGCCAACAACCGAAGTCGATCCACGTTTTTTAACCTGTTTGCGCGCCTGTGCGAAAGCCAACATGAATGCCTAGCTTTATTAGGGCTCAGAGGCAAATGCTGCCTTAAAACTAGCTGGAAATAGGTTACAGACTTACACCTGTGATCGACCCGCCTGAAACGATCACCAAGGCCACCCACGCCTGGCCACTGTGCAAACGAAAGGAGATGTGTCTGCCGTCATCCAAGCTTTAGTACTGGTGGAGGATTAAGTGCACGATCGCGGGGTACCGTTTAGTACCGTTTTTAAATAATAAATGTATTCTATGATATTCCATTTCACATTTTGTCCTTCATGCGTTGCACACTACTATTGCACACTTGGACAAGCGCGCGCAATTCAAACCCTAGTCCACCAAGATGCGATTGTTGGTAATGTTTATAGTCAGAGCAGATAGAACTCTGGTGAAGTACGCAAACATTTATTGCTAAAAATGGAAGTTAATGGGAAGGAAGTGGCGTGAGCCGCTACTGAAGCGTGAATACAAGGGTTGTATCGTTGTTCCTCAGACATTTTAGAACGTTCGCGTATGGTATCTCTCGGCTCGTCTAGGCCGCCATACAAGCCAGGGAAGCATGTAGCACATAATCCAAGCGAAGTTGGCTTAAGGATTTAACCACTTGCACGCCCCTTACTTATGTTTTTGAACTTTTGTTTTCAATGCTTCGTGTTTAAGTTGCAGGTGCGGTAGTGTAGGTATGCCTAAAGCTGTGTGTGCTCCGAGACCAATTCAGTCCCGAATCATAAGTCTGGCGCGGTAATTGCACTGGGATTGTGCTATCCTAAGTGGTGACGTCTACGTATCGTTTCTGTACCTGCCTCTTCAATGCGCAGCGAATAAAATCGCAGCGCGCTTTACAACTCCAGGCACGTACAACAGCTATAACCCGTAGCACTCGCTGGTAGAATGCATTCCCCAAATAGTTTTCTCTTAAGCAACCCTAATTTCGCTGCATCACTTGGGATGCTATGGATTGGCAACCGTGTTACACAACAACCGTGTTTGCACGACGCTTGGCTATCAGGGGCTGGCAGCTGCCGCCAACTGCACGCAACTGCTGCCCCTACGAAGGCTTGCGACGTGACAGGACGCAAGCTGATGCCATTCTTCAGCAAGTTATACTTCCATCATACCTAAGTGTTGGCTTACCGTGAAGTGCCGTGCGTGGGCCTTCACAGAGCCTCGTGGGCATGCCACAGCCGGTGCAGTGCTACTTCCCCCCGGGTAGCCTTGCCCGCGAGTGAGAGTCCGAGGCTGAGATTATGAATGATCCAAGCTGTGTATGGCCTGATCTTTCATTTTTCAACACAGTTGCCGACAGTTCCTATCCGCGCCTTTATCTGATGTACATGTAACACGCTTTGGGCATTTATTTGTCTGCTTTTGCTGTTTTGGGAAGGTGGGCGTGGCTCTCGCCCGCCTTCCGCTTGTGATGTACCCATACTGGATGCCACATGAATACGAATCCATGCGTCATAGGAGTTCGGTTGCACATTGGCGATCGATACCTTAAGCTCAACTTTTGCTCAAACTTGTTAAGCTTACAGCCTGTTACTTGCGGTATCGAGTAACGTAGGTAGGCAAGGGTGTTTTGCGAGGGTTCATCCATCATGTGCGTAGAGTGAACACCAAGCCTTAACGAATCAAGGCAAACGACAAAGGTAAAATTCCCAATGGAAGAATATGTCGCACGCTCAGATAAGTCATGCCCTCCTTGTGTGGCAGCTTACGCATGTTACATATAAATAATGTATTAAGAAAGTAGCTTTCTTTTCTTCAAATGTCAAGCCTTCAACCATCGCACTGATGGCTTACAACGGGCGCTTGTTCCTGTACGGGTGGCGCGCCACAGGGCAGCTACCTAATCGCGCCTTGGCAAGCTGCAATCAAAGGGATTAATGAAGCGCGGCATAAGATCCATGCCATATACATTGCTGCGTCCCACCTTTGCAAGAGGCTTGGGACTATGGATGGCTGTAGTTGTGCTGCCCCTGATGACCGGTAAGATTTTTCCTCCAGAACTTTAACGCTTGTATCATGTATGAAATGTCAGGCCTGTGCGGACACTTCTGAGACAAAGGGCCGTGTCCCCTGTGCAATGGATAATGTCCAGTCCACCTGACATCAGCAGCAACCCCGCATGGACAGGTCGACTCCATCTGCAACATATGCGCTGGTTGTCTGTATGTTGCACGACACATTTAAAGCCTTCCCGACTGAGTTGCGCGTCACCGAGCGCATAACTCCCCCCCATTCCTTTCCCCCATATATGCTTGCCCCGGTAAGCATCTTATTACACCCCCCTACCCTTACGAGCACCCGTCTTTCCGCCTTACCTGCCAACTCGACCCCTCCTGCAGGTCCGCTGACGGTACATTCCGCCCGACCTGTTCCACAGCCCATCACGATAGAGGTGCGCACACGTGTTCCGCTTTTCATACGTACCCATACTCCCATTAGTCGTGGCGCGCGACGTGTCATAGTACTTACGGTTTACTTGCACCCAACATTAATCAGCGGACTGTCCTCGATTACCGCTTGCCGGCTGCCAGTCCCGTTCCTCAATCTGCAAATACACGTACCGGTGGTTCCAATGTGTCGTACTTCATGTAATTAGATGCCATGTATGGTGATGTTGTAGGGCAGGCTGGTTTACAAGAATGCACATGTATGGGACTTATGGTCGCTAAAGCAGCTGGGAACTGGTGCCATCTACAAGCTGCCGGGCCAACCGCTGGATTCGGGAAGGGATCCCATTCCGCCAGGCAGTATTATTACAGTGGTAGGTGCAATCTTTACTTGAAAAGGACTATTGCGGCATGTTGTTGCCAGTTAAGGGGCGGATTGGGGGGGTTGGGCGGATTGGGCGGATCGGGCGGGTTGGGCCTAGTAAAGCGGCCCCGCGGGAAAGCTGTGTGAAGGTTGGGGCCAGGCCATGGTAATTTGTTGTGGCGGTTCGGCCAGTGCGAATGATCCACAGTTAACTTGACACATTGCACAAACATACCCGCGCACACGCACCTACGGATGCACACTCACAGCCACGCAAACATCGTGGGTGCCCAAGCACGCATGAACACATGCTCATTCAAGAGCGCTTATGTGCACAACCCCATGCACGTGGCTCCATTTGCACAAGCTCTCGGCACAAGCGCACTCAGGACCTTTTCGTAGCCTCCCATAGACGGCCCCTCATGCAGCTAGGCCATCCTTCGCAGTCATCAATCCTGCCTGTATCATTCTCCCCACATTCACCCTTACTTCCCATTTTTATAATAGATATTGTTAATAATGTCGACTCGCTATATACCTCCACCATCTTCCCATATTCCACCCCTTCTCTAATGTCCCACGTATAACTGCGACCAGGACTGTGTACGAGATGCGAAAGATAACACCACCTGTACCAAAATTTCCAATGCGGATATCTCCCGCGCGGCCGCTCCATTGAAATCTTCGGGCTTGTCGCTACGGCTGCTAGTCATGGTGCTTTCGTTCATCTCCTCCCCCGCCTGCGGTGCCAAACAGGGAGCGAACGTAAGTAATTGTTGCATTTGCTCTTTATTCCATCTACGATACGTTGTACTAGTAAGGCGTTTTCGGCGGCCAGCTACTACGTACATTTGGTATCGAAACCTATGTAATAATTTATTACTTGAAGTTGTGTATGTTGCGTACCTACGTAGTAAGGTCGTCAATACAATCGCCAGAAGCACATAACTCATACACAGGCACGGTAATATGTATTATTATATTTTATGTTTTATTACACACACTCACATTGTGTAATATACAATATATATGTATATTTTATATAATGTTATATATTTTTTATTTACATATGTGTTTAATATACATGATGGCCACAGGTTGACGAGTTGCAGGCACTTTACACCGAGCCGCTGGGTTATGGCAATTTCCTTCGCAACTGCAGCTATGGCCAAGTGGTGTACGAGAATATAACGGTGAGTGTGGTCCTTGACGAACCTCCCCCGGCTGTGAGGCCCCCGCGCCGTCAATCACTGTCCCTTTACCGTCCTGCAACAAGCTTTTGGCCCTAAGCCGCGTGCACCAAGCTGCTGCTGCTATCCTTGCTACTGCTGCTGTTGCCCTACTACAAGTTCCTGGCCGACGTGCGGCACGAGCTAGCTTGTTGCTTGTCATGTATACCGAATGAAGCCCGCCTTTTGGTCCCCCACGATGCCCTAATCGGCCAATTTATTTACGTACACCTCGCGTGCGGTGTCTTTGACTAACTACAGGATGGCTTACCTTTCCCTGCCCAGCCTAACTCTGCTGCGATGCTGACATCTTGTTGCAGGTCATAAGCACGCCGTTAAATTGCACAAAGGTGCTGAACAACTGCGACCCAGACACCCTCGCATCCACCGCGCTGAGCTCGGCCTCTGAAACGTACGGCTCGACGTTTGTAGACTCGTACACACGGTATACGTATGTGTTGCCGTTTGGAATCCAGAACACCTGCCGTTGGGTGGGTCTGGCTGAGTTGCCTGGGACCCAGACATGGTATACCCCCGATGATGAGGTACGACACGCAGATGTACGGTGTATATGATGCTGTCGTGTAGTGCATACGCCCCTTCCTGTTGTCACTTCTTCTCATGGTTTGCCACCTTGCTTTCTTGCCGGCAATCTAGATCTAGATCCTAAGGGTTTAGTCCAGCAGCTAATCTTCGGCACTCCATCTACTGCATCTACTGTCACCAAAAGTTGCAATGCAAAACAGGCGAAGCAAAGACGGCTAATAGGGTCCACCATCATTGCGATTTGGAGCACCAGCAGCAACCAGATTCGGACGGGCTGCTGCTTGCCTCCAACCCACCTCCACCTCACCCAATTGCCGACCAGTGGCTGCCCTCCTGCTGACAGCACATCCGCGAATTATCCACTTATGGATATACCATCTTGGCAAATGAGATTCGCTCCAATGTATATCCGACGCAGGACCAGCGCAGGCGTTCATTTGGTTGGCATTCATTTGGCACGCCTTGCTTTGCTTTGCTTTGCTTTGCTTTGCTTTGCTTTGCTTTGCTTTGCTTTGCTTTGCTTTGCTTTGCTTTGCTTTGCTTTGCTTTGCTTTGCTTTGCTTTGCTTTGCTTTGCTTTGCTTTGCTTTGCTTTGCTTTGCTTTGCTTTGCTTTGCTTTGCTTTGCTTTGCTTTGCTTTGCTTTGCTTTGCTTTGCTTTGCTTTGCTTTGCTTTGCTTTGCTTTGCTTTGCTTTGTCCGAATGCTGTTGGGCCATTCCTGCCAGGACGAATAGGGTTAATGGCCACCACCCACCCCGTCAGCCACGCCCGTACCCTGTTTACCCGTCCCCAGGGCGTGCAAAACAAGGGCACCGTCCTCCAGGAGATCCTACACAATCTCAACATTTACCACGGATGGCGCGATGGCAGTGAGTACCAAGACAACTCCACGTCCATGGGTTTTGGAAACAGCTGCCCCTCCGCGCCGGAGCTGTGGCGCTTGGGTTGGGCGTCAGTGTTGGGTCAATTGAGCTCCACTAATTTCCGCGTGAGGAGCGTCAAGAACTACACGCTACCTGCCACCTACCTCGGACCGGAAAAGAACATGATTAAGATCCAGCCAGACTGGGTGGCCAAGTACAAGAAGTAAGAGGCAGAAGTCACCTTGCTTGGGAACGTTTGCGTGCTCGTATATATATATATATATATATATAGTTCTGCATACGCTGGCAATGGCACAAATGCCGTTGCCTGTATTGCTAGCAGCCGCTCTGAACTCATCTGGTGACACATACACAGTTGCGCGCAGTGTGAGCTGGAAAGCTCACACCAGCCATGTCATCAACCAACATGCCAGTCTTACCGCGGGTAACATAGTAGCTTCGGTGTGATTTGTTAGAAATATCCCTCTCTGCTTGCGTGAACGACTCCTGAGCGCTGCCGGCCCGTGTGTGGCGGGCTGGAATCTCTAGTCCGCCCTTATCACGACTATTACATTTGTTGCTGGGTGTCGCTTTGCAGAAACGTCTACCTTGCTCTGCGTGTCAAGGATGCTGGAGACCGCGACCTGGAGGACGAGTTTGACGGCAAAGTGAGTTGACGAGCTTCGTTGGTTGCTGAAGCTTTATTTGGCTTTCAATCCATCCATCCAGAAGCGCCTTACGCCTGCACAACTAAGCAGCTTCAGAGTCCAAAAAAAGGGGTTTGGGGAACAACCTCGTACGAATGGGGAAGCAGCGGGCCGGGAAAAAAACCGGGAAAATTGCATGCCCAGCCGAATAAGCGAGTAGGCGTGTGTGGTCAATCAGGTTGGTCTGAAGCGCCCGTTGGGTTGCTGCACCTGGGGTCGGTGTCCGGCACGCGACGGGCAGCAAATGGGTTGAACCATTTCGGAGCACATGTCTTTAACGGCAGGGGACCGACGAAGCCGTTCATGGGAGGACCTCATGTGAAGCCCCGGTCCCTGCCCCGTTTCTACAAGGAGTGAAATGACGGGGCCGCCTAGGGTATAGGGGCTTGAAGGGAAGACGGCCCGCTTAGTAACTGCTGTACGGTACCGCACACACCATCAAACATGTACCCGCGCAAGCGCATTATTCCAACGGCATCTTGAGAGGCCTTTTCGACGGCCAGCTACTACAGCCCAAATAACGGCCTTCTTGTGGGCCCCAAGCAGATTAATGTCCACGAACTCAACAAGGACATCGACAACAACTTTGCGGCAAAGGGTGACCCCAAGGTCTCAATTATCGGCACCATCGCACCTTTTAGCGCCATGGATCTGATAGCTTACAAGTTGTTCATCCGTACGGGAGGTGAGCTAGGGTGTCCTGTAGTGGCCGCGTTTTGTGCTAGGAACATGTCATTGGGGATGGTCCGCAGCACCGCAACTTGTCCTGCCTACAATTCAGCTTGGGGGCAATGATGCGCAAGCGCAGCGTGGCCTGCATGAAACCAGCAGGTAGCTTGCCAGGAATATTGGAACATTTGCGTCTCGAACTGCACGATAGATGCTGACCGGTAGGAGGGGAACGATTGAAGGTATGCCTGCTGGCCGTGCTGGCCGGAAGCATCAGGAAGCGGCAGGATGCGCTCGCTGCATTAATGCGCTGTAGGCGAAGAGGAGCGGTGAAAAAGAGATATTTGCAGGTGTTTACTGCTTGGATGGACGTTGTGGCAGAGGTCGTTTTTCAGAGCAGGTCAACGCGGGGCCATTGGGGTCTTTTAAGGATCAAATGTCGATACATGACATGCGCAATCAAAATATGCTGATGCGAGGCCATGGACAGAGAATTTTTATCCCCGCTCTCCCCCGCATGGCTGTCCCAGATTCCGTTCTGCTCTGTCCGTTCTGCTAACCAACGCATGTATGCTTAATATGATGTCCCCGCACGGTGCAGCCCTAATCAACTCCACAATGGATGTCAAGATCTGCCGCTACACAACTAAGGCTTCTGAGTGCAAGAAGCTCATCGTCGATGAAAATGGCGATGACGGCGCGACAGGAGACGGAGTGGGCGGGGCAGGCGGCGGGGCAGGTGGAGCAAGCGGAAACAATGGGGAAGGCGTGACAGGAAATGGAGGTGGTGAGGGAAATGGGGCAGGCGGGTCATCAGGCGTATCACCAGGCGGAGCAGGCGACACAGGCGGAGCAGGCGACACAGGCGGAGCAAGCGACACAGGCGGAGCAAGCGACACGGGCGGAGCAGGCGACACAGGCGGAGCAAGCGACACAGGCGGAGCAAGCGATACAGGCGGAGCAAGCGACACAGGCGGAGCAGGCGCCGCAGGCGGAGCAGGCGACACAGGTGGAGCAGGCGCTGCAGGCGGAGCAAGCGACACAGGCGGAGCAGGCGCCGCAGGCGGAGCAAGCGACACAGGCGGAGCAGGCGAAGACATCGGCGCATGAAGCACGTAACTAGGACCGATACAGTGGCTGGTTTACCTCCCACATTATCTTCCGCTGCGGCGTTGGCTTGCCAACTAAAGAGTCGTCCCAGTCAATTGCTTACGGCTGCCATGATTTGCGGTTCAGAGTTGCCCCGGTCATGCCATTCGCTGCCAGCTGATCCAACCGGGGTGCCAAATAAACGCGCTTCGATGTCATTTAGCTAGGTAGGTAGGCAGTTGTCAGCGGCTAATTGCGCTGCTGAGTGATTCCTGCTCCGGAGCGTTTGTGCCTGGCACGTTGGGTATGCACATCACTACTTTAGATCAGTAAGCTTAAAGGATGAGGGCATTTGCGTGCGTGATGACAACTAGCATGGCCTGCAGCTAAGAATAGAACCTTTTGGGGTACTGGCTATGTACCTGCATATATCAAGCCAGAAACATAGAAAGCATGTTAGGAGTAGCATGGTAGGGAGGGGAGTTGACTGCATCTATCCATTTAATCACTCCAGCGCAACGTATCTGGAGCACTTTGTCTGGATGCGAGGGTTGTGATGAGTGACCCCACCTAACCGCGACGTAATGTCGAGGCATGGTATTCTTCATGCACGCGTGCGCGTCCTTAACTATGTACTCAGGCTAAAGGTCGGTGCATGCGGCCATCCGGAGCGAGATGCGGAGAACGGGCCAAAATAGTTTCATACATCTGCTAATCACTAACCGCTGCTAGCTGTTCTGCAGCGGTCCTTACGAAACGGTGAGGCTTCATATCGTCTCGACTCAAGCCATCTACTTGGTGATGGTCTGGTCAATAATGATGCCAAAACGGCAATTTTCGGTCCGTGCGATGCTGCACTCCTTGAGTTTTCTCGTGCTTCAGGTATCCGCCGCTCTGCCTGGCAGGCGAGTTGGATGTTATCGCGGCAAATGGCAAGGTATCAGGATAGGTGATGCTGATGCCTAAGTATATGCGTGTATGAAGGTTGGGCGGCGGCTGGGACGGCAAATACGTGAGGTCGTCACAGTCGCGACACAGACGGCGGCACGCGGGCGCACATGAATACACATTTATCCCACCGCCGTGGCAAAGCAGCGTGCTGTCACGTGTGCATACAGAAACACTCTGTGCTCACGTTCCACTATCACGTGGCTGCATTGCCTTGGCGCTTGTTCTTCTTTAGGTAGCAGGTGTTTGCATTTCCGTTGTGCGTATGAATTATTCCTGCCGGTAGTTCCTTACCACTGAGATGTTCATCACGCTATGCTATGGTGGTCCGTCCTAATGTATGGAGCTGTGTGAAGTGGTGCTGCTGTATGCGGGTCGTCCGTCGAGGGGGATGCGACGCAGCTAGTATTTTGTTTGTGTTTACTTGCCTTCTGTATGTGTTTCTTGATTGCCCGCTTTTCACATGCGTTCGGTGATTGGTGAAGCTAAGCGGTGAAGCTCCTTGTTGTTTCGGCATATTTTTCCTTCGTACTTTTGCTGCCACGCTCTAATCCCCTTTTCCTCCTTTCCTGCCTTGGGCATTTTAACTCGTTATCTCTTTTAACCTATTTCCGAGTCTGAGACAACGCGCTCGGCCTCCTTCTTTTCCTAGTCCTAGCTATAGCCTTCTAGAAGATCTTTTTCATTCCCGGGTCCCATGGTGCTTCCTAGGGAGGCGGACAGGCCTGTCCACCTTGGTGGTAGCTGCCGTACACAGTGCGGCACACATATCGTCTACAAATACGCGCTAAGGCGTTCCACCAGCAGCATCTTGAGAGGCCTTTTCAGCGGCCAGCTATTACAGCTTTCCGACATACATCTCTCCTGCTGTTCACGTATCGCTCTTCTCCTCTGGCGGTGCAGTTGGTCCTTACTTGGGTTTGTTTACCCGGTTAGGGAAGGTATTAATGGGGCAAATGACACATTAGGTACATAATTTCCGTACATGCAGCATGAACTGTGTCTCCGTAAAGTGTGTTAGCTTGTAGCAGCTGCTTTATATGTGGCAGTCAATGTAGATTTCCTTGGTTGCTTTTGGATTGGCGACGCTTTTTGATTAAAGTAGGTGCGGTGCGTGCTGTACGGCACTGCGCAGGAAGTTCCATTGATGCATATGATGTGACACCTATATCGCGCTGATTGTATCAAGCGTTAGTTTGGGATTAAGCCTCGTCCATGTAAACAGTTTGCGGGGCTCCATCAGTTAACAAGTGCGGTGGCAACGTGAAAGGTTTCCAGCTGGCGCTGTGACAGCGCAGTACTGTACGCTAGAAGGCGGCATGGGTTCCAAGCTGGCGGCAAGCATGCATTCCCCATGCATTCCCCTGCCCATACCCTGGAACAGCAAGGTGGTGGATGACTGAAATGCTTTACACCCCCCTCCCAAAAATTCATACCTGTTCCTGTAAAAACACCGCATACATACTGCCCCCTTCATCTGCTGTTGTAAGGCTTAATTTATTGAGGTGTATTGAAAATAAAGTAGTAAGCGGAGTGTGCATAGAAGTGAAAGTCGGCTGCTGGAAGGTGGCTAGCGGAGTGATAGAGACTGGAGTGGGCAGAGGAGGGCGAGATAACACAGTGTGGCGTCCTGGGCGGCCCTTAAGTTCGGTTGTCACAAAACGAGAATAAAAAGCTTCAAGTTGCATCTAATCATTTCGGCGCATCCATCCACTGCCTGAGCGCAGCTGGAAGATTGCCGCGTTCCGTCACTCCGCTATCCATGGCTGTCTGTAGTAGCTGTCGTACAGTACGGCGTACACCATCTAGTACATATACGCGCTACCCAGCATCTCGAGAGGCCTTTTCGGCGGCCAGCTATTACACAGTCGCAGACGAAGGAAATGCCGGCTATGCTAAAAGCACTTCAACTAGTAGGCTGCTTCGAACACCTGATGAGCTTTGATGGGTCATGGTACAACGTACATTGGAGCATGCCGAAGCGGGGGCTTTACCAGTTTATTACCGCACGTACAACAACAAAACCAGCAGGTATGATATAGTGGTATAGCTTCACCAGCGGTCCCCTTTCCCGAGGCAGTTCCCTGCTCTCCCCTGCGAGAGGGGCACCCTAATCCATTCACCCCATCCGACTTCAGAATGTATTCGTTGGGTTCAGCAACTCACCACCAGCATCCAACCAAATCTAGCGGATCAACGTCGCCTCAACTTAGTTCCTGGTTAGCTCGCAAGCAGGTATGTATATATGTATGTAACCACTACGCACTTAGCTCTCCCCCAGGTTTGCGATCACGCACGGCCCCATCCCGGAGGACATGAGCAGCACCAAATGATTGCCGTACAGCTACGGTCTGAGCTTCACCAGCTTTGCGATGCATTTAGCGCGGCTTAACTTAACTGCGCCAACAGTGCCATAATAATGTATAATGCGGTGGCATTCCCTTCAATTCGTGCGAACGGTTCATTGCATGTAAAGCGTGATGGATATCTTGGCTAGCAACAGAGGAGCTGCAAAAGCAGTATGAAGAGAAATGCAATCGTGGCCATTCATGGCGGTGATAAGGGAGAAAGGGACGGACAGTGCTGTGGATTACAATATACAACGCTACCGTTTGCAACTCCTTACAGGCAATCAACAGATCTAGTTATATTCGGCGCCGCGGCGCCAACGTCCGTCAACGAAAACGGCAATAACCACCATGAAACTACCCCGACAACTGTAACGAGCCGACGTGGAAGGTGGCACTTGCTTGAAGACTACCTTTAGTTATATCACGACTACAACTGCTACAGAAAAGGTCCCCGTGGGATGGTTGCACCCAAAGGATAACCAGCGATTGCGGAGCCCGTCACCTCCCGTTCAGCAGAAACCGCTGCAGCTGAAATGCGATCCCAAGATAAAACTGAGATAACTGCTTGATACCAATTGTTACATCATGAATAAAAAACTGCTACAGAAAAGTACCGTTCGGCAGGTGTAATCATCCTGATATGCCCAGATTACAACACCTTGCGTGCCATCACAGAAAGCCATCGGAAACCCCCGCAACAGAGGAATCATTGATCCGCCGCCGGTCATCAAACGAGGTGCGTTTTCATCCGTTCGACCCGTTGTGTGTAGCAGTGCTGTTGTTCAAGTTCAATTATGTTTAGAGCATGGATACACATGCATACACTTCTGCACATACGTGGAAGTGTAGCAAATAATGTACCGATGCTGTACACATGTACGACTAATAAGGCCAGCCAACGCCTTCGCTTCGGGGCTATCACCCGCCTTTTAGATAGGACGGCTCTTTCACCGCGATATGCGCATGGCATGCCGTGTCCCAGCCATTTCCTTGGCCCCAACCACACCGCACCAATCATTCACTAACTAACAACTAACAAGCAGCAAGACAACAGCAATGAAACCATCCATGCTGTGCTTTCCTGCCTATCGTCCATGACCTAAGATCGAAATCCCATCACCTTCAGCTCTTCACACAACCGGGAAGTTTATGTGAAGTAGTGGCACGCACCGCGGCCTTCGTCTTCCTCGCGCCCTTAAGTACAAGCATGCTCATGCAAGGGGCCTCTTCTGGATCCAAGCTTCCCAGCTTTCACGCCACGTGGTTGTGTATAATATGGTAAATACATGGCACGCGAGGGTTTTTCCAGCGCAGGAAATTTGCTGGCTCCAAAGATACAGCCGTTGCACAAGCAGAGGCCCATACATAGAGAACCAATGCGCCTTCAGCGTATATGAAAAATACAAATATGCCAGTGGTCCTGATACTGGTCATGCACAACAATATTGATGCAAGACGGATAAACGCTGCTGCAGCCAACATGCATGCGGATGCGAGAACGAAAAAACACGGTATACATAGCCGTAAGTACGTACAAAGGAATATGGCAAGTAGCAGAAAATAAAAAAGGGTGCACGACACGTAAGAAAGTAAGAACGGAATAAAGAGCGAGGAAAGAGAAAATGATGGACACAAGCTTCGTTCCCTCGGGAGCTGAAACCCCAAAACCCCACAAGGTAACACACACATGCATGAAGACGAAATATAAACAGAAATGTATAGATACGCGGCCGACGGTGCTGCTCCATCGACCGTGTTGCCTTACGGCAAGGCCACAGGCCACGAACGTCGTGATGCTAGAGCTCCTGCAAAACCATATCACTCAAAATCAGCGCTCTCCACCAAGCTACCCACATGTCACACAGCGCGTGGAGAAATCAACAGCACCTGGTGCCCGAGATGCGCAGTTCGTTGGCGAATCCATCCATGGTGGGACGGCAGCATTGGCGGCACCCGGAAATAGCCTTCAGGCCTCACACGTACCCCAGCAGACAGAGGCCCGGCAATTCTATAATGGGTCTCTCCACTAAGACAGGACGGAGAACGTCGTAATGACGGCACTGGATCCCTTTTGAGCGCGAGCAATCACAAACGCAAGTGTAAAGAACATACGTAGCAGTTAACAGCAGCTTAAACAAGGGAAAACAACTCTAGCTCTTAAAGTAAAGGGGGAACCGATATTCATTAGGCGTGCAGGACACAGCAGGACCGGACTTTATTTAAGTCTGACAGCGCCGTAAAACTCCTGCTGCGGCAAAAACCTGATGCAACTGGCTGGCTGCAAAGACTGGCCGTGTTTCAATGTCCTTAATATCCGTCGTCTTGAACATCCAGAGGGCCATCGGTTTTTCCCCCTTACCGCTATCCACTCCCAAGTGGACATATGTACATGTATACATAGTGTACATACATACATACATACATACATAGCGCACCCTATCCCGGCCGTTGTGAAGGTGGCGCATTCATTTTCGCCGGCGGCTTTGGGCTTGAGGGCCGTTTTCGCGGGGCCAGAAACCTTGGTGAGGGCACTGCTAGCGGCGAATCCATTGGTAGCGGGCGCAATACCGTCGTCAGCAGCGGTGGCCGCTTGGGGTTTGGCGGCCGAGGCATCGGCGGGCGCGGCGGTGCCGGAGATGGCGACCGAGGTGGCCGCCACGATGGCGGCGGCGCTCTTGAACGTTGGGGCGGCGGCGGCGATGGCGGCCTGCAGAGCGGTGCCCGTAAAAAGCGCGCGGGGGCATCTTCAGCGGGGGGAAAGACGGAAATGCATAGACCCGAGATGGCAACCGCACTGTCATTGCGTACATAGTAACTGTAACCTCTACACATCCATCCCGGAAGCTTTTTGTGGAACATTCATTATCCGGCCGTGGGCGACTTATTCCAACATCATGCGGCTCATATCCTAAGCAGGAAACCCCAACGGGTGCTACATAATACGATATCCCATGTATATCTCAGCGACTGGCATTAATACAACTTCTGACAACTGTAGTGGAGCTCCTATTAACATGTATGCATGCCATTTTGCGTAGACGTCAACATCTATCACTTACGAGGCATCACGATAGTCATAGTCGCCTGTTCGGGCACTGGAGCTGGTGCCATCTACGGTGGTGATACTATCATAGCATTCGCTCGCATAGGCTTGGTAGCGGCATAGCGACACGGTGATGTAGGAGCCGTCCTGTTGGAGGTCTGCGCAGTGGAAGGGACGAGTGACCAACAGGGATTTGTGACAGAGCGGTGGTATTTATTGCGGTGCGGTGCGGGGTGCACGCGTCCTGCGGCTGCTGGTGCATTACAATAATGTCTGGTTTGGGGTTCATCAATTGCCTCTTCCCATTTGACTGCTAGGTAACTACTACCCAACGCCGCTTACCGCCTGTCACCACAAGCAGGTTGTAGACCACCAAGTTCACCATGCTGTTCTTGGCGATGGCGGAGATGATATTGATTCTTGGATCGCCCTTTGCCCAGAAGTCGTTGTCGATGGTTTTGTCCAGTTCATGGACGCTAATCTGCGGGGTGGGCAGGGCCGCGGCCGGACATACGGTGCAACCAATCCGATGTTTGCAGTCAGGACAATCATCAGCTGCACGATCCGCCCGCTCAGGAATGTGCATGAAAAGTTTACGGGAACACCCACGCGGTTGGATTACATACACCCGGAGAGAGCGCTGTGTTACAAGTTACAAGTGCCGCACGAGTGCGGGGGTTTCCGTCAGAGCCGGGAGGCCATGGAGTATATATATGCTATAGGATAGGATAGGATAGAACAGGATAGGATAGGCACTACTGGTAACGACTGGTAACGCGCGACCATTGCCCCCGGGAGATTCCGGGAATCGAGACCTATCAAGGTCGAAAAATCCTTTCGATGGTGGAAGGTATTGCGCCCCTAGTTGATGAACGGTGGTGACCTGGGATAAAGTTGACTTGCGAGCCGACCAGGAATGGAGTTGGGCCGCTGTCGACCCGGCAGATTCCGTTGGATGCTGGTGGTGGGTGCGGAACCTGATCGATCCACTGAGAAGTTGACTAGGGTGACTGGATGAGGGTGGCCCGAGGGTGGCCCGAAATACCGGGGAAGGCAGGGTTTCGCAGGGTAGCTGCCACGGGTGAAGATATACCCCCGTTTCACACATCATATATTGTGTGAGCAGTGCTAAGTTGCTAGCGAACCGGGCGGGGCATGCTGAACCCTTTCCCTGGAGTATTGGGGGAATTATACCGTTTGAACCCGCGCTAGCTGGTGCCCGGAGGTCAGTGGATTTCTTGGAAACAACCTCCGCTGAGTCCTACTAAAAGGTTCACCCCCGCCGTCCCCGGCAGGCTTTAGGAGTGTTTCCGCCCTGCAGTACACTGTACTAAACTGGAGCATCTGCCAGGAAGGGAGAGGGTCCAACATAATCCTCACCTTGCGGTCGTAGGAAGGATCCAAATCCTCATCACCCGCCACCGCCCTCCGCAGCGCTATGTAGAGGTTTCTGCAACGACGATACGCCGGCGGACGGGAGCAGGGCAGGTTGGGACGGGGCGGCAGGACACATGCTTATGGACTTGGCCATATGTGCGCTGGGGGCATCCGACCGGTCTACCATCAGGCCCATCCTTCGTCATGTTCCCTCGCCCATTATGCCCTTAACCGCCCAGGCAAGTGCAGCGATGGCTGGACTTTCCAGTTCCGGCTCACCCCGACCATGGCTCTCGTCTGGAAGGATAGCCAGCGTAGGAACATAGAATACGAAAAAGATAGCCAGCAACTACACAATAATTCACACATAGAGAAGTCATGGCTACTGGCCTGCCGGCGAAGAGACCGTGCGTGCGTGCAACAATCAATCGAACCAGTGTATTAGTGCCTCGATAGTAATTTCCAGCAAAATTGCGTCCACACATCCATGCGCGTGCAGGCCCTAACATAGAGCTTGTCAAACCAACCCCCGCACCGACAGGTACAGACAGCATGAACCGATGAGCACTAACGACTCACTTTCTATACGACACGCCCTGCCAGTCAGGCCTTATCTTAATCACGTTCCTGCCGGGCCCCAAGGAGGTCGCTGGAAGGATGTAGCTCTTGAAAGTGGCGGGGATGAAGCTGGTTGAGTTAAGCAGGTCCAATACGGTCGTCCAGCCCAGGCGCCAAAGCTCTGGGGCTGAGGGGCAGCTGTTGCCGCTGCCCATGGAGGTGGAGGTGTCGCCGTACTCGTAGCCATCTTTCCAACCGTGATATATGCCATAGTTGTGCAGCATCTCCTGGAGTACTGTGCCCTTGTTGAAGATGCCCTGGGGGCCAGAAAGTGGCAATGCAGGCCAAGGTGGGGTTACGGGTTCTATCTGCTCGCCTTGTCACCTGGCTGTCCTGCTGTCGCTTGAGTAACGATGACATACTGCCACCTAGCGGATCGGATCAAGCAAGCAATGCATCATACCATGTTGCGACCATTACTTCTGTCATCACTACCGCCACTGCTTCAAGGCTGGTACACTGCCAGTGGTGCAGCTGCCAGATTATACTTTGCGATAGGCTGTCATAAGGAAATTGCCGCCGGTTAGAGTTGTGCGACGGTTGTGGCTCAACCGTTAGATTGGCCAGTTAGACGTCGTAACCTCCAGCTGGGCCCAACGGCTCAGCGACCCAACCGCAAAACTGGCCCGACGGTGCAGCCACTAACCGGGCCCAATGCTTTAAACGCAAGATCGATCCCATTGGCCCACTCACCCATGTCATGCTTTTGGCACCCGCTGAAACTCCTTAAACACGCGATGGATGCATAACCTACGATGGACCCCCTACAACTATATCTTAAACTCTGGCCTCAGACGGGCTCAAATTGCTGAGGTGTACCGTACACCGTGCTTGCCGTACACGCACATCGAGGCTCGGTGAATACCAGGTGTTGCTCCCCGGGAGATCCGCCAGGCCCACCCAGCGACAAGCGTCGATATTTGCGGGCATGACAAAGCTGTAGCGGTCGAAGGACTCCACAAACGCTGTATCGCGAAAAGACGGTGGTTTGGGCACACAGCAGGCGGGTTGTGCGATCGGAAAATAAGAGTTCTGCTAACAGGAGAGTGTAAGAGTAGAGAAAGAGGGTAAGAGGATAGCAGATTGCAGGTAGGGAACAAGGCGAGGGGTTTTGACAATGCTGCGTTAGGATGCAATTACGGTATGCTGCTGCTATACGTATTGAGATCCGATTTGGTCAGCCTGGAAAGGTGGTTAGGCATGGCCTAAGCAGGGCAGGGCCAGCCGCAGCAGCACAAGCCGCAGCAGGGGCGGAGGGTCAACGTCGTGGCGGAAGAGGTTCCGCGCATGGAGAGGTTTAAACAGCAGACCTTCATCAAGGACACGACGTTAACGATACGCGGTTCCGCTTGCTTGGGTACACATGCACTGGACCGCACGCACAGCGTAAACATGCACGTATGGGCACTCGTTACACCTCTCGAGGTAACGCAACTGAGGTGTAACACACACACACGCACACACGCACACACACACACACACACACACACACACACACACACACACACACACACACACACACACACACACACTCTTACATACATGCGCGACACTATCTCGGCAGTTCAACCCTCTATGCCATTCCATGGCTCTGGCGAGACATGCAAGTCCCGTCTCCCCTGCCTAGCAACTTGAAAGGCCATGTCAGTATGTGAGTCCCTTTCTCTCCCTGTCCTCAGCCACAGGGCCGCTGATCGGCGAAGGCCATGGCTATGTCCCTTGAAACTGTCCGACAAGTGACCATACTATTTAATGGAGCACACTGAAGCACGGGGCGCCGTACATTACTCACACTTTCCGTGCAGGTTCGTGGCCACAGTCGTGGCCGCAAATGCCACCGCGTCCTCGCTGCACTGCAAGATTGCAGTGCTGCAATTTATTGTTGTCCCAATGACCTATCGAAAAAGAGTTGGAAAAGGGCATGTGGTCCCCGTCACGGCGACAGAAATGATGAACGCTTTAAAGGGACAAAATACCCCGGCGGTGGAGCAAATTGAGACACCCGAAGCGGGACACCCGGAGGAGGGGCCCCTCCCAGCGGAGTAGCTGGCAGTCTGCCCCACAATCCGGATCCGGGTTCTTTGGCCCTGGACCCTGAACGCGGAACCAACGGCTGGCTGGCAGTCTGGCCCACCCCGAAGTGATGGCTTTTGTAAATGCCATATCCCCGTCAGCAGGGGTCACTGAAAATGAGAACATATATAAGCTTCTAACAGTAAATAAATCCCCCCATGAAATTCGCAAGCTTGCACAACCCAGCACTTGAACGTTTTCCGGGTTGCGCCAACGCACCGTCACGCTATCCGGATCCGAAGCGAACACCAGCTTGCCGTAGCTGCAGTTACGCAAGAAGCTGGCGTAACCAAACCTTGATGACGTGTACGCCTGCCGTACCAGCCCTACCTGTACGGCACAGGTTAAGAAGTTAATACACTTGGGCGGAGGTCCGGATTCGGCCCATGCAGTGCGGGGCTCGCAGTGTGCAACGATTGATGGTCCTTTTGGATTTACTATTAACGACCTGTAACGGTATTTGTTCACTCACGAGAGCTGCTGAGCTGTCTTGCGCCCAGGGGAAACCACTCACGATCCCTGCAGTTTCCAGGCTACGTTAGCATTGCGTAAAGAAATGTCACCGTAGAGAAGACACAATACGGCCTTTGGTAAGGTTTTGGATTTGTAATGGACGAGCTGTAACCGGTAGGTGACGCATGCGCGACGCGCACGCACACGAGCATTTCTGTTTCGTTTTCACAACGCTCGAATCCAGTGTGACATGATTGATTCATGGGAATGTGTCGCCTCTCCCTCCAGGCCTTTTCCCGCAACGCAATTCACTACGTGTGTTTGGGTGCCGTTTGCATGATACTCGTTCCATCTCACTCAGTCCAGCTGCCTATACAAGTTACAAGTTACAAGTGCCGCACGAGTGCGGGGGGTGTCCGTCAAAGCCGGGAGGCCATGGACTATATGTATTGAAAGTTGATTACACCGTACGACCGACGGCGGTTTGGGTCCTGCCAACTAGACCCCTCCTCATCCAGTCACCCAACATCCGTAGAGACAGATCAGCCACCATCACCATCTCAGCATGCGAAACTTAGTCCATCAACTAGACCTCATCTCCACACCTCAGCAGCGTTAGTAAACCTAGACCTCCCGAACAATGTCGGGGGTCTGACCAGGAATATGTATGGTTGAAAGGCTCCGTATATGTATGGTTGAAAGGCTCCGTACGGAAATCGGCAGGATAATCCATTCAAAAAGATAAGGATTTATGATTGCAACATGACGTGTCCAATTCCGCGTTTGACGTTTGACGTTTGTGTTACAAGCTTCGAGCTTGTACGGTCCAAACGAGCCAAGAGGCTCATGAACCGCCGAACTGGAAACAAGAACATATAAAGGTAGTAAATTAACCTTACTGTAAAAACATATTTAATCATCAATTCCGCGTCCTAGTACAAATACAGTTACAGTTTAAGTGTCAGCACAAATTCAGAGAGCGCAGCTTGAACAGATCAGCTTTGCAGTAGGACTCGAGTCCAAGCCCGGATTATATTCCCAGCTCGAAATGCGAGCCAGAAACATACAAACGCGTGATGGTGGGCGATTTCAGGGTTTCGGTTTTGGTAACTCGGACATGAACCGCATGACCGTATTATATATCTACGAACACAAATATCCCACAAAATGCGGATGACCAGCAGCGATCCCCACGCCTATCATCCCTGGTTCCCTTAATACACGCCTTAATGGTCCTCCGGGAATAAACCTTGCTTTTTTAACTTCAATTTAATGATACAGACGTGCAGGGTAAGGTTGCAGCCTTGGCACCGGAATACAAATGCACCCACCGGAGCTCCTTGTTTGACGCAGCTACCGGTGACGTTGACCACCATTACCAGCAGCCGCACCTCCAGGTCCGCGGATACGACGGGGGCAGCCAGCCTGGTGATTTCGGCATTGGCGATGTTGACACAGGAGGTGGCATCGCTGCTGCCGACAGCGGAGGTGCAATCCTGGAGCGTGATATGGACACAAGGAATGAAGACAGGGGGGGCCCCCCCCAGAAGCGGCGCAGCTCAGTAAGGGACGCCTAGTACGTGACGCTAATTACGTACAATTGCTTGAATGCTTTGCCCAACGGGTAATGATAACCGTGCGCGACGGGAAAACCGACAAGTAGGGCGGGGCAGCTGACGTTGTGATAGAAATGTTTTGTCGATGCCACAGTCGTATGACGCAACACAGGTTCCCAGTCGCGTGGACAAGATCCCCCACAACTAATGAGCTGAAACATCAAAGCAAATGGCGGTCTACATCAAGTTTCACGGGCACGACAAAAAATCATTATAGCGGCGGGAGCAACCGCGGCGAAATTTTGGCGGGTATTATGGCCTGGTGAGGGGGCTCCACTCCTGGCACTTGTAGCACCTTGGCTTGCCGTGGCAACTTGCACGCCATGGCTTGCCGTGGCAACTTGCACGCCATTTTTGGTGGCTGTACGCCGGCCCCGATAGCTATTGCGGCCCAGCGAGCAAGCTGGCGGACTTGGTGTACATTTTAACGCGTCGCTTCGGCCCAGGCACCTACCTAGCTTGCACTCTCTTGTCATCAAAATATTGATAGTAACGTGAATCTATTAAGTCTATCCCGCAAATCAGAATGTTCTCACATGTGCAAATCAGAATGTTCTCACATGTCACGTAGAAAGCCTTCCTTATCCTCATCCTTTCTTATACGGCTGGGCCCGTCCCTGCTGGGCATGGGCCTCGAATTGGAGACCTACCAGGGCCATGAAACTTCCCGGAGGTATAGGAGCCCTGGTGGGATCCGTCGGCTGTCGGGGCAACGAAAAGACCTCTCCACTTGCCGACACAAGCTTCCAGTTGTATCCCACGTGGGAATGCCTGAGTACCAGCGTGCCCTGCGGCCGGGACAGGTGCACACGCACGGCTGAAACAGCCATCTCACTGGCTGGCGAGGGGCTGGTGTTGATGGCGGGCGGGTGCAACCGTGCACCATGGAGGGTGGCGGGTGGCGGGTGGTGGTTCGCATACAGGCAACCTGCCTTGCATGGAGTGGCTCCGGATCTCGAGTACCATGGTGGTTCGATAACATAAGACCGCAACACTCCTCAGTATGCTGTCTAAGGAAAAGGCCTGTCACGCCAAGGGTGGCCAAACAGCGAGCCTGCAGGCAGGCCATGCGCAAATGCTGACGATTTCATTTTGAATGCAGTGGGCCGATAGGTGTACAGAGAGCCATCGCAGCCAGATTTTTAAACAGAAGAGCTCCAGGGGCTGTTTAAAGACCTAAAAAGTACAGACAGGATTTAAATATTGACAACTAGAGGGGACTTCCCGTGAGGATCGGGTCAAAGACCTAGTTCGCGGAAGAAGGTCAAATCGGAGTTGGATTGGAGGTTGGAGACGACCTCTTACAGCGTGATATCCAAGAAAGGGGCCTGGCTGTGGGTTGCGACGAATTCTTACTGTCCGGCGAGAGACGCGAGGAGATAACAAAGGGGGTTAGTATCCCGATTTTGTCAACGTGCGCGAGCAGGGCTTAATTGTATGCTTGTATTGCTGTTGCGGAAGTACCCATACGGTACAGCACTTCGCCGTTGCTGTACCTTGAGGCGCGTTGTGGCGGTGAAGCTTGTCGTTGCAGCCTCTGACATGCCTGTGCGAGCACAGAAAGGTAACATACTCTCAGACGTCGCACTTGCCATGTGCCATGAGTTACACATTACCGTCCCCCCCCGGGCCCTCCACAGGCCCCCAAACGGAAGACGTGTTCGCTATAGATCATAATACGTTGGAAACACCTTTTCAGCCTCAGTCGGGCTAATGGCCGGCCCTCTCGCCAAAATGTCTTTGCTCGCCAGGTACGCACCCTTCCAAGTAATTGCTAAAAGCAGCAGCACCAAGAGATCCCGAAATGATAATCTTGTATAGCTTCTCTTTTTTCGGAAGCGTAAATAGGGACGGTGCGGCGTAAAGGCTACGATGCGAGCATCTGTCGGGGACAGCGAAGCTCGGCCGCTGCACCCCATGTCTCAGAGCACGTTGAAATCTCTTGTGTAAACACCCTGGACTTGCAACCTGCGTCACAAATCGTAGTTTACTGTGCCAATCTGGACCCGCAACCGGTGTGCCTTCCGTCGCACTTTGCATCCAACCTTTGACAGATGCGGTAATTGGATGCACTACACATCATATCTCGCAAAATATATGAGACTCCCGATGGGAAATCTGTTTGCATTATCGTCATTTGGCACTGCATTACCTTCCAGGTCTTGGCCCTATTTCCGTATGCTCAGCCACATCTGACGACAGGAATAATGATCATTGTCATGCTATGTAGTTTCATACTAACGGCCGGGCAGGACGTGTTGCATGTGGGCGCTAACGCCCACAGCGGATTGAGACAGAATGGCTCCCATAACTGTTAGCAAGCCATAGTAGCAACCATTCATTAGGCCTAGTATATCCGCTTGGTTCTTAAGGTGCGTTAGCTCCACCAGTGGGAGCCGATGCGCCGCTTGAATCCAAAGTACGGTAACGAAGTACTTTTGACGTACTAGCTGAAGTGGAGGGTCTCTAAATAAGCCACCAGCGCCCAGATTCAACAAAATATAAAATCAAACTAATCATATCGTCCCACCCAGTTCAGCACAACGCAAGACTAAAGGCAGGCGGAGCGCTTACTTAATGCGGCCATAGAGTTGTTGCGCTTTCGCCGCCTTTCTAAATAGTTTTGTGCTCGTTATAATATTTTATTCAAGGAGCGCTCGTCTATACTTTTTTCCAAGCCCATATACGTGACGACAAATGCCAGAAAAGCGGGGTGGTTTACGAACGTACGTATAAGTGTAATGTTTTAGGTTACCCGATCATCAGTTGCGCATCTCTCTACCCTTAATTAATGGTTTGTCAGTCCACTTCTTAGTTCCATGCTCTAACTGCCATGCCGACCGAAGAATGAGGCGACCAGGGCTGGCTTGAATGGGCTAACATAAAGGATGAAGGCCAGGAAAGAAAATGTCCACAGAAAATTATAATAATGCTCTCGTTTTACAGCATCTCGGTGGATGCTCATCGCTTCAATTCTCGCGGTAGTGCAACCTCTCAGGAGGAAGCCGCATACAGATGCCAGTGTTAAAAGACGACATTTCAATCCTGGCATTATAAACTAATCATTTGATGCAGCTTTGCAGCTGATTGCCTGCTGTTAAGGGAGAGCTGAATGGTAACTAATCCCGTGCGACGCGTTATATCTGCAACAGCAGCAGAGCCTTCTACCGTTCCACGTTCCTGAACGAACATACAGAAAACAACGTGGGCATCGGCATTGCCGCTACCCTACAAATACAGGATTTCAATCAAACTCCTTCATGTCCATTTTAGGCTGAACTTTGTTGCGTTATGGAGTGTTCACAAAGGTCGCTATGGAGTGTATCAATGGCTCGACACTGAACAATTGCAGATGTTGCATGCACCCGCAACAGGCGAGACGCTCACCTCATTCGTAGCGAGAAATGCTCAGTTGCAAAAACTGCGCAACGGCACCACGGGCGTTTTGAAGTTGAAATTGCAGCGCATGTACAAGGCTTGGCCAGGCAATCCCGGAAATAGTAGTCGCGGCCGACCCGTTATTACGGCCCAGTTAGGGGATGTTTTGCGGTTGTCCCACGCCGATTTGAACATCTAAAAGCGTCCATAGTTCAGATTGGTGATATGTAGATGCATGAGTAATTGACAAACAGCCTTTTCGGTGCTACAGTCCCACACAGTAATCCTCACCTTGGTCGATGGCTTCAGAGCCTGCCATTGTCAGTCAACATAAGCAGCCAATATATGTAGGGCTTTAAGGACAGGGCTTGTCCACATAGCTGCATGAAAAAATCGCCCGGTGCAGTTTTCCTTGTTAAGCGGATGGAGAGAGCTTCTCCATGAAGCCCAAGTACGGCCGCCGCTGACACACATGCTCTCAGCAACATCCCTCTAGTCAAGAAAACTAAGCTTTGAATATTCCGTTGCACTTGCGCTGTTGCACTTGCGCCGTTGCGCCTGGCGCCCGTCTCGCCGTCGGATGCATGTAGACCACTGGACTGCATCTCAGATGCGTTTAGGTAAAACGTCTGTAGCGCATCAGCCCACCCTGTAACGCACATGAACTCATGTGGGGGGATACCAATCCTACCGTTCCCCATCCCTTAAGAATGCCTCCTGCTGCTCTCCTTCTTATCTTGGCGATGTCCTTGGCAAATACAGCTGTATCCCAAAAGAAGCCTGAAAAGCGTGGATGGATGGGGAGCGAGATTTGAAACGCGCGGCATTAAAGTGCACGGACCATGCTGATTTGAACGATAGGGCTTACGAGGGCTTCCCACTGGTTGTTCCCCGCTATGCAGATTCCTTGAGTCCTGCAACAAGATTGCGTTTCTTATACCAGGCACGGCTATTTGTATGTTTCCCCCCCCCCCCACCTGCGTTGTGTATGCGTGGTTGCCTCACGGTAGGGGCCGCACAAGACGACGCACTTAGTTGAAGTGCGCCATCAAAGCTAGATAGTACAATGAATGAATGCTGAAAGAGGTGGTCGTTCAAGGCTTTTAACATCTAGAGAGAGAGAGAGACAGACCTGGCGGCCATAGAGAGTGCTCGCACGCCAACTTGGGCCCGCCTGCTGGAAAAGCAATGTACAGTTAAATCATTACGTGGGATTATGCTAACTACTTGGCTTGTATGCTTTACATCTGTGCCTGGTTTCTAGAAAGAGGGACAAATTAACCATACGACAGCTGGTTCGAAGGTCGTAGTCTGATTAGAAAGTCTGGATCCAACCTTAAATCGACAAGATGATGTGGGCATATAAAATGCATGAGATATTTGCAAGTTTTTAAAATTACACTGCATAATTTTTGAAGCTCATCCTGGGGCTTAGGACTCTGCGTGAGCATAGAGAGATGCGTCTGCAGCTATCGAAGTACTGCACCCTGACCACGCCCATCTGAGCTGTTAGTAAGTTCCATAAATAACACTGCTCTCATAAATTCTGCTGCTAGGAGTTTTAATCGATTACAGTGAGGGCCCAGGTGCTAACAAGCCAGCACCACAGAAGGATGGCTTTCCATACCGTTGATCGGACGCGATTGGCGTCACAGGTCCCCGGCCTATTCTCTATGTATTTCATCATATTTATTCTTGCTAACGGTAAGAAACAAAGGTCTACCAACCGCTGCAGCTGTAGACCAATGATTTAGGACAAAACGGGTTGGGCAAAGGGACCCGCCTCGCTGCCAGAAACAAAAATTTATAATACAAATAACAGTCTGCAATTATAACTGGCGCGCGGATTGATGTGGATGACGGTTGCGTTTTTTTCAACGTGCACTTACATCGGGCGGCCTCTCTTCTAGTTGTTACTCATTTTCACGTCGCCTAAGTTCTTGCTCATTACTTTATCCGTTTACACCCACAGCAGGTTTGTCGGCTGCTGCGATTGGCGTGGATGAGAGAGGCGCTGAGGCCGTTGATCTGCAGCAGGTCAGCAGCTCCAAGCATAGAAGCCCACATCGGGGAAACTGTAAAACAGTATAAGGACATCCCCAATTGCAGTTTCAGCAGCTCTGTAACGATCGTTGCGTTGTATATGGATGGCGATGAGTTCTTCTTGTGCCTTCCAGTCCGATCAGCCGATTCTTCAGCGGGGTGTGCCGTTAATATGGGCCTAAAGCAGCAGATCACGTACGACACTCCCAAGCGGCATGTACCGTGGCGGAAATCTGCTTTGAGTTGGCGTTTTATCCACCGAGGCGCCGGCGTTTGGCATGGATGACTCATGCATTAGTGTAAAATTGTAGCTGACCTGCGTAACTGAACCATGCCACAACCCATCCGAAAGGAACGTGTCTGTGCGGGATTAAGGGCATATGATTCAGTATCTATTAACATGAGCACAAGGACCGCACATGTGTGTTCTATGTTTTGCGTTGTCTCGGCGGGCCGCTTCGGCGGGCTGTGGACGGCGGGCGCTTCCCTGACATCCCTGACATCCCTTACCTTGCGATTCTCCTGCTGATGCTCGGCATTTTCCAATGTCTTACATGTATGCTAGTGTGTGTGTCCCATGGGCACACCCGCATGTGTCTGTGCTCGGTGGGTAAAGTCAATGAAATCCCACAGTGCCACGTACCTCCTTGCTTAGCACACGCCAGGCTTACGGTATATTGGTATAATGTGTTGTTAATAATAATGTTAGAGTATGATTAACGACGTTACAGTTTGTCCGGATTCTGCCATCGCCGATGCCCGTTCCCAGATATGTACGCAAGTACGACATTTTGTGGTCCGCCCAGCGCAGGGCATCAGGAATTTGCTGAAGGACCACCTCTTCTTTCTATTTTGCTTGTGCTTAAAAATCCGCAGGCACAGGTTCCTAACCTCTTGATGAACCGGCGGCTCCTCCAGGCCGGCAAACGTAATACACCGCCACCACCACCACCACCACCACCACCAAGATCACCACCACCACCACCACCAAGATCACAACCACCACCACCACCAAGATCACAACCACCACCACCACCAAGATCACAACCACCACCACCGCCACCACCAAGCAACAAGCCACCTTCCCCGCCACCGCCCGTGCCCACTCGCCGCCCACCTCCACCCCCTAACAACCCGCCACCGGAATCGCCGGTGACCTTATCAGCGGTGCTGCGCCGCCGTCGCCCCATCCCGCCGCCACCCCGCCCCGACCGGCCTCCCCGCCCTACCCGGCCACGCCGCCCAAGCCACCCTGTATCGCCACCCGACATGGCGCCGCCGCCGGATGAGTATCAGCAGCCACCGGACAGGTTCCCTAGTTCCCCACCACCCTGGAGCCAACCACCAACTGACTACGTGGCAATTGATTTTGCTAAATTCGCCTAGTTATCGGCCTAATGAGGGGGCGTGGTGGGGGCCAGGAGCGACATAAGCAGGTATGCGGAAATCCGCCTGTCGAAATTGAGGTTGCTCCTTTTCTTTTATGTCTCCACAGCGATAGTCTAAGCGCTGCGTCCGACAGTTTGCGCAGTCAAGCCAAGCTGCCGAACCGGGGAGCAAACTGGGTAGTTGTTAGCAGTTAAAAGGGTCGGTGTGACGAACTGTTCATGGAAGCGTGTCGTCCGGGTAAGCCACCTTTAGCTTTCTGTAGCTGCTAGGGCACCGGCAGACAGACAAACATACCGGCAGACAGACAAACATACAGAAAGAAAGAAAGAATGAGAGGCATGTAGACATCCAGATCTGCTGGCGGGAGATGCTGCATGTGGCTCATCAGGTTCTGTCGACCGCACCTCCAATACTCTCCTCATTGCTTTTTCCAGAACTGTGTGCGCCCAGAACTGTGTGCGCCCAGAACTGTGTGCGCCCAGAACTGCGTGCTTCCGTTGCATGACCGGAATGCGGCTGGATGGTTGGAGGTATTTCTAGGCGTGCAGGTAGCAGGCGCGTACTACACCACATGTTTCCTGCTGCTGCAGGTCATCGTTGGTGGTACCTCGATGAGAGGCCTATATGATCTGTTTTGCTGCTGTGTACATGGTTGATTCGCTGGTGGATTGTGGATAGAAAGTTGTAGGAGCTGTCTAGGGGTGGGTAATCTCGCTTTGGGGGGAATAAGAAAGGCTTTTTGCGGAACGGGACGACTTCCTGCGCGGCAACTCGTTCCGTTAGGTTTACGGCTTTATATACACCAACGCTACGTGCTTTGCCAATGTGAAGGTCTTGATCTCATTAATTGTGCGCATGCGCGTACACAGCACGTTACGGTCTTCTGGATGGATGGATGGATGGATGGATGGATGGATGGATGGATGGATGGATGGATGGATGGATGGATGGATGGATGGATGGATGGATGGATGGATGGATGGATGGATGGATGGATGGATGGATGGATGGATGGATGGATGGATGGATGGATGGATGGATGGATGGATGGATGGATGGATGGATGGATGGATGGATGGATGGATGGATGGATGGATGGATGGATGGATGGATGGATGGATGGATGGATGGATGGATGGATGGATGGATGGATGGATGGATGGATGGATGGATAGATGTGCGGACTATGCACGGCTAATTAAACTGAAAGACACGGATGGCGGTTGTCTTCATGGACGAGCAGGATGGATCCACCAAGCTTGCGAGTTAGTGCACCTTGATTTTTTTATAATTTTAGTGCGAGTGAATGGATGAATATAGATGTTATAGCACGTTATTCTGTTTTCTTCCTATGCAGCTATCGCTGGCGGCTTGAGAGCTAGGCAATCGCCATACGGTCAGTAATGCTGGTGTATGTTCCCCCCATGCATGAATTAGATCTTTAGATGTGTCATCAGGTTATGCGTAGGGGACGAATACGTGTTCGCTTGGCCAGGTGTATTTTCGTGTTGCTGTGTGTGTGTGTGCCTAAATTTCAGTATGAACAAATGCACATGTGTGATGCCTTAAATGATGCCTTCATCGTGTATTGCTGTACCTCGTGGGTTGGTTCAAAACAAAATCACTCGCCGAACGACTATATCGGCCCCGCCGAAGACGTAATATCCTCCTTGCACCCATTGTACGCTTCCGCAAAATTGTATACTTTCTACACGGCCACTTATCGCCAAAAGTTGCTTGTTTTTTGGTTGCATTGTTGGGTGGGGGACGGCGGCTCAGCCTCCCTATGTGTGTGATTATGCGTGCTGTCTCCATGCCGTACAGTTCCTTGGATCTCACCTCGGAAATCATCTGCTGTTTATTTCTTCCGTCCTTAGACCGTGGTGGCGGTTCGTACGTCGGTTGACACGCTGCTGTTGGCAACAGTTCGCTGGGCTTGAAAATGTCCAGGCAATTCTCCGTAGTGTTCTGCGCATTCGCCTTAATAATCGTTCGTGTTAGGAAAATTATATGTATGTGCAAGGCCATGCTTGCTTTGGCGGGCGCCGGGGGAACGTAACAAGGCGATGCGATATCTACTTGATAGGCGCAGCGACGCGCCATGCAAGACAGGGCAAGAATGGGTTGATGATGTGCTGATGATGGTGGTCTTTTCAAGTAATTTTTTGTTGTAGCAGGAGTGTGTGCACGCAGACAACATAGGTGGCTTATCAAAAAGGTATTTTCAATGAGGACACAGCAACACATTTTAACATCTAAGCGCCATTATCGTGAGCGCCCTTTTTCCGGATCTTTTTATCTCCGGAAAGGACGCGGTGTACCCCGTGCTTCTACATCCAGCCGTGCCGCACGTCCTCTACCAGGAAATCTATATATATACGTATGGAGAGCATGTCCTGTGCCCCTTGTCGTACATACAGATGCCGTACGTACTGTGCGTTGGACTTCTGGGTGGGGGGTCGGGATGAAGGCGGGCAAGCGACCGCCAGCTCTCTCTCACCAGGGAGAGCTGGCGGTCGCTTGCAGCATGCTTGCAGACGTGACATCCGATATTTTACACCGCTAGGCTCTCCGTTCAATTATTGGTGTGCGTTATTTTACATGGTTGTGACCTAATTATTGGCAGCTAAGTAGGTAGGTGGGCTTTGGGCAGCAATGAGGCTCGAGCGAAGACACGCAATGGAAATACGGAATCACAAGGATGCTGGGTATATGTCGCTGTTGGTCGTGGATGCATGGCTGGCTGTCCGGCTGCATACTTTGTAAGATAGAAATGTAGCGTGCGTATGTAATGCGACTTTTATTATCTCATTTCTTGGGTGAAGTCTTGGGTGCAGAAGGGCAGCAACTCAAGGGCACGAAAGCCGGGCGCCGAAATAATCGTCCCGGCTATTCCCTGATGGTCAGAAGAGTCATCTGTGTTGCTCATTCAGCACCCTTCATTGCCGTCATCATTGGCGGAATCGGGCGTCCCTAATGATTATCCCCGTAGAGGCGTCCTACCTGTCTTACAGGGTAGCACCGCGCTTCGACGAGGTTGCTCATGTGCAAATAAGAGAGGCAAGCTGTTCGCAGGCAGGGTAAAAGCAACTGGGCAAATTTTACAAATAAAACGCTTCTTTACGTCGTGTGGTATGATCCAGCAGACCTACAGCGAATGGCAACGAATCGTCTCCTGTAGCACTGTACTGGCTCCACGGTCCAGTTCCCCCCGCCCCCATACATACATACATACATAAACATTATACTAAGGGTTTGGCACCACTGGTAAGGCGCGACCATTGCCCCCGGGAGATCCCGGGATCGATACCCGTTAGGGTCAAAAATCCTTCCGATGGTGGAAGGCATTGCGCCCCTGGTTGATGGACGGTGGTGACCTGGGTTAAAGTTAACTTGCGAGCCGGAGTTGGGCCGCTGTCGACCCGGCAGATTCCGTTGGATGCTGGTGGTGGGTGCGGAACCTGAGCGATCCACTGAGAAGTTGACTAGGGTCATTGGATGAGGGTGCCCCGAAATACCGGGGAAGGCAGGGTTTCGCAGGGTAGCTGCCACGGGCGAAGATACACCCCCCTGTTTCACACATCATACGTCACAGCCCATCTTGTAGTGGTCATCAATACTCCGCATGACAGCGGCTGAGCCCACGTGACTTGGAGTCGCAACCCCACGCACCAACCAAATGTCAACGTGGCTGCTGTGTATAGCCGGGGCGCTACTCCCCCATCCGGAGCAGCGCCGAGAGGGTACCCGGATAATGGACGGTCGAGTGTATGGTGTACCTGCAGCCGGTCTTGGCTGAATGTGCATGGAACGTGGAGAGGCTAAATTCCCTGGGAATTTTAAGACCGGAGAGTTATCCTTGCTCGTTTTTACGATATCTACCTATTTCGGACATACAGCTTGGAGTCGTAACATGAATAATAGGCAGGTGTTGCAACACACACACACACAATCAGCAGAGCGTATCAGCCAACTTGCACGCTTAGTTGGGTGTGCATGAGTTGGCTGTAGAAAGATTGCGGGTATTGCGGGTACTCAAATGAGAACCCCTCTCGGAGACGACGGATACTACAAAACGACAGACGACCGCGTTTTTTCACGTAAACTTTCCGTTATTACCGTTAAGACGAAACAAGCTTTGGCCTGAGCGTAGCTTGTGGGGGGGGCTTTGCACCATTACTTATGCAGCTAAGGGAATATGAGGCCCCATTGGTCTGGCCTGGTCTGCAGGTAGAGGCGCGAGCCGGCTGCGTATCCAGGTTGTTGTCGCAAGGATTTTCAGGTAGGTCGACTGCAAGAATGCAAGCAGCCAGCAGCCAGCAACAAACCAGCCGGGAAACCTAAGCCCTGTCTAAGGTAAGGTCGTGTACGTGTTGTGTTACAAGAGCTGCTGTTGTTGCGTTTCTCATCCCGCGTGTAAACGCACGGCCTCTAAGTTATAAAGAGCCTTGCCCCTCTCGGCCATCTTGCTCGCGCCCCATCACGTGCATCGCCACAACAGAAAAGTACAAGATGGCAATATCCCTAAAACTCGCCAAGCCTACCTATGCGCCTCGATGACAACCAACGGGAAGAAAATACTTTAGTCTGGGTCTTTTTGAAACAACTAAAGATCCTGCTCAGGCCGCAATCTCGGATACATATCTCTTCAATTTTCTCAATGCGCAGAAAAAACACATTACCAAGCAGCCGGCTGTCGCGGTTTATCGACGAATTTAACAGAGCGCCCGCAGAAAACCTTGCACACATAAACAACCATCATGCCATTATGAAAGACAGAAACAAATATACAACAAATAAAACCGTTACAAGTGCGTATTGCACATGGCCCTCCCTACTCTGCCCAGCACTACTCATACCTAACGACTCTTCCCAATTCAAAAGCCGCTGCACCCGATCATTTACACAGCCAGGGCACACGTACACTCGTGCTCGCCGTACTTCCGTATCAAGTGCTGCTGGAGGGCTACCTAGAGTACATAGCTTCATCACCCAGCACAACGTACGCATATACATACATACATACATACTGAGACTACTGTTTGCAGTTAGTTGTAGCGTGTTACCGACATATATACCTAAATACCGAGAATAATGCGTGACACCTAACATACCGCCAAACAGGGTTGTTATAGCTAACGTCAACTACGGCTGTACGTTGCACCGGGCGACCTCAAAAAGGTGTATCACTCACTCACCCACTCACCCACTTCCTCACTCACTCTCTCACTCACTCACTCACTCACTCCGCACACAGTTGATGAGCACTGCGGAATGAGAGTGCGGTACGCACGTAACTGGCTGCTGGCTGGGGCGCCCTTTCGGGTGTCCCATCTGTGTGTGTTGGGAGAGGTTGGCAAAGCCAATAATGCGCAACCCACGACATGTCCAGTAGCAGCCAGCAGTCTCAACCCAGCCACCCTGGGCATCCACCCTTGTCGAGGGAGCTAGGGCAGACAGTGGAGGCTGCTTCACATTATGACAGCATTATTATATCCATGTGCCGTCACCGCCTATTGGTACGCGCATCAACCTGCTTTGGGACGCTGCCACTGCTCATGTGAGCAAGGCAAAGGTAAACGGGGGACAAAACAAAAGGGACAACGCGATAAATGGTACGACAGAACGCTATGCAAGGAATAGAGCACGGCAGGAAAAGCCTATGCAATCGAGTTGTCTGTTGACAGCTGACGTCTAAGATAGAGAAACACTGCTCTTATTACGAGCTCTCACAATCATCCTTCTCCCGCCCGGGCTTCTGCCCGTTCACGTATTCACGCGCGCCATTGGTCGATCCATCAATCGATTTGGTCGATCGGAAAACGAAGACCATGTCAATGTGGTGGTGGC